CCAGCTTTTGGACAATTCACCATTTATTTCACGGCTGTGGTGGATTCAGCGCCGCCAGGCACCCAGGAACGGAATTTTACAGCTGCAGCTGCAACGGTGAGGTCGCCTGCCACCCCTTTTCGAACTATTTCACCTGCACTACCCCTAAAAGAGGGGATGCGTCGACAAAGAAAAACAATGATCATCTGGATTTTTTTTCCTGACGCGCACGCAATTCGATACTCCGCAGCAGAGCGTCCATTGACACAATGTTACGCGTATATCCTAACATTCAAGTTTCGTCCTGGGTAAGACTGTTCCAGTGCGGTCTCTAGCAACGTGGAAGTGCAAAACGCAGAACAATCAGCATCGCATCGCGCTGGCGAGCCAACTTTTCTCCGCAGCAGAACGTTCATTGACTCGGAAGAAAACAATGTTTCGCGCAAATCCTAGCAATCAAATCCTTTTTCTGGTAAAGCAGTTCCAATGCGAACTAGCAACCTTGAATTATAAAACGCGGAACAACTAGCACTCAGCCGCGCTTATGTACAACAAAATGTCCGTTGACTCGGGACAACAAAATGGTTTGCGCAATGCCATTCCTTGTCTACCCCAGGCGCCTGCGAACTGGACACAATGATTTCATGAGTTACTTCTCAATTTGAGGCACGTGCCAATTGGACACAATGATTTCTCGGACTATTTGCATGAATGCTAGGACACAATCATCTCCTGAGTTTCTTCCCTGCTGTGGGCACATGCCAACTAGACACCATGATCTCATGAGCTATTTCTGTGCTTGAGGCATGTGCCAGCCGGACAGAATTATCATTTGGGCAACTTTTTGACTTTAGGCACAGGCCAACTGGACACAATGATCTTTGCATTTATTTTCCACGTAAGGCACATGTCTACCTCAAGGCAAAATGGACACACCGATCGCGTGAATTAATTGTTTGCTTCAGGCACGCGCCAGCTGGACACAATCATCGCTTGAACAATTTTTTTTGTTTTTGGCACTTGCCAGCTGGAGGCAATGATTTTTGAGCGTTCGCACTTTAAAAAAAAACATCCGTGACTTGTAGTTTCTTTACGAAACTTTCTTTTGCAGAAAAAAATGTTTCTGCAAGGATTGTGCGTGTATATGTATACTTTGGTTTTATGTATGTGCACATGTCGACCGTAGGATTGGGTTTATCAGGGAGGGCACCTCACCCCCGCAATGGTATAAAGCGTCCTTTCTGGATTTCAGTTCCAAACAGGTTTCAAACAGGTTCCGGTAAGTTTAAGTTCTTACAAATGGATGTCGCCGAGGTTGCTTTTCCACTGTGTTTTTTTGGTTTCATAATGTGGTCTGAAACAGGGTTGCGCCAGGTCTGAAACTAGGAAGGGGCATATGATCACATTTCTCGGGCCAGCATGCTCACAGCATTAGCACGAGTCCCCGAAGCAAACCGGTGCCTTCCTTTTGTGCGGCTTTTCTATACGAACCCATCCCCGCATGTTTGGCACGACAACACCGGCAACCCCCATGTCATACAGGCGGCGAACAGGGCGACCCTTTAATGCCAGCCTTGTACAGCCTGGGGCAACACTCTGCCCTATTCCAAGTGCACAACCAACTGCATTTGTACGCCTTCCTCGATGACATATACGCCGTGGTGCCCTCCGCCAGGGTGCGGCCAGTCCTTGACCTTCTCAGCCACCACCTCCCCACAGACGCCCACGTCCAGCTCCACCAGGGCAAAGCCCGTTTATGGAACGCAGCAGGCGTCCAGCCACCAAACACAAGCTCCCTCCGCCAAGCATGGGTCGGGGACCAAGCACTACCCCCAACACAACAAGGGTTCCGGGTACTAGGGGTGCCGGTAGGCAAGCGTGCATACATCCAACAGCAGCTCCAAAACACAACGGCGACTCACCAACAGCTCCTCCAACAGCTCCCAGCCCTTGATGATCTGCAGGCATCGTGGCTATTGCTTCTCTTTTGTGCCAGCCCCCGGGCCAACTACGCCCTCCGCAATATGCCGCCGGCACTCACGAACAACTTCGCGGTCGACCACGACCTCGCCACCTCAGCAACTCTGGCAGAACTCGCGCAATCCGGCCCCCTCCCCGCCGCAGCCCTGGCCAGAGCACACCTTCCACTCGCTGACGGAGGCCTGGGCTTGCTTTCAGCCACCTGCCTCGCCCCAGCGGCATACTGGGCTTCCTGGGCAGTCACCTTGCCAATCCTCCACACACAAGCTCCCCATTTCATAGCCGCACTTCAACCCCACTTCCAAGAATCCACGCAAGGGCCACATCAGTTCCAAGCAACCCAAGCAGCGGCCGAACACCTCACCCAAGTTGGCTGGGCACCTCTGCCCTGCGAGCAACTTCTACTTGGAGCAGGGCCCCCGCCCCTGCAAAACACAGACGACCAAGGTCCGCCCACATTCCACAAAGGCTGGCAGCGACTCGCTGCGGCAGCACAACGCAAAGCCATGAAAGACAAGCTGCTCAACACGCCGGACCCCGCCAGCCAAGCCATGCTCGCATCCCAATCAGGGCCTTATGCCAGCAGAGCCTTCACCACCATTCCCTACTCCGACGACCTGTCATTTCCGTCCCACTTGTTTCGAATCTTACTCCTCAGGCGCCTCCGCCTCCCGCTTCCCCTCACTGAACGATCCCGCCGGTGCCGTCGCGTCCTCGACCCCCTTGGCGACCTCCGTGCAGCGTGCCCTCGGTCAGGTGTTCTTCGAGGACGTGGATGCGCTTTGGAACGAGCTGCGGCGCGAAATTGCCGGGAAGCAGGAACTCGCGTCACAACAAACACACTTCTGACAGACCTCAACATCCCCTCACGCCACCGCCTTGATCAACGACGAAGTGAAGTTATCGCCAATGGTTTGCCATTGTATCACGGGGCCCAAATAGCAGTTGATACCACCCTCGTCTCGCCCCTCACTGCGTCCAGTGAATCTGCCCGGTTCCTTGGCCTCTTGGCAACAGCACGGGCACGATCAGTCCCAGCTCTCCTTCGCTCATCGGCCGCAGCGGCTTTTGTTTCTCGCGGGTCTGCCCTGCTGACCTCGGCTTCGCTCATCGGCCGCAGCGGTGTCCCGCCTCGCACCCTGAAGGGGCCCCGTTGCTTGGATTTATGCCCACTGCAGCTTGCGAAGTTTCCCCTAAATGCCCTTAAGCGCACCCGGAGGCGGGCCAGTATAAAAACCGCCCAAAGAAGCGAAGGAGTGCCTGAACCTTCGCTGCCGAAAAAAAAATTAGGAAGGCTAAGGAATTGCAAGTCATCATGTTTTTCGATGTTGAACCACGTAGCTGATGAAATATTCGGGAAAAGTTGGCAAAATTTCCAGGGATAACTTTTAGAACCTTCACCAAATTGTTTCAAATAATTTGTTTCCTATACCCGGTGGTGCTTCCATGCGCCAAAAAAATACAGAAAAAAATCAGTTTATTTTTTCCATTCACTTACTTACAAAGGTTTTGCTTCTGATGTTGTCCTTTAGCCATCAGTGTGGGGCCACTCATCAAGAGGTTTTTTTCCAAGTGTCCAGCTTGCGAACTGTTGTTTTGTTGCAAACTGGTTTCCATCATGTTGCCTTTAGGTAACGTATGATGCAATGCAATGTATATAGTTTCGCCATAGTACAAAGGTTTTATCACAGCATTAAAATTTCAATGAGAACGCAATTTGAGTCGAGCCTGAAACCATTTTGAACCAGTTTGAACGTTTGAAAACATCATGTGGATTGGACCCCCAAAGCACCGTTTGGAACCTAGTTGACACGGCCCCCAAACAGGTGTTTGAAACAGATTTGAAACAGCTGTGAAAAGTTTCCTTTTTCTTCTTCAATGGATGGATGCTCTCCAAGTGGTGCTTTTTAAATTTTGAAACTTGTTTCAAACGTATTTCCAATTGAGGTTCTACCGGGAAAATGTTTTTCAAATTGAGGTTTGAGTAGCTGTTAGTGGGAAAGGGGCATGCTCGGATCCCAAGATTATGTACCTGCATCTGTATGTATAAAATATATATTTATATTTATACATGATGTGATGTTTGTAAGTCTGCTATATATACATATGCCTTTGTATTTGCAGATGCAAAAGGTACATGTGGAAGAAAATGCGAATGTACATGTAGATGCGAACGTAAACGTAGATGCAGATGTAGGCGCAGTTGCAAATGAGGACGTGAACATGTGCGTGCGCGTATACATATGTATATGCGCACTCGTATGTGTTCCAATTTTGTTGTGACTTACATGTGTTGAATTTTCAGATTCCAGTTACGAGATGGTTGGGCGCGCCATGCTGCCAAAAAATGTATTGCAAAAAAAATCGCTCGTTAGTTCTTATGAACATGTTTTTTTATTTTTTTTTTTCCACATGGCTAAGACGATGCCCGCGCGCCAATAGCCGAAATGCAGGTGGGGCTTCAGGTTCCCGAAACAATTCTTGTCTGATTTTGTTTTTGTACCATGGTCCTGATATTTTAATTTTCCTACTTTGAGGTGGTTTTGTTGAGTGACCAAATTTTCTTTGCACTGCTTTGAACTCCACAGAATGTTTACGTTAGCATGCGGCATACAGTGCAAAGATGAACGGCTGTATGCAATGCTAGTCCGATGTTTACGATGTTTATTCATATTGTGTGTTTGGAACTAGTCATTCGAACGATAAATGATGCAGAGGTTAAATTGCCAGAACTGACAATCTTCATCCATCAAACCAATTGGTTCCTCTTTGCGTCGCACTTGTGGAAAGACAAGTGTCCAGGCCGCCAGTCCTCATGGATCTTATCAGTGGTGTGGACGGTGGATGCAACATGCGAGACTGACTGAACCCCAACGACCAAATTACATTACATGGACTCATGCTACTATGAAGTTTCAGGTGTTTGTGTCTTGGAATTATTGGTTTGAACTAATATCAGGGTTTCTGTGCTTTGTTTTGATCCCACAAAACGGTGAACATGCAAACGCCAAGGCTTTCCATGATATTGTTTCTACAAAATCAATGCTGCAGCCATGGCCTTGGCGTCCGATCTTTGCAATATGGATGAGTTGTGTGCCACCAGTGGTCTCCATTTGCGAGGACGTCTCACTGGGTGCTTGGTGGGACGCATGGCAACAACCCGGCGTTTCGGGCATTCAACACCTGGCTCTGACCGCACGAGATCGCTGTCCTTTCGTTGCTTTCATCCGGAGGATTCGTCTGGACAGGCCCAGTTTCCGCGTCTTGGACATTGGTGCCGTGGGGTACCCGTGGAGCATCCATTCGGGGGTGGCGGATGTCATCTTCGATTTTCAAGCCACCAATTTGCCAAACTGTTTTTTGACAGATGAAGTCGCGAGGGCAGAGGCTTGCTGTTCGTCCCTGGATGACCAGTGCTTTGACAAACTTTTTACTCGTGAACGATGCTGCCGAGGGAAGCAACCAGTTTTTGTGGGGATGATCGATGGAGATGTGACCAATGTGGAAGGTGCCGGCTGGGCAAAAATGTGTCGTGTCTGAAGTGGTTGTCTTGCTATAGTGGTGCTGGGGTGGAGAGACCACTTTCCAAAACCAATAGCAAAGTGTGACAGTTTGTGTGGACCCAACCGGCTGCACTAGAATTCCCTGGCCAACAGCCCTGAATGCCATACAAAGATAAAACAATTTTAAGGCAGGGAATTTCTTGTTTGTTGGCAATGAACGCTTGTTTCGAACAGGTTTGGAATATGCTTTAGATAGGTTGAGATCTGGGTATCAACAACAATGATTTTCAAACGAGGTTTCGTCTGGTGCAGATGACCGGGAAGTTTGACCTGGTGATCACGTCGCACTTGTTTGAGGATTTGACGGATCCAATGGTTCCTCGGTCTTCCAGTGTTGTACCCTCTGGTAATTTAACATAGCTATGGAAAATCACCATGATTAATGGGAGAATCCACTATAAATGGCAATTTTCCATAGCTATGTTAAATTACCAGAGGGTAACTTGATGACTTCTGGTGAAATGTTTCTGACCATAGATGACCAGATACGATCTGAGAAAAAAAATGCCGAAATGTATAAACGTTTCTGACCTTTGGATTCCCACAGTTAAGAAAGCTGGTTTTAGTTTTAGTCCATTTAGTTTAGTTGTGTTGTCTGAAAATCTCTGTAGGTCATCATTGTTGTTTTTTGGTTATTGGAGAATTGACCTTGGATAGATCAAATTTGGCATTCCTTGCGCCCTTGATGCTCTAGCGCTCTTGAAAAGATCCTCACCTAAAAGCATCCCCACATTCATCCTCATTTTCAAATGCATTCTCCAGAATTATGGGTTGATACGCTCGTTCCTTGGCGTCTCCGTTCAAAGTGGCTTCTTGTCGCACGCCAAGAGGAATAGCGCTTGAAACCTATCATTCCCCCAGGTTGACTCCAAAACCATCCCCAACCATCCCAAACTCCCAAAAAAAGAGCACTTTCTACAGCAGGCCATTGGATTCGAGGTCTTGGTGCGGCAGCTGCCCAAAGTGGCTACTGCGGGTCTGGTGGCTGTGCCTTCCAAGTTCAACGAACTGGTCCGCGAACAGCACTACGTCCAGCAGCTGGCGCGAGGCCACCGGGGTAGCTTGCACCACCATTGGATCTTCACGGTGCAAGGGAAGGAGTTGCTGGCCATACCCAAGTTGCCGTACCTGGAACATGATGAAACCTTCATGGACTTGGAAAGTCTTGGGATGGAAGAAACTCGCCAGAGGGGGTTTTAACTTCAGTTCGATTTTTCCTTTTTGGAAACCCAAACGCAAGGGTTTCCAGACTTTCCACGACTGAAATAGCTTGGGGCCCAGGAAACGCTGCGAGACATGGCGCTGCTGTGGCGGCACGAGCTGCCAATCGCCGTGCTCAACGGTGGCTTCATGGGCCCCTCCGACGATGCGGTGATTCACATGATCCGCGAGGCGCTGCGAGGCCCTGATGACGTGGATCAGCTGGGAAAATGCGGGGCGCCCACGGCTGATGGCAGTTGATACCCCTCCGGTGTCATCAATGGCGATGGAAAATCCTCCAAAAAATGGAGGTTTGGATGGGAACCATAGCTATAAATGGGGGAGTTTCGATGTCCACGTTTGATTACCGGAGGGTATTTGATGGGACTTGGCCAAGACGTCATGGGACAAAGAACAATGACTTTTCGTTGATGTGCATCTTCCTCAGTGGCTGTGTGTAGGGTGTTATGTGAGATCATGGCGATCGAGCAAGTGCTGATTTCCAATGTGTGGTTAACCCCACCTGGTTGTTGATATTCGGGGAGTCCAGGGATCTAAGATGATCTAAGTATCCTCCAAATGGGTGGTTCATGGTGGTTCTGAAATCGATCCTTCAGTGTTCCCAGATTGACCTTCCATGTGTCAGCAATGTGGGTAGGTCCATTCCTCAGACCTCGATTTGGAATCGCAGGCTCAAAACTCACAGAACAGGTGAACCGTTTTTTTTTTCTGGATGTAATTCGCTTCTCGCGCAGACTGTTGCCGCCATGTGTCGGATGTGTGCGCTCATATCGGATGAGGCAGTCCCTTGGGTGCCATGATCAGGGTGGAGTGTCCAGGGTTTCCCGCAGCGTCCAAAATCCTCCGAAATCCCTGGTGGTTGGCAAATGTAGGGTTCCACTGCTAGTTTCATAGGGTCATGATCATCTAAAATGGATCCAAATCACATAGAGCAATCGTGTGAAGGGATCATATTCCAATGATTTATCCATCGGTAGCAGCTTGACGTCTGCATAAATTGATAGATAATCAGAATATGACAATAGCAGTTGTATATACCCTCTGGTTATTTAACATAGCCATGGAAAATCACCATTTGTAATAGGTAAACCATCTATAAATGGGTCATTTTCCATAGCTATGTTAAATAACAAGATGGTAATCATATGGAATCATCTTGATCATCACAATATTCTGACCATTTATCCATGATTGTCTTATCCATTGGTCACTATAGAAAAACATGCAATTTTAGTTCCATGATTTACCTCATTGAAAACGAATGATTTTCTTTTTCCATCGTTATGTTGGTTTCCTGGTGGGTAGACAATAAGGTGATTGATTAGATCCTTGTTAATCACCACGCAATCCCACTAAAATCCCACTAAAATCCCATTAAATCCCATCAACATCCCCTCAAAATCCCCTCAAAATCCCCTTAAAGTCCCCTTAAGTCCCCACTCAATCACCATAAGATCACCACCGTAAGATCCTAGCTTTCTTCGCACGTCCGCACACCTTGCTGAGGTCTTGCTGGCCGATATCCTTCTGAGGCCGCGGATGTCGTTGGTTCACCAAAGCTATGCTGCCCGGGAGCGGCGCGCCCTACCACAGGGTGTCTCCCCAAGCGCCTTGGAAGCCGAAGGCTGAACATATCGAAAAAATGGAGGTTTGAAGCGGCAAAAGTATAGGAACATGTGGGAAACTATGGGAAATTATGGAAAATTTTAGATCCATTATAAAAGTGGGGTATGCCACAAGTGAAAAAATGAAATGGCAATTCTTGAATAGGGAAAATGACAACGATTTCTCTTGGCATTTTTGCCACTGAGGCATGGCATATCAGCAGCCTTGTTTGAAACTCGCCTGCACATCCATATTACCATCTGGTTATGACTAACATAGCTTTTTGGAAAATCCCAAAAATCAATGGAGGATATGGAGCTTTCGTTCGCTGGGAAAATCATCTGAAAATATGGGCCATGGCTTCCTTCCATGGCTATGTTCGTCATCACCGTTGTGGCGTGAAATTCAGCTGAGGAACGCTGATGGCTTCGGAGTGGGTTGGTACGCGCAACAAGCACCGCTTCCATGCGTCTTCACCTCGCTGAAACCAGAGCCTTCGCTGAAACGATTGCGCTGGTTTTCCAGAAGCTCATCTGGGCGCCCCAAGCCGTGATGCCGAAACAAAAGGTCATAAGTCATAATTGTATTTCTTTCTGAAAGCTAAGATGGAAAAGATGGAAACACAACTTCAACATCTTTGCTCTAAGATGACTTTCTGTTGTTGTTTCCAGCTGGGAAATTCAGGCCTGGAACGATCCCAACCTGCGAAATTTGTCGGACGAGGTGAGGGCCCTAGTGGTGGTGTCGTTGCCCCTTTGTGCAAGGGCCACAAGTGACGTTTTTTTAACCATGGGATGTCCCATGTTTCCACCAATTTCCAGCAATTTCCAGCAATTTCCAGCAATTTCCACCAATTTCCACCAATTTCCACCAAAAAAACTCAAGTTCAGGACATGTCAAAAAGTCTGAAGATCAAGTATCATCCTTTGGTTTCGCCATCATCCCACCATCATCCCATCATGACAGGTGGTGTCGCCACTGATTTTTGCTCACATTCGAGCCGCGGGACCGTTTGGGAAGCTCAGTGCGGCTGTTGCTTTCTGAAGACATCGAAAAAACGATGGAAAATTGGTATGGGATGATGGTAAAATCTATGGTTTCCTGTAACTGGATGATGGAAAATTGGACACCTTTAGAACTGGATGATGGGAAAATTTTAACCGGAAAACCCGATATTTGATGGTAAAATCTATGGTTTCCTGTAACTTTTCCCTTAAACCAATCCATTGATGGTCACCTTTCGGAAAAAATCTGGTCCACATGACCTTCAATCTCCTCCAAGATTTTTCACTTTTTCCGTTGGAAGATCTCCATTTCAAATCACCTCACGGAAAGACAGCGGCATGGCATGGGCCAAGGTCCTCCTCGGTGAACGAGTCAGCGTGCCATCCCTTCAAAGCGGGTCGTTTCCTCTTCGCGCACAACGGGCTGGTGGGCAACTTCACTCAGATCAGGAGGGAGCTCCTCACCAGCCTCAACGAGTTGCTGGGTGAAGGGATGAAGGGAAGGATGTGAAATCCCATGTGGTGAACCATGGTGAATCTTGATTAACTCAGTAATCAACACCATTTTATGATTTTTATGGGCAATGCTCAAGTTGGGTCAAGTAGGGATTCTGATTGGGTTGGCATCATGACTCATGAAATCCGGCAAAGTTCACTGTCAGCTTCTTAGTTGACTGTTCTCCTGCCTGTCCGATGCCAGTGATTTTGCCATTAATAAGCCATTCCAGACAGAGCTTTTCCTTCTTGACACCCTGGGTTTGTGAATCCAAAGTATCTCCTACCGGTGATGGTCAACATCTGGACTTTCCAGCCGTGACGCCTATACCGCCGTGGCGCCTTTCACCACCACCTTCAGGTATGCTTTCGGCATCACCTTGGAACACGCTTGCATCGATTCTGTCGATCCTCGGCTGGATCTCTGGGATGGCAACAGTGCTGTAGATTGGCACCCTGGAAGTTGCTTCGTGTGGTCCCAAAAAACAGCCGTGCGCACTCCGAATTTTTCAGGTTGCGTTTGGCATTTTCCTGACGGAATTGGGTGTGAGCAGCGACGAGGATGCCATGGTGGAAAGGACCGCGGACTCGTTATGTGGAGCACTCTCCAGGCCAGGGGACAGTCGTTGGTGTTTCGCTGCCCTGCCAGAATTGGATCATTGGAAGATGTAGCGGAAACCATCGGAAACCTCCACACTTGGGGGTTTGAAACAAAGGTTTCGCCGTGGATTTTCCATGATATCAATCTTCTGATCCCTAAAATCTTGGCAGATGTTTCGCTTGCGAGTGGTAGAGCTGAGGACTGTGTTGCGATTGACGCAAGCCGCTGCAGAATTCGGACCTGAGGAGCACATTTTTTCTCTTGGAAGTGCAGTTCCAGTCATAGTACATAACCATAGGGGTTATATCCCAACATATCCCAACTTATTGGGGTTTAGGATGGTTTAGGACCATAGTTATAGCCATTTGCAACCTCAACTGCCCCCCCCTCCAAGTATGGCATGCATTTTCACTTTGGAGCCGCTTGCAAGAAGCAAAGATGATGATGGCCAGGAGTCATTGCTGAACCTCATGGTCACTGTGACTCGGTTTTATCTCCTTTTCAGGATGAAACCCTACAAGTACTGTGGCGAAATTGGGCCCATTTGATGAAGGATGGTCAGTCCCAGACCTAGTGGAAGGCCCGAACACTTGCACAAAATTTATATCCAGGGCGGTCCGATCAGGGGGTGAAAACCATGGTTTCAAGTTTCAACCGCAGAATTCATGTTTAATTCCTCCACTGGATGCAGGAAAATGGGAGCATATCACATTAACAACAAATTACTTTCGAAGTGTTGAATTTTGTGTGAAGGGGTTAGGCTACCCATTTTTAGGTAGCAACTTGCAGTAGAGACGTTTGGGGGCTGACTCCCGGCTCTGAGGATGGCGAGCGCATCGTAGCCTGCAGATATGGTACAGCTGGGGAGGAGACCACTGAAACAGAGCTGGGGGCGACCCTTTACCTTAGCTACCTGGCGGCGGGGCGGGATGTTTCAGGGACTGGGAATTCATGGATTTACGGAAGATATAAAGGGTGAACTAAGCAAGGAAACCAGGAAAACAAGCAACTGGTTGCATTTTTATAAGGATGGTCCAGGTTTTGGGACATGTCAGCATTGTCATCTTCCAAAAAAAAAAGTTTTGCCGTGGGTTCCCCATGGCAGCGGCGACGATTGGAGTTTGGGAGTCGGATCCAAGGTGTTGGCTCGCGATGGCTAGCGGATCCTGAGGATCCTCAAACCTTCCGCATGAAGAAGGGGGCTCCTCGGCTGTTTTTCCATGGCCATCTGGTTATGAGTCAAAACCCGGGTACCCAAATTGTTAAATGGTACCCTAAAATAGCTGGTGAATGTGATAGTGATAGGTTTTGACCCACCCCCCTCTAGGAATAATAGTAGTGTCTTGCATTCTCTTTGTCCAGTTTTCATGATGGGAAAACCTCCCAGTGCCATCCCCCAAGCATACTCCAGGCATGGATGGTGGGGCCATTGCCATCCCCAGGCGGACATCAAATGCTGTACTGCCATCCTATCCAGTGAGCCATTGACGCCGATCCGCGAAGAGTGGATGCCCATTGCGCCCAACAGTATCGTGCTGTGCGGCCGCACGCGTGGTGAGAGTCCGCCCGGGCTGGCTGGTTTTTGGATAAATGACAGAGAGAGAGGGGATAAATATCTATCCATTGATAGCACAAACAATGGGATATCCCATGTAATTGGCCGTTTTTGATAGAATATACAGTAGTTACATATAGCTACCATCTCTTGGTATTTTTAGGGCTATGTTTTGGGGCACTTCAGTCTTTCAGCCTGGTGGGTTTTTGAACGTTTTAACCTTCCAGGTCAAGCTATTGACACCTTGATGTTCGCGCTGAGATGTGGCCCCGTGGTGGGTTTAAGCGCTTTGACCGGCACCTTGGACGGTCAGGATGAGGTTTGGCTATGAAACAAAGCTGACCTGGAAGAAAGGCCAAGTGAGAACGGAGTTACTGTAATCATTATGAGTTTGGGACAGTTTGGGTAGGTCTGAACATGGGGTTCCATCATCCATATTTGCCACTGAACATGGCAAAATTTGATGAATTTTGGAGATTTTCCATCAAGTGTTCACCACATTTCCACATTTTTGGACCAAGCACCACTTCTTCGGAAGGGCAACGGGAAGGGCAACTGCAGGTGTTGAATCGGCAGCGCAGGGCAGCAAGGAGTTTCTCTCACCAGCGATGCTTGGGTCAAGTTATCAGCCCCACCAATGGCACCAGCGGAATGGAGATCTTATGGGATCTTTTGTGGGCGATCTTTGGGATATCCACCTCAATATGAGTATTGGGTATGTATGAAGAATACACCTTGCAAACGGCACTTGTCAAAGATGACGATAATCCGATAAACTAACTATAACAAGTTGTATATGTTGTATCGTGAAAATTTGAGGGCATCCTTTTTTCAGACAAACTCAAATGGCTGGTCGTTTTTGAAGATCAGCTTGATCCATACATGATGGCAAGATGGGGGGGTCAACAATCCGAAGTAATTTTGATCCATACCTTAAGAGATAAACACGCCACTTCACCAAATGCAAAGCAGCAGTTTGCCTGTTGCAGATAGAGATCTGAATGCAATTGTATGGTATCCCCCCAAAGAATGAAAAATCCGAAAAAAAAGGGACGCAGTTTTAAGAACATCCCAGTTGTGTCGACATGTTTTTACTTCGTTTTTTGGTTGAGCTTGCTGAGCTTGGCAACAGCCAAGCCCTACTGAGGATTGAGAATGAGATCCCGAGCCGCCAGGAGCTGCTCTGTGATCTTTGAGGGATGGTCATCAATCCACCAACCATGGTCATTTTTACATAATTCCCATGATTAATCAATAAAACAAACATCATGATTTCCATGGGATGATCGTAAAACAGTCAGCAACCATGTTTTGACGCAACCACACATGGCGTGCGTTTCTCAAGCCACGGCGTTTCGCGCAGGACGTGTGGATGTCCATCAATCCAACCTACGAATCCGGCGACGTGAACTGCTTGGTGGCCCTCTCCGAATCCATCTTCGTTGCGGGCTCCATGGATGGCTCCTTGCGCTTCTTCCATGCGGATCAAGGCGGTTGAATTGCTACCGAAGCTGTGGTGCCAACCGCTACCAACCCCAAATTATATCATAGAAGCGTTTCCGTCCCCGAATTGGATCATGGGAAAATCGGATCTTACCATCCCTGGATGAGAGATGGTTAAAAACACGTATGGGTTCCCGGTAGTTCCAGTGAAGATGTTCCCATTTTCACCTGAGAGCCTGTGAAGCCTGTTGAAGCCCCCAGCAGGTCAGGCGTGGGTTGTCAGAAGACATAGCCAAGCCTCTGGACCTGTGCTGGCCTTACATTTCCTCAGACGAGCAGATGTCCTTTGGCAGCAGGTAATTTTTCGGAGACTGGTCAAGGTGCAGGGGCTGGTGATAGTTGTTTTTATGTTGTTTTAATATCATTATCTTCATGATCATCATTATCTTCATGATCATCATTATGTTCATGATCATTATTATTATCATTATTGGCAATTTTTATTTTTCATTATCACTAGTATTATATATATATTATATATACATACACACACACATATATATATATACATACACATATTATCATCATTTTATTCAATGATCTCCTTTGTCTCGTGTCAGTGAGCTGGTCAGATCCTGGTACGACCAAGGACAGCCTCACGAACTCCTCCCGGGGCGATGAGTCGCCAGTGGATGCTTGGAGAGCTTATCTGGAGCTGCGGTTTTCCCCATTGGTGCCACTAGACATGGGCAATCTATCTGGAATAGTTTAAGTTTAAATCTTGGATTTTTTTTGGGAATTTCCAAAATCCTCTGGACTATTTTGGATTTTGATTAGCCCAAAAATCGGCCAAACCTGATACTGGCTCTGATTTTTTGCCCAAAAATAATGGGGAAAATCTGAGACCAGCTCTGGGTCTTTGTCCATTCTTACCCTCTGGTAAACCTACACATAACTATGGAAAGATCCATCATTATTTATGGGAAAATCCACTATAAATGGCCATTTTCAATAGCTATTTGTATGTTTACCAGAGGGTACTCCCAAAATCCCATGGGGAAACCGAGGAATCCATTGGAAGCCCGGCCGTGAGCACCCCGCGCTCGCCGGTGATCCTCCTGCGCTCAAACGCCTCGGACGAGCAGCAACTTGGTTTGGGATTAGGAAGATTCACAGGTTGGGGAAACGGCTGGTTGAACTCATCCACTAATGATCAATTTATGATCATCATCCATTTATGATCATCATCCATTTATGATCATCATCCATTTATGATCATCATCATCCACTATGATGAATTTAGGTTTGGATCATCATCCAAGACATCCACTTATATATGATCAATTTGGGTTTGGATCTGTGGGACTTTGGGATTCACAGGTTGAATCTTAGGCCAACCTGCAGCTCTGCCGAGGCCTTCCAAGGTTGTGGGCCCTCATGAGGTCTTAAATGCACTGCATGCGAAGTGTAATGCGAAGCCCATGGCGATGGATTTGTTCCTTGGAGGAGTGATGCGACTTTGCTTTTGCTGATGGTTGATGAGATGGTGTTATGTTACCATCTGGTTATTTAACATAGCCATGGTATAGATGGCCCATAGAAATAGATGGTTTACCTATTAAAAATGGTGATTTTCCATGGCATGATTAAATTACAACCAGATGGTAGATCATATTAACAGTGAGGCTGTTGGAAGAATCAAGTGATCTATTTATGTTTTGGCATCCGCTAGCCACATGAAAACCTGCCTGCAACTGATCCCCTTTTTGTGCCCACAGTTCTTGGTTTCCTGAAGTCACTGCCAACCCTGCATTCTGCTTAACCAGTGTGCTTACCCTCAAAATACATCAGAGATCCTTCCCTTCCCTTGGTTTTCACCGATTTTTTTTCCCATTCAAATCCCATGAATCACCATTAAATCCCGTTTTTGATGGTTACACTACCAATAGTTTAGGCCACTTTTGAGGGTGAAAAGGTTGGTGGAGCCACCCCAAGGCTGCTGTCCACTTCCACCAACGAGCTGCGCATTTGGGACGTCTCAGCCGTGGTCCACGAGAGCAATGAGGTCGACCAGGAGGTCAACGTGCCATGCCTCCTATGTGCCGTGGCAATGTGGCAATGTGGGATGGGGGTTGGGGCTTGGGGGGTTGGAGGGATTTTTGGGATGATCTTCAGGGGAGCAAACTGCGCAAACAAAGGTTGAAGGAAACTTGTTTGGAATGCGACTGATGATGTCAACAATTTCACTGGAAAGGGGGGGGGCATTGAATCATTGGCTGTCCACGTCAACATCCCCGGTTGAAGCGCCGGGGAACGATGGGCCGAGCACAGGCTCTGCTGATCTGAGGTTTCCACTTTGCTCCCAACCAAGGGCATTTGTTGAGCATTGCCGGCAACCTGGAACATGCCTTCCGGCCGCATCAAACAGATTTTCCCCACCTCATGGGCTGGGTCCAGGAGGGTTCGCTGCTCAGGTTTACCTGGGTTTCCAGAGCACCAACTTCTACTGCCTACACCTCTGGCAGGGCTGGAACAAGTTGATGCAAGCGAAAACCCGAACCCGCACCACCAGGCATGATAAAATATGTTGAAGTGGTGACCAGTTGAAGGGCTTTTGGCCAGAACTTTTCCAGCCAAATCTTAGGTTTGTGAGCTTGATAATGTCAAGAAGTTTGTTGCAAAACTTGGGCCGATACCCGGCCAATGTCACACATACAAAGACCCCTTTCGCTGCAACCCCCAGATTCTTTTTTTTCTCCTCTCCTCATCGCACTTACCCTCTGGTAATTTAACATAGCTATTGAACATGGCCATTTATAGTGAGTTTTCCCATTAAAAATGGTGGATCTTTCCATAGTTATGGGACACTTTACCAGAGGGTATCCATAACTATTCATCTGGGTAAATTACTATATGTCACCAACTATAAATAACTATTGATGATAGTTTTTTGTTAGTTTCCCAGAGGGTAAACACCATCCCAAGCAGCATTTGATGCAAAATTGGGAGGCACTACACCTTCAACGTGGAGCTGGCGAAGAAGAGCTGCGCAACAGCGGCCGGAGCATATGGTGCTGTGCCCAACGGATCCAGTGGATCGCAGAAGTTCTGTTACTTGGCCGCTGTGGGATCATCTTGGGGATGTCTTGCGTGTGGAAATGTGTGGAATATCAAAATCCACACATTATCCCTGCAATCCCATCTTGTGCCAGTTTTTTCGCAAAAAAAAATCATCTTATCCAGTCCTTTTAACCTTGGGATTGGCAAAAAACTGCCCCAAAACACCAGATCGTCAAGTCCCAATCCTAGTGGTGGGGGGAAGTGCGGAAGGTTCCTGACTGCAGGAATTTTGCAGTGGGGAAACTCAGTTGTGATGGGTTTTCCTAATGATATAGCAGCGACCACCTCCCCAAAAGATAGAAATGTAATACTGTAGATGATGTCTTCACCATTTCCTGGTTGCCCATTTTTCTCTGGCACTTGCCATGAATCAGGAGTTCTTCAAAATTCCGCCAGGTTTCAGTCATATAGGGATGGGTCAGAAGCTATTTATTACCATCTTTGAGGGAAGAAACATCCATAAATCATCATAGATCCTGGTTATTTTTAGGGCATTACCGATACCTCTTAAAAACGTAGGCTCTTGACTAATATCTTCCCAGCCATATCCACCAAGGCCACCATTCCCTGCTGGAGGTATTGCAGACGTGTCAGAACCGTCACATGGGCTTCGTGCATTGCACCTGCTACGAAGCCACCGCTGCAGTGGTAGCCTCCGGAGGCGGCGATGGGAGGATCTTCTTCTGGACCCAGCAGCACCAGGTGGCGGAACGGAGGAGCTGGTGGGGGTTGGCTTTGAGTAGGGCACCCCCTGAAGTTGATGGTTTAGATGGTAAAGTATAGGTGTAAAGGTTGGAGTGTGTGAACATCTTGGGGGCTGGTCATATCACAATTGGAAGGAAAGATCTTAGGGTTCTTAATAGTAGAGAATAGTTGGATGATGATAACCGACCATGGCACAAATGAGAGTTGGTCTAGAATAGGGCAGCCCTAAATTTGAGGCAAATGGGGGTATCTTCCATTTTTAGGCACGCTACGACTGTGGTCCTTTTCAAAGGAATAGTTATTTATTGGAGAAGTAGTGGAAGGTCCTTGCCAAGCTGCCAGCCAGCACAAGCAGGAATTAATGAAGATGGGGAAGTTAACCAACAAGAATAAGGCAATCGACCAAATACAGCCAAGTGGCAGCTTCACCACTAGGTCCGTTGGGTATGTACTAAACCCAGGATTTTAGATGGTTTGAGGGCTATATTGGGGGCTCTTCAACATAACATTTGCCCTGTGGATTTTGGCTGCAAAAAAAAGCTCGCAAGCAGAGGCCATTTGCTCGTTCACTCACGGTGGTGCGGTATTGGCTTTAGCGGCTTGTGCCAAATCGAAGGATGCCTGGCTGATGGAGGGATGGCTACGGTTTGCAAACGTGGTGTTGACAAACTTGACCACCTGCGACACTTGCTTCATCCGGAAGAACAGTCGCAGAAGATATCGGATTTTTCTGGGTGATATAACTTTTGGCTTTTTCAGTATTGAAGTCTCCTCAAACCACAAAATAAAACCCAACATGCACGACGGAATGGCCAGGAGTCTCGCAGAAGAATCAATGTCCTTTTTTTTCCCTTCTCCTCTCTCCAACACCAACTAGAATGTACACACACACACATATATATATATATACATATTACATATCTTGGATTTTTTCAGTATTCATTTTACTAGTTGATATCCATCCATCCATCCACGAGGCCATCTTCTCTGGCGATGCCCACGGTCGCATCCGCGTCTGGGATTCCGCCTCCGTTCAGCACGGCAGCAGGGCGGTGCTCTGTGCAGGTGCCCCGGATGGGCTGGGATGATCGACATGGAAAGTTATGGGAAATCCATGGGAAAACGATAGGAAAACCATAGGAAAACCCATAGGAAAATGGTGGTTGAATGGGATTTAATGGGAAAACCCATAGGAAAATGGTGGTTGAATGGGATTTCATGGGAAAACCCATAGGAAAATGGTGGTTGAATGGGATTTCATGGGAAAACCCATAGGAAAATGGTGGTTGAATGGGATTTCATGGGAAAACCCATAGGAAAATGGTGGTTGAATGGGATTTCATGGGAAAACCCATAGGAAAATCGTGGTTTAATGGGATTTAATGGGAAAACCCATAGGAAAATGGTGGTTGAATGGGATTTCATGGATGAAAAAAGCCTCTGGTTATGTCAAAAAAGCAACATGGAACATGGCCATTGAAAGCTCGTGGATTTTCCCCATGAATAGCATGGTGATTTGAAAATTGATTTCCCATAGCTATGTTAGTTTACCAGAGGGAAGCCAACCTAGTGGAATGGCTATGAAAAATATGGATTTCTATGGCTTTTAACATCTTTTAACCATGAACAATATGGAGATACAACGTGACTATCATCATGATATCTCAAAGATGGTTGATTGCTCATAAGGAGTTATGCTACCTAGTTATTGGAGATTATGATAGCCATTGATAGGCCATAATGGGGAACCCCATCAACCAGTTAGTACTTCATCAACCCATGGGGCTATTTTTATTGGCTCACTTGGGATGGATTAGATGTCGAAATCTGGGTGTCTGCCTGCTCCTCTTTTTTTCGGGTATTTAATGAGGATTTTATTATTGGTTGATAGATTGGCTATTGGACCTTAAGATTTTCTATGGCCATATTTTCTTCATCTAGATTTTAGTCATTTATGGCCATATTTTGGCTATTGGTCAAAATCTAAGGTGCGGCAGGCCATAGACTTTGGACATTTTTAATAAACCCCTACTAGTTGTGCAGTGTGTGAATTCGAAGAGGCCAAAGCTTTTATGAGCTTCTCCAAGACTCACGTCTTCCATCTCACCAACTTCATCATCCAGCTTTTGGGTACTGCAATTTTGACACGTGCCCATATTAGTCCAACCCCAAAAAGCAGGAAAAGGTACGGATTCAAACCAGAAGTGGAGGTTAAACTAAACTTCAGAGAAACAACTTGGGAAGGAAATTGGATGTTGGCACTCCATTTTCAAAAGTGATACCCTCTGGCAATTTCACGTAGCTACGGAAAATGGCCATTGAAATAGTGGATTTTCCCATTAAAAATGGTGGATCTTTCCATAGTTATGTGTAGGTTTACCAATTATTATTATTATTACTATTATTATTATTATTGTGATTATCATGATCATACTATTATTACTATCCTAATATCCCACTAATAACCCCATCATTAATATATGTGTAGGTTTACCAGAGGGTAGATGGATGATATGCGTGACACTCCAAGTGCTTGGCAGATTTTCGAGGAGGCATCGGCTGCGGTGCCATTCTGAGCTTGTCCACCTTGGGCGATGCCGGGCGCGTCTGTGAAGGGCCACCCGTGGTGATTTCAGGTGGGATCCGATCAGACGTTGATCGATTTGGTTGCCATAGCCTCTGGTAAACCTACAAAAAAACGATGGAAAATCACAATTTTTCATGGGAAAACGATGGACAATCACCATTTTTCATGGGAAAACGATGGACAATCACCATTTTCAACGGGAAAACTATGGAAAATCATTATTTTCAATGGGAAAACCATGGAAAATCACAATTTTTCATGGGAAAACTATGGAAAATCATTATTTTCAATAGGAAAACCATGGAAAATCACAATTTTTCATGGGAAAACTATGGAAAATCATTATTTTCAATAGGAAAACCATGGAAAATCACAATTTTTAATGGGAAAACTATGGACAACTCACTATTTCAATGGCCATTTTCAATAGCTTTTTGTAAGTTTACCAGAGGGTAAGGATGATCTTGGAAGAAGCTCCAAAAGGTGACGACTTCAAAGGGGCAAAAATGTCAATCGATTCGACGACCGTGGATCCCAACGGATCCCAACGGATCCCGACGTTGCGAAAGCGCCAGGTGATGCCGCCGGACTGGTGCGAATTTGGGATGCGGAACGCTGCTCCTTGCTGCGGGAGGTGAACACTGGGATGAGCTGTTGCGCTGCAATCACTGCCTTGGGAATGAGGCGCGGCGTTTTTTGTTTGCAACGTGGGTTGATGACGAGCAACGAAAGGGCATCGGAGATGGTTTTGAAGCGTTTTCTGTGCATCTGGAGGTTTCCAATCCATGGGGGCACTTCTAAATCAAGAATTTTCATAGGATTCTTAATTATACATATATATATATAATTATATATATACACATCTTTTTTGACACGTTGCGGTTGCTGCACATGTCAGTTCTTGGTTGACTGTTCACATATATTGACACACACACACATAATCATCATATTTCATGAGGTTTCATGCAGGATGAGCCTCGCTCCACGCCAGGATGTCAGCAACATCTCCCAGTGAGCACTTCTGCCTTCGGGTGCCGCTGGGCGGCTGCAATTCTGGTGCCTGGACGAAGCATCGAAGCTCTGGGGGAGTCGACTGGAGGGTCGGGATGATGGTTGGGATGATGGCTGGGATGATGGTTGGGATTTTTGAGTGTTTGAACTTGCAACATGTTCCATCTGTTCGTTTTTGTGGAGTTGTTTTCACTTGTTTTCATCAGTTTCCCAAGACGCTGGACATGTCAGACGTGTCTATTGACACTTGTGTTGGTGGATTTCTCCTTCTGCATCTTCCTGGACATCAAGTTGAACGGACCAAAAAATGACCATCTGCACATCTGGTGTCAAAATCTCGACCATTGAATGATCCAGGTTTTTTATCGGTATATCGAGGTGAAATTTCGATTCCGCGAAAGTCGAGGTGTGATCAAGCTGGCGTATCTGGACTTGGCGACCAGCACCAAGAAGCAGCAGCTGCACCTGTCCCCTGTGGGTCGAATCTGTGGGAGATTCTGCCGGAACAAAGATTGCGGCCACGAGGTCCGGCAGTTGCGACTCGAGTCGCAACTTGGTATTTACCCTCGTCATGAAACATGGCTTGCTGGAAAATCCTTCATTTATAAATGATGTTCCAATCCTAAAATCCCGCCATAAACCTGCATCCTAACGATTTACAGTTGATTTCTAGCTGCCAGGTTTGATGGCGGAGGGTAGTCACAGCTGTCTCCTTCCTTTTTTTTGGGATGGGGAATGGTTTTTGGTTGTCGCTCGCAGGATGTAGTGGAGTTCCAACGCTTGGTCACTCTACTGGGAGAATTTGTGACCTTCCCCACCGTTTCGAGTGATAGATCCTTGGAGATGTAGAGATGAGATGTCATGGGTCCGGTGTGGGCTGTGGACGGGAGTTGTTGGCGTAAACGCCATGGTTTGCCATCATTCATTGGATCCATAAACCTGCAGTAAACTGTTTGGGAGGTCCTGTTGCGTGGCACTCCGGTATAGGTGAACGGGGTCGACAAGGACCACGGAGGTTCAATTTTGTGACGATCCCACCAAACAGCGGCAAACTGGCTGGGTTCGGAAATGCTATGAAAGTTCAGGAAACTGGTTTGCTGCCAAGTGGCACCTTCTAATCTGGATCTGGGTGCTGTCAGGTCGATTTGCGGCCGACATGCAGAAAGCTTCATCCTGGTTAGGCAGCAAATTCGAGGAACTCCTAGGGGCTACGGCCCGCATCTTTCCCGGGGGCGTCATCGCACGCTGTGGCTGGGATACGCGAAAACCGCTGGTGATCATGCGTCCTGGTGGCAATGAAACTGGCAGATGGGGAGTGATAGGTGGAAGATGGGCGATGATGGAAGATGGGAGATGAGGAACCCAATATCCCAACTCAGTTTTAGATGTGGAATATGAACATCCACAGGTGTGAAATGTGGTGCCAGGCCACCTCCGCATCACTGCAGCATGGTGAGGTACTCGCACTATGACGTGGTGGCGGCTGGAAAGGGTTGGAGCACCGACCCCTGGACGATGGTGGCGAAAGATGGCTATTTCTATGGCCGGGGAGTCAGTGACAACAAAGGCGCGGGGCGCAAAAAAGCAAAGCCGCCGCAATGACTGAGAGTCGGAGCAGCAAGAAATGCACAAGAAGACAAGAAGTCCATGACCAAATGGTGAAATCCACCTTTTTCTTTTTTGTGGGACATCCAAAAATCCGCATTTCCATGAGTCGAGTGGTTGATCCGTTGGTCAAGTTGGTCCATGGCTGCCAGGCCCATTGTTGGCGCAAATCTTTGCGGTGCGACGACTGCTGCAGGGCGATCCCTCTGAGTTTTGCCTCATGGGATTTGAGACCGAAGCACCACAGGAGCCGAGTCCGGGCTGGTCGGCTCTAGGGCCGGGGTGGGTCCGAAACTTTCAAGCCCAGCAGACTGTTGTGTGCCATTTTGCGCCGAAAAAGGGATGTATACCGTACACGCCGTATACCTATGTATACCTGAGAAATTGCCATTTGAAGAGGGATAATGATCACTAACCACTAAATTTGGAGGTACCCTTTTCAGACACACCCATTTTGATCTGTTTTGATGACTTTTTCAGGAGCACAACTGCCCGGTGAATGTTCTGTTCCTGGTGGACGGTTACGAGGAAAGTGGAGATCCATCCGACACCATTCGGATGCTACGGGAGGCCAAGAGCGATGGATGGCTCAGAGGAGAAATCATTGGGCTGATCATCAACAACTCGCAGTGGATCGATGATGATGCTTGGACTGGGACTGCTTGGACTGCTTGGATGATTGAACTCATTGCTGTTTGGCGAAAATTGGACCGAAGACACCAGAGGATTTGAAGGACATGTCAGAAAAAAAGATAGAAATTGTGATTCATAAACTTCATAAACTCCGGATTCACGATGGCGTTTGCCCCAAATGAGTGATGTCATGTGCGGGAACCAACAGCGGGGTTCAGCCGCATTTCCAAGGAACGGCCGTGTTTATGTCCTTTGCTCAGAGCCGAAGTGGCAGAAGCGGTTGCACTTCATTTTGTCTCACTGGCTTTAGAAGATCATCTCCAATCTTCCAATCATTGCTCAAATCCTTTTCGAATGATTTCGAATGCATTTCTTGTTGGCCTAAGCCAAATAAAACTTCACAATAATTCCATTTATGGGTAATAATTGTGGGGATCATCATTCCAAATTCCAAATAAGATGGATAAGATGGGATTTTAGATTCTGGCATTCCAATAGAGATTCTCCCAAATTCTGGGGATTGCACGCTCGAGGCTATGGCATGCGTGGCGTGGTGGACTTGGAGGTGGCCATCAAGGGCGGCGAGCGCGACCTGCACAGCGGGGTGAATGGCGGCCTGCTGCCAGCCGCACGGCGCATGGCGTGGGGCCGGTGGGTTGTGGATTCGAGGAGGATTTCCGCATCAATGATGGATTTCAGTGAGGAACAACAGCATTTTTGGAGGTTCTCGCCCCCTGCCAAGTGCAAAATTGTGAAATGGATCTCCTTCTCGTATGGGGTGGCTTCGTACTTGGGCGTGCCGAGGGTTACTAAAAATATTACACACACACAGATATATATATATATATACATACATCATGGGATTTTAACCTCAGATATAATCCCTCCATCAGTGTACATATATATATATATATATATATCTCTCTCTCTCTCTTTATATGCACAATTATATGATATGAGAAAGTACACACATACGTAAATGTGTATGCATATATATATACATATATATATACATATATATAATTATATGCCAACCCCTACACCTATATGGATGTCGGAGAGAGATATGGATTTTTAATCCCATATAATATAGCCTCCGGCAAACTAACAAAAAGCTATTGAACATGGCCCAGTCGAAATAGTGGAACAAAATACCCAGCTATAAAATGGTGGATCTTTCCATGTTTTTTTTGGTACCCTGTGGTAATTTAACATAGCTATTGAAAATGACCATAGAAATAGTGGAGTTTCCCATTAAAAATGGTGATTTTCCATAGTTATGTTAGTTTACCGGCGGGTCTCCATAGTTTTCAACATCTTCCGACCCAGGAACCGATCTTCGACCTCACGGCGCTGGCTTCCTCCTTGGTGGATTCCTCGGGTTTGCCGGCCGTGGCCGGACTCTCCGATGGTGCCCTGGGGGCGGAGGAATGTCCTGAAAAAGGGGTGGAGCTTGGGGAAAAATCACATGTTAGTAAAGGTAATTAATGATCAAACATCCATACTTTGATGATTTTGATGGTTTATATCACCCATTTCATCATGGTAAACCTACAAAAAACACGGAAAGATCCACCATTTTCAATGGGAAAACTCACTATAAACGGGCCATTTTCCATAGCTATGTTAGTTTACCAGAGGGTAAAGGCAATTAGTAATCCCATTCATCCCCATGAATATGCATAATCCCATGAATAGTCCCATTAAAACATGCTCAACCATTAGTATTGATATCCTATTAAGATCCCATGAATATTCCATTATGGGGGGTTCCATAGTCATGGGGGTACCCCAAGCTCGCTGGATGGTTTCTAAGGGAAAATCCCAAACAAAAATGGGTGAGAACTGGGGGTACCAGGGCTGGACAGCCGTGTGACTTTCGCTTTGGTGGCCACGCTGGGGGAAGTTGGTGCCGTAGGTGTCAGCAATCTGTCCGAAGAAGACCTGCAGAACCTCACGGCCGCCGCCCAGCAGACGCTTGACACCAATGGCACTGGCTTTGAAGCAGTTGCCGTGGTACCCTCTGGTAAACTAACATAGCTATTGAAAATGACCTTTTATAGTGGATTTACCAATTGAAAATGGTGATTTTCCATAGTTATGCTAGTTTACCAGAGACCAGAGGGTACATTTTTCTATACAAATATGAAGTCTTGGTCAAAATATGTCAAAATATGAGAGCCTGGCACCCACTAGATCCATTGAACACCTCCATTCTTTGAGATTCTCTCACCTTTCCGCCTCACTGGTTACTGGTTGCACTAGCCACAAGAGACTAGGGTACTGTACATCTACCTGAGATACTTACATCAGCGTTGGACACTTCCCCGCCTTCATATCCATTGTGTTCCAACTCGCTTTAAAAGTCCTGAAGTCCCTCAGTCGTTGATGGTTCCAACCTTTCAACCAAGATATCGCAATTCGTCCTTCAAATCCCACATTTCTTTGTTTCCTTTTAGTCATTCTAATCCCACTCTTGAAATTCGGCCAAAAAATATCAATTCCGATCCCAAGATACATGGAAGAATTCCCCAGTTGGTAACTATAGGATACTATTGGCAACTCTGAAACACTGGGACTATGTTTTCTCCGTTTTTTTTTTTTAAATGGGGACTATTCGCCCATCCCCCGTGCACCCGTGCCCTCCCAACGGCAGGATGTCGGTGGAAAAGATCACCCGACGCCTGGGCCTGGGCGGCTCCGGGGGACCTGCCTGGCTACAGAACCTGCAAAGTCCTGGTGCTTTGGCAGCTGGATGCTGGATGGATTGAAGTTTTTTTGGTTAAGTCCACATGTGGATAACAATCCATGTGTTTTAATCCATTATGGCAATCCATGGGATAACAATCATTGTTGTTTTTTTTGGGGACTGGTAAACGTTAACAAAAAAACTATGGAAAGATCCCACCATTTTTCATGGGAAAATTCACGATTTTTGGTGATTTTTGCCAATAGGAAAGGTGCACCAAGTGGTTTCTTTGTCGTTTTTTGGGGGTTGTTGGATCCTAGTCACATTGACGAACCCATGGTTTTTTGTCAAGAATCCATGTTGGGTCTTTGGTCCCCAGAATCATAGAGCGTCTCCGAAGGCTTCACCACAAGGGTGGAAGGGGAACCACCCAAAATTTGCAAACTTTTGGAGGTAATGTTACATCAAACCTTGCTCTTAATCGGAACATCCATTTCCCGAGCATTTTTGTGGCTTCAGAGTGAATTTTCAGGGCCCTTTGGAATTGGTTGGGTGCTGGATGTTAGATTTCGGAGTACTTTTCGAAGCAGCCCAGGTTTTGAGGCTCTTAAGAGGACCTGGGTGCAACCGAGCATTTCCATCACGGAAGTTGGCAAAGGCGACTTAGTCAACTTAGGGGTGACTTGGGGGTGCCGGTGAGGCATTTTGGAAGTTTTGTTTCTTAGAGATTCTCGGCCAAAAATCGTGGACCATTCGAAGAATTTGGATTTTTACCCGCCAAAAAATACATATTCACCAAAAACAGAATCTTCAGAGATCTCGAGTCTAAAAGAAATATCCGCCTTGAGAAATCTTGGGATCTAAGAAATCCTATGATCTAATCTTGAATTCCTGGTGCTCCACTTTGCACAACCATATCTTGAACCGATCTTTATCATCTCCATCAGATCTAGAAGGATCAATCTACCAGCAGAATCCCTGATAGAGCGCATAATACTACCAAGTCCATGTAGTTCGACCCATCGAATCGTTTTTTTCCCATAGAAAGCAGGTGTAGAACACAGAAATTCCCCCAGGAATTTCCTACACCCTTTGCTGGTGAGGCCCCAAACATCAGCATGGCCGACATATTGCCAACCGCGCCTCCTGTGTGATCTCAATTCGAACGCCAGGCCTGTGGGAAAGTAGGTGTTTTTGCCCAAGCATGGTGGGAAGACCTGTGGGAAGACCATGAAACTGGGATTTCACCCACCAGAATCATGTTTTAGCAGAGAAAATTGAGGTTTACTATCTGGTTATTGAACATAGCCATGGAAAATCATCATTTTGAATAGGTAATCCATCTATTTCTATTATTTCTATGGGCCATTTTCCATGGCTATGTTAAATAACCAGAGGGTAACAGTTTAACGAACGAAAAGCTTGGCCTGGTTTGATGGTAAGACCCAAAGCTGGCAAATTTGGAGAGCCTTAAATCCATTTATTTGGTGTCCCTTCTTCGGTATGTGTAATATTGAGGGGTTGGAAGTACCACTTGGCGCTAGAACTGTGCAGTGTTCTGGGTATCGATGAAGTAACACACAGTTTCCAACTGACTTTGGGGCAGATTTGGCTCATCAGCACTATCATCTCATGCCAAGGAGGTCGATTTCAACCCTCTTTGGTCACCTGAAAGCTGCCCCCGTCGTCTCCGTTACCAGCCGCCCCAAAGCCATGGCTATACCCGCCGAAGAGTTAGAAGCCATGCTGTTGAAGGCTATCCCCAGGTACCGATGGACTGCGGATGATGTGGTGAAGGATGGGGTTCTCTGGAAATTCCTTGGAAAACATGTGAGACCCTCCACAAGAATCCGGAATCCAATGGTTCAAACCCCTCATTTCGATCCTTCAACCTCCCTCAAAAGATAGATCAATCCCTATAATTCCAATCATTATCCTAGGGGATTTGGAGATATTTGGATGGATTTGGGGTAGCCACCAGGACTTGGATCTCAAGGGCAAGACCATCATCGTCACCGGTGCCACCAGTGGCATCGGCATCCCAACTGCCACCGCCTTGGCGCGCACGGGCTGCAGCCTGGTCATCACGGCTCGGGACCCGGCGAAGGGCCAGGAGGCACTGGAGGCCATTCGCAAGGACTCGGGGAACGCCGAGGTCACCGTGAGGGCCCTGGACCTTTGCAGTTTCGAATCGGTGAAGAGCCACCTGGGACCTGGATTTTGAAGATTTTTGTTGAAGCTTATGGGGTTTCCAAGGTTGATTGTGACACTTAAGCCACCAGAAATGGGGAATCTACCGGAGAACATTTCTGACTGGCTTTTTGACGCGGGGTGTCTGGAGCAAATCCAAGGCTTTGTGAAGGAGTGGGGTGATCAAAAGATCGACGTCTTGTTGCACAATGCCGGAGTTATGGCCATTCCATTTACCAAGACAGCGGATAAAGAGGAACAGCAGATGCAGGTGAACTTTTATTCGGTGGTGATGCTTACTGAGTTGTTGATGCCACTTTTGACTGAGACGGCCCGGGTGTGCGTGGTGTCATCCATTGCACACCGTCGCGGGGCCGCGCTCGAACCTTCCTTCATGGAGGTTTTTCAGAAGTACATGGCTGAAGATCTGTCTGAAGAAGGCTACGACAAGTGGGTTGCCTATGCTGTGGCCAAGAGCGCGGTGATCATGTACCACAGCAAGATTCTAACTGTTAGCAATTTTGCAGGTGGTAAGTCAGATTCTTATCTCTTTAACAGGGTTGGTTTGGGCATGTTTGGGCCATATTTCAGAGTTTTTCACCAATTTGACAGTTTCTCGCCATATTTCAGAAAGCACTGAGTTTTCCACCACATTTTCCATCCCTTCCAAGAAAACCCCAGGTACTGCAACCAGTTGAACGCTGAACTCTCCGAAAAAGGCTCCAAGATCCGCGTGAACAGCGTCCATCCCGGTGGTATCCGAACCGGGATCCAGTCGTCCCTGTCCCAGGAAGAGATGGCCGCCATGGGATGGCTGGACAAAGACGGCAAGGTGTCGCCGGCCTTCAAAAGCGTGGAACAGGGGGCATCGACCTCGACCTGGGTCTCCGTGTCTCCCGAAATGGCAGCTGGGGTGGATTTTTTTGAGTGACTTTTGTTGGTTGGAACTGGTGAGATCTGATGATTGGACTGTTGGTTGGACTAATTTTATTGGTTTAATGCCGTTTTTTTGGCTGGACTAGGTTGGATTGATGAGCTGATGTTGAATCTTGATGGGGAAATAGTGGCCAAATCCAAGTCCAGTTGTTTCAAAGATCCAGTACCAAAGAAATGTGGTGATGATGATGATGATGATTCCAATTGCCAATGATATTTCTTTCAGGGCATTCAAAGAACCAGCTAGGAAGGGATTGGTGGCAGCTACAGTGAGAACTGCTGCGTGACCGCCAAAGATGACGTTGGCACCGGCGATTTCATGTCGAAAGTCAAGGGCACCGCACCACACGTCTGGGTGGAGAAGGACTGCGCGCTGGTGACAGAGATGGGTCGTGCCCATCTGAAGAAGAAGGGCTTGCTGTGAGCCGGAGGTTTTCTTGCGATGGGGGGCTTGCAGACCATGGCTTTTCTTGATACAAACAACATCAACACATTAATTTTCTGGTTGGTGGTTTGGAACATTTGGATTATTTTTCCATATATTGGGAATGTCATCATCCCAACTGTTACTCACTCCATCATTTTTCAGAGGGGTGGCGAGCTCAACCACCAACCAATGGATCTTGGAGGTTTTCGAGGTCCCGCCGAAGCGGCGGTACCTCGGCCCTTCCGGCACTGCTTCGTTTTGCTGAGAAAATCAACGACTGGTCTTGTGCAAAGTAGGGCCCCCAAACGAGATCGAAGTTGGTGAACATAGCTCCAATAGCCAAGAACTATAGTCTATGAATGGTCTATGAGACTTCTAATATTTGTCATGGGGTTTATCAAAAAAACTTATAACTTGGTGGGGGGAATATTGTGGGATTCACCCAATGCCAGAAACCCATAAGCCTATCATGTGGAGATGGTTTACTGTATATGGTTAAACATCATTCCCTTATGGTGGGTTGTTAGGGGATAATTTATAGTTGGGTTTGCCACATTACCCTCTGGTAAACTAACATAACTATGGAAAATCACCATTTTCAATGGGTAAATCCACTATAAATGGCAATTTTCAATAGCTACGTTAAATTACCAGAGGGTATAGGGACAGTTTTCCTGTTCATCTTGTTTTTTCTCTCCCGATTTTTTGGATAGTAAAGGGTAGATGTTGCTAGTGGGAACTGGACCCAAGCTCCGTTGCAAACGGACACTCGCCAAGCCCGGCTCCAATGCATCGCGGCAGGCCAAAAGGGCGAAGATGTCGTGAGCTGTTTGAAGCAGCACTTGAAGCATGAGTCGGATGCTCAGACGGCACGCCGGACGTGTTGAAACGAAGCCAAGTAAAACGAACTTTGGAGAAACAGTCCCAATATAAAATTGGCCAAATTCGATTAGAATATCCTATGAACATAGTTTTTTCGGTTTTTGGAGCTGATGAATGGCCATCTCATGAGAATTTTCCAGAAGCTAATTATCAGTGCAGAAAAATCGATGAAAACTTGGGATGTCCTAAGATCATGACTTCCCAACTGGATGATAAACAGGGTTTGGCCATCCCATCAGTGTTTCCAATTTAGCCCAACTTGAAGCCATCCTAGAATTGCTGGCTACATAGGCTACATGTCATATCCCCATTGTATCCCCATGATTTTCTCATTATATCTCAATTATATACCAGAATTCCTAGATTTTCCATGATCTTGCTTAAATCCCATGATATCCCCACGATGTTGCCATGGAATTTCTGATCACAGATCAATTTTCCCCGTGGCTGGTGAAATGCCAGCACCAGGTTTGGGAAGCGCCGCAGCTGCAACCAGCTGGAGATCAACACTTTGGCGGTCTCAGCACCTCAGTGGTTATTTCGCCTCGAATTTCCATAAATTTCCTGTGTGAAAAATGGCGAAATTTAGGGTGGTGAATGGGTATAAACACAATAAACACCAATAAACCATTGACTTTCATGGGGATATGACGAAATGGTATGAAATAATGGGATATATGGGATCAAGATCTTAGAATCTATTATATAAATGTATATAATCACAATGGGAAGATACAGGGGATATGGGGATATTGGATATCATCCACAGTTCTGGGGTGGTTTGAAGCAGTCGAACTTTCATCCCTGACCATCAGTCCCCAGATGTGGACGTGTAAATGCCAGGACGATCTGAATAATGTGAAGCTTTCATGTCTAAATCTGGATATGCTCAACATATACTTATCATATTTATCATCCCTTATCCATCACCTCCTTCTTATCAGATTCCATTCTTTGAGATCGTGCGAATATATGCGAATATGTGGTCAGCTAGAAACGACATGTGCGAGCAGAAACCGTTTGTGCTAAATTTAGAGATAGCCCTGCACAGTTCAGAAAGCATCCCAGTGACATTGGTATACCAGCAACGTCAGGTTGGGAATGCAGTATAGGACCCTAAATGGGGACCCATTTCTGGTAAGTCATTGCAGATGGTGCAGATGGTTTTGGGCCTCAATTGGATGTTTTGAGTTTCGCCCCAAAAATTGGATGAAAATCTGAGCTGCAAACCATTTTAAGCCCTGAGATTTTCGATCTATTTAATGTATTTCTTATATTTGATGGTTAAATGATATGGTCTCCCTCCAATTTTTTCCCTTCAGAAACCAGTTCATTGACTCAGGAGGCATGGGTTACGAAGCCTACGTCCAAGGTAGGGCCCGCAAGAGGATCATGCCATGATGAGTTTTTCTGGGGTAAAGCCCCAATTCTTATGGCATGTCAATAGGGAATATGATTCCATGAGGATTTTTGAACTTTTGGGGGTTGGAGCTGCGACTTTTCCAGATTATAGCCATAAAAATCGGATCCGCTCAGGGTTAGGGTTGAATGTTACGGATATGGGCCACAGTATGGGGGCACCAATGGGCCCACAAGGGAAGATGTCACTGTCCATTTCGGATTCAGTGATTTTAGGCACCCATTTGCCTTCCATTTGCAGACCCGTCTGAATAGCCAGTAAAATCACAAGCCAGGCAAAACAAACACAGCCCAACACTTTTGGAAGTAACTCATCTTCAGCATCATCACCATGTCTCCAGTCAATCCAAGCATATCTAGTCCATGGCAATTTTGAGGATTTTTCACGAAGTTTCACACATATCAGTGAGCATAACTATGGGACGATGTGGTTTCAACCCCCATACGTTGGGATATGGGCACCCTACAACTATGTTTTTTGTTTGTTTTTGTTTTGGATGTCATTGTCTCAACCATAGTTGTTATAACGTTATAACCGTTATAACTTGATTACGTGGTTACATAGTTGTATCATAGTTGTTAAATGGTGGTTTCCAGCTATATGGGGTACCAAAAAATAGCTGGATGGTTTATAATGGGAAATCCCAAACAAAAATGGATGATGAACTGTTTTTTTCCCCATGACTTACCCTCTGGTAATTTAACATAGCTATTGAAAATGGCCATTTATAGTGGATTTTCCCGTTAAAAATTGTGATTTTCCATAGTTTTTTGTATGTTTACCCAAGGGTAATGGTGACAGGTCTTTTGCGCAGCGAGGGCTGCAGTCGCAGATGCCTGGAAGATGGACGAATCGGCCGTCTTGGCGGTGCGAGAAGGGGGTGCCTCGGTATCTACCGAGGGCCTGGGGTCCCCATGGACAGTTCGATGGTGGAAAACTCCAGGTCGCAAACTGTGAGTTTACTCAGAGGGTCTAGTGTCTAGTTTCAAGGGATATCATCCTTTAAAATGAGGATATTCATGGATATTCCAGTTATTTTCTGTTAATTATGACATATCGCCACTTATTTATGGGTTATCTATGGGATATTTTGCCTGGATCGTCCCATTTTATCACGTATTTTCTATTCGGATTTGGCTGGGTAAACGACTAAGAGACTTATTGAAACCGAGGCTATTAACCAATTGGAAGTCATGCTTCGAACGCTCACCATGCACCTGAGATCAGTCAATTGGAATGGTCAAAGTCCAGTTGGATGGACGAGTCAATAAATATCAAATAAATATCGACAATCCATCAGTTGCAACTGGAATATCCTCATTTTAAAGGATTATATCCCTTGAAACTAGACCCATTCAGCTGCAATGATTGAACTGATTGAACTCATAAGCACCGAGCCGCTTAGGAACCATTGCGATCTTGCCCCTCCTTGAAGCGGAACTGGGGTGTCCCTTGGCTACGCACCAAATTTGGGGTGGTTTTGTTGGGATTTTCTCAGCGAAATCGGTGCGATTTCGGAAAGGCACCAGGTCAAGACTCACGGGGGATTTTGCTATAAATGGGGCTTGTTATTTTTCCACTAATCCCTAGGTCAATCTTACATGGATACTTTAATCCTTTAGTCTTTTGGCATTAATGAGAATATCTACTAACCAGCAAAGAATTTATTTTTTTGCAGGGTATCTAAGATTGGCAATGATCCACAGAAGCTGCAGTAGGGCTTAGCATGCCAATTATAAGGAACCCCTACTGACGGATGACCATAGCCCAATGCCGCCAATGCCCATGAAAATCCAGTGGCACATGTCAGGTGATGTTGTCCAGATGGCGTTCAGTCAGGCGTTCAGTCAGAGACCGGCGACTGGTTGGGTCCTGCTGGTTGGGTCCTGGTTGTGTCCAGATGTTATGGATGTGGATGACTTTGATGACATCCGCAGAAAGCCAGTGTAATGTCGTAAGCTCCAGTTTTCCAGCTTTTCTACTTGTGTTGGTCTTGCTCTGAATAGTCGGGGTATAGCATCCCTGATGCGATTCCAACACACTTTTGGGAACAAGAGAGTCTAGTCTACCACTTAGTAGGGGTATTTGGATCCAAGGGAACAGCTGTTTCAAGGGATGATTTAACTAATACTTCGGAGAGGCATAGTTGAGATCCCAACAAATCCGCCAGAATGCATAGCAACCCCCACAAAGATATTCAAAGGGTTCAAAGCTTTCCACTGATTTCCACTGATTTTAGCAGTGTTTTGTCGAAGCAATTGCTCCAGAATGAAAGAATTATAGAATGGGCTAGCGCCCGGGTGCCGCCGACCCCCCCTATTTGGGGGGTCCTGCAGAGAGAGGGAGAGAGATAGATAGATGGATGGATGGATGGATGGATGGATGGATAGATAGGTAGAGAGATAGAGAGAGAGAGAGAGATAGACAGATAGATAGATAGACAGTTGGATAGACAGATAAGTAGATGGAGAGATAGATGGATAGATAGCTGGATGGATAGATAGATAGATGGATAGATAGATAGAGAGGGAGAGATAGATAGAGGGGGAGAGAAAGATAGAGAGGGAGAGATAGATACTCCGACGGCATCCGACGGCATCAGCGGTTCAGTGGGTCAGTGGCGCGTCGCTTCCGGCGGGCCGTGCTGAGGTCGATGGTGGTACATGGTGGGACAGACATGGACATATATGTTTTGATATGCCCCAACATGCCGCAATTCAATTTGCCACACAATGTGCAATGTGTATGCAATGAGTATGACGCTACAAATTTGAAGTCAGACCTCAGTTCATATTTTTAAGCATATTTGGCCTCCTATCATTGTATGATTGGTGGTAGAGTATCATTGATTTTGAAACTCAGGGATAATCAAGGGTACTGATCTCCGGAAGCTGCTGAGCTTGCCGCGCCAGGGCCACGAGTTGTGGCGCCTCATCATCGCCATGGCCTGGAGCTTCACATGGTGGGGCCGAGGGGTTGGGGGATGGGGATGGGGTTGGGGATGGGGTGGGGTTGGTGTGTTGGGGGTATCAAAAATATATTAAAAAATGGGTGATGTGGGGTTTTGCGGGCTGGCAAACGGCAGGCTTGAGCCACCATAAAAGGACAATGCCGGGGCTGGCAAACGGCATGGGAGCTGCAGGGAAGCATTTGGGGGGTTTTGCGGGCTGGCAGACGGCAGGCTTGAACCACCATAAAAGGACAATGCCGGGGCTGGCAAACGGCATGGGAGCTGCAGGGAAGCATTTGGGGGGTTTTGCGGGCGGGCAAACGGCAGGCTTGAACCACCATAAAAGGACAATGCCGGGGCTGGCAAACGGCATGGGAGCTGCAGGGAAGCATTTGGGGGGTTTTGCGGGCTGGCAAACGGCAGGCTTGAACCACCATAAAAGGACAATGCCGGGGCTGGCAAACGGCATGGGAGCTGCAGGGAAGCATTTGGGGGGTTTTGCGGGCGGGCAAACGGCAGGCTTGAACCACCATAAAAGGACAATGCCGGGGCTGGCAAACGGCATGGGAGCTGCAGGGAAGCATTTGGGGGGTTTTGCGGGCGGGCAAACGGCAGGCTTGAACCACCATAAAAGGACAATGCCGGGGCTGGCAAACGGCATGGGAGCTGCAGGGAAGCATTTGGGGGGTTTTGCGGGCTGGCAAACGGCAGGCTTGAACCACCATAAAAGGACAATGCCGGGGCTGGCAAACGGCATGGGAGCTGCAGGGAAGCATTTGGGGGGTTTTGCGGGCTGGCAAACGGCAGGCTTGAACCACCATAAAAGGACAATGCCGGGGCTGGCAAACGGCATGGGAGCTGCAGGGAAGCATTTGGGGGGTTTTGCGCTGGCGGGCAACGGCAGGCTTGAACCACCATAAAAGGACAATGCCGGGGCTGGCAAACGGCATGGGAGCTGCAGGGAAGCATTTGGGGGGTTTTGCGGGCTGGCAAACGGCAGGCTTGAACCACCATAAAAGGACAATGCCGGGGCTGGCAAACGGCATGGGAGCTGCAGGGAAGCATTTGGGGGGTTTTGCGGGCGGGCAAACGGCAGGCTTGAACCACCATAAAAGGACAATGCCGGGGCTGGCAAACGGCATGGGAGCTGCAGGGAAGCATTTGGGGGGTTTTGCGGGCGGGCAGACGGCAGGCTTGAACCACCATAAAAGGAAAATGCCGGGGCTGGCAAACGGCATGGGAGCTGCAGGGAAGCATTTGGGGGGTTTTGCGGGCGGGCAAACGGCAGGCTTGAACCACCATAAAAGGACAATGCCGGGGCTGGCAAACGGCATGGGAGCTGCAGGGAAGCATTTGGGGGGTTTTGCGGGCTGGCAAACGGCAGGCTTGAACCACCATAAAAGGACAATGCCGGGGCTGGCAAACGGCATGGGAGCTGCAGGGAAGCATTTGGGGGGTTTTGCGGGCTGGCAAACGGCAGGCTTGAACCACCATAAAAGGACAATGCCGGGGCTGGCAAACGGCATGGGAGCTGCAGGGAAGCATTTGGGGGTTTTGCGGGCGGGCAAACGGCAGGCTTGAACCACCATAAAGGGACAATGCCGAGGCTGGCAAACGGCATGGGAGCTGCAGGGAAGCGTTTGGGGGGTTTTGCGGGCTGGCAAACGGCAGGCTTGAACCACCATAAAAGGACAATGCTGGGGCTGGCAAACGGCATGGGAGCTGCAGGGAAGCATTTGGGGGGTTTTGCGGGCGGGCAAACGGCAGGCTTGAACCACCATAAAAGGACAATGCCGGGGCTGGCAAACGGCATGGGAGCTGCAGGGAAGCATTTGGGGGGTTTTGCGGGCTGGCAAACGGCAGGCTTGAACCACCATAAAAGGACAATGCCGGGGCTGGCAAACGGCATGGGAGCTGCAGGGAAGCATTTGGGGGGTTTTGCGGGCGGGCAAACGGCAGGCTTGAACCACCATAAAAGGACAATGCCGGGGCTGGCAAACGGCATGGGAGCTGCAGGGAAGCATTTGGGGGGTTTTGCGGGCGGGCAAACGGCAGGCTTGAACCACCATAAAAGGACAATGCCGGGGCTGGCAAACGGCATGGGAGCTGCAGGGAAGCATTTGGGGGGTTTAGGCTTCAACCACCATAAAAGGACAATGCCGGAGCTGGCAAACGGCATGGGAGCTGCAGGGAAGCATTTGGGGGGTTTTGCGGGCTGGCAAACGGCAGGCTTGAACTCCCTGAAAAACAGATGGCAGGGGCATGTAGCTGTAAGAGTTGTTGCCTTGGAGGCCTGCGGAAGCGTTTGGAGGGTTTCAGGCCGGTCAAACGGCAGTCTTGAACTCCCTGAAAAACAGATGGCAGGGGCATGTAGCTGTAAGAGTTGCTGCCTTGGAGGTTTGGAGGGTTTCAGGCCGGTCAAACGGCAGGCTTGAACTCCCTGAAAAACAGATGGCAGGGGCATGTAGCTGTAAGAGTTGTTGCCTTGGAGGCCTGCGGAAGCGTTTGGGGGGTTTGAGGCCGGGCAAACGGCAGTCTTGAACCCCCTGAAAAACAGATGGCAGGGGCATGTAGGTGTAAGAGTTCGGCAGGAGCATGTAGATGGCTGGGGCATGTTGCCTTGATGGCGTGTGCCTTTGCTTGCGACCCGAGAGCCAAGTTCCACACCTCTGGTGGTCCCAGGCGCCGCCCCTGCCTTGGCAAAGGCCGGGGTCGGCGGATATACTGCACGGTGATTAATATGCAAAAAATCCTGCTCATATCCGATTATACAGCGATTGGTATGCCCATTGCATACCCATTAATTAGTATTAATATCCCATTAACATCCCATGAATATTCCATTATATCCCCAATTCGTATGATGTGGGCAAAACAATATCACAAAACATCCCCCAAATCACAATTTTTATATATAGGTGGTTTGGAGACCATTCCCAGTCATGGGTGGTTTATGACATGGTTTTACCCACATTGATCTTGGCAAACTAACATAGCTATGGAAAATCTCCAATTTTTAGTGATACAAAATATAACTATAATTATACTCATTACCATCATATATTGGTAAATCAACTATAATAATGGGTAATATAATTCACTATAAATATAGTATGAACTAATATTTGCTTGGAACTAAGAACCAAAATTACCCACAGAAGCTGCCAGGCATCTGATGCAGTTCACTTGCCCAACGAGCGCATGTCACGAACAGTTCTGGCACGAGCCGTTGATGCAATCGCAGGTGCCACCCGAGTCCTCTGTCTTGTTGGGGATTCCCATGACTATACTATAGTATATAACCCCCCAAAAAAATAGGAAACCACAATTTATACCTATTTTGGATGCTTTTTATCTATCTTTTTGATGGTTGGTATCATGGACTTCTTCATTCCCCAAATTGGACTTCTGTTGGGGAGGAAGGGGTGCTTTTTCAATCTCCAAATATTGATTATTACAATATATCAAAATAAGGAAAATCATTAGCTTAACTTCAGCCGCTGTAATCATCAACCGACTGGGGCTGTTGAACTTGGAACATGTGTGACAAATCCCAAATGATTGGTTTGGCAGTGTGTATAGCCCCGAGATATTTATCAGGAAACGGCGTTTTTTTTTTTGAAACGGCTTAATCATGAGAATTTATATACACTGAAACGTCTTCATGGGGTATGTATGACTCACTTTTTGGTCAGAAGTGACAGGGGGGAGATGAAGAAATGGCTGGCATGTTGCTGCGAACTGCAGGCACCCTCTCGCGTCTGGCTGAGAGATAAAAAAAAGTGCGAGAATTTCAAAGATCTTTTAAAACTGGCTGGTGGTTTCAAACATCTTCAATTCCTTCCAACTTGAAAAAGTTTGAGGAAACTGTGCAAGCAAGTACTGTAAATGTGTATCTTTCTTTGTTCAAGAAGCTGGAAACCACCCGAAAAACATGCGACTTTTAAGTCACAAGATGGACTCTGGTGTGGCCAATCTGTACATAGTGGTACCACCATTGGGTTTATTTGGCCGACCCTTTGTCCAACGGGACAACGGGACACCGTTGCGTCGTTTCGCGCCGAAAGAGATGGCTGTTTCTGCCATTTCGAGCTGCGCTGCACAGGGAAGGTCTCACCAGCCGCCACCGTCGCGTCTTCAGACGAGTGACATGTCAGAAGAAAAGCGCACAGCAGGGGCCGGGGCTTGGAGCATTGGGAGGTCTGGCTGCCCGAGCCTGCTGGGAATTACACTGCCAAACATATAGACGAAAATCGAACAGGGATCAAGAATCAAGGATTTTTGGTCCCAAATCGTGGATGGCAGATTTTTGCAGAATGTTTCTGGACAGAAACCCTGAAAGTTCTGGACGGCTGGCGGATGCTGGCGGTGAAATGAGCACTGATGTGGCGTGACATGTGCCCACTTTTGGCTCATATGACCCATGTTCAGATCCAAACGGATCATCGGCCGATGAATGGCTCGAGGCATCTCGAGGTCGAGGCATCCGGGGTTGGTTTCTGGATGTGTTGGGGGTTTTCCACCAAGGAACTGGTTGATCATGGTTGATCATCAGTAGCTGATCCCAAGAACGATCGGAAGTGATTGCCAAGGCTTTTTTGTTGCGTGAAAACACGAGACTCAACGTTTGGATTAGGCATGCTTAGCCTATTTTGACCCAAGCAACAGCAATGGAACAGTATGGAACAGTGCTGGACTTCCCATGAGTTGAGCGGCTTGCGGCGGCTTGCCGTTGTCCAGGCAAGCACGACGTGTGCAGCAGATGCAACGGCCCCAGCATCTGTTGAAGGTGCCAGACAGGTGAGAAAACGTTGTCTTATCAAAGCCAGCTTGCAGCAGAAACTTCCAAGTTCCTAAGGACGCAGGCAGATGACTGATCTGCTGCGTAAAAACTTGCTCTCTCAACACATCTGCAGTGAAGGCACTATTTGACCAACTCACTTTTCATGAGTCAGCTATCAACCCAGTTTGCCACCAGTCAACTACCTGAACAGATCTGACTCTTTCCACATTTTGACCTCTGAAGTTCTTGAGCCTGGCCGCGTTTGGCACAAGGTGAGTAGCGTAGAATCTCGTCGAACTCGGGTGTGGCTCAGCATTGGCGCAACAACGTGGTCGAAATTTCAGACCTCCACAGCCCCAAAGGTAAAACAGTCAAACCCCATGGTGGCATAATAGACAACACAATCGTTTCCGGGCACCATTTTCAGGTCTCCCACCCAAGCTCGGCAGAGGACATGGATCCAGAAAAAACCACAAACAAATCCACATTCTACCCCTTTTACATCAATCCTCTACCCATGTTACCAAGGCAATGTAGCTTCCCCCTAACCACATCTGCCTTTTTTTCCATCAGCCCTGAGTTGGTGCCCTCGATTTGCCCTCATGAAGTCGCTGGAATTCAGTGGTCGCTTTGATGCCTTGGACGGGCTCAGATATTTCGCCTCCCTGCAGGTGGTTCTGTCGCACCAATCGGATGCTCGGTGGCAGATGCGTGGCACGTGGGCCGATGCAACGATGGGATTTTTGGATCAACGGTGGGCTTTTTCGGAGCTTTTCCTCACGACTTTCTGCACTTTCCGATTTTCGGCATCTGCCAGGTTAAGGGGCACGAATGTCGGACTTGACACATTCCCTGCAGATGGTCTGATTTTTCATGAACTTGGACATTTCACCATTGTTTCTTTTGGCGATGGTTCAGTGTGAAGAATCCAAGTGCCGGGTTTTAGGGGGCAGATGAGAAGAAGTTGGGCAGATATTATATCAGAATGGGACGTTTTCTCACAACCCTCTTTATATAACAAGATGACCAAAAGATCATGACGGAATTTCAACCCCAACTATTCTTAGACTCTTAGACATTCTACATTCCACCCTGTTTGATTCATTTATATAATTCATTTGTTTCCGGTCTTTGGTTTGTGTCGTGGCCCAGGAGATCTTTGTGCCTTTCCTCTGGGGCAGCATTTGGACCCAGCTGTTTTTCCTCCTCAGTGGCTTCGTCTTGGCCTATGCCGAGATGGTTCGCCCCAAGAGTTCCGCGGGGCAGCTCACCCAGCTTCAGTACACCTGGCGGAGACTGAAGAAGATCTACCCGCCATATCTGCTGACGATTTTCATCAGCATGATCCAAATATCCCACAGCGCCTTTGAATGGAAGACCTTGATCTTGAATCTCCTACTCTTGCAGGCTTGGATCCCAATGGTGAATGAATCCAATCCACTGAAGTTGGAGGCTTCCACCACTAGCTGGGTTGGAGTCTCTTGGTTTCTCAGCGCCCTGCTGCTCTACTGGCAATTCCTGCGGCCAGCGGCCAGATTCTGTCAGAGAATGTCCATGAAACTGGCCCTGCTCTCACTGTTGTGCTTATGGCTCTGGACCGCGGTCATGCTTTACATTTGGATGAACGTGTGCTTTGGATCACTTTGGATCACTTTGAGTGGTGATTACTGCTGGTTTTGTTGCCGTTGTGGCTTCGAACCCCTGAAATTGTTGTCAGATGGTCACTTAATTCTCGGAGATACCCTCACTTCAGTAGCAATATGATAAACCCAATGATAAACCATCGCCGTGATGGTCGGCTCATGCTGACTCGGCAGGCACCTAGTCTCTGGCTATTTCATGATGGTCGTCTTGCACGAAGGTCCCTTGGGCTATGTCCATGTCTTCCTCAGTGGTGTTGTGTTGGCTCGCGTCTTCCTCCTGTTGGTCTACATGGATGCTCACACCGGGGAAGCACCAGACGCGGACACCGAGAGGTTGACTTTAAGGAGCGACAGGGATCAGATGCAACTGCCCTTCATCTTCAAGTTTGGGACTTCTATTGCCTTAGTCTGCTACCTGCCCCTGTTCTGGATTCCGGTGAGATATGATTCCCCAGTGCTGGCAGTTTGCCACAATGGAGGCCTGCTGCCCATGATGTGTTTGTTGTTGCTATGCTGCAGCCTTGAAACGGATCTGCTGGCATCGTGTTTGGGCTCGGCGCCGGCCAAAGTGTTGGGTCGGATCTCTTACTGTCAGTACATCATCCAGGGAAACGTCTGGCTGTTGATGCTACAGCACTTGCAGGAGAACTTTTGGATGTTCCTCCCAGTCTTCTTAGTGCTGCTGGGCATCATTGCGTATGTCATGGAATGGCTCGTTTCGGCCGTCGTGGATTGGATGTTACACGATCCGTTGAAACAACCGGCCCCTCTGGTGCTCAGCGAATCCACAGATGAAAGTTCCAGCGAAGAGCTTCGCAGTACCACGGATTTGTGGGTTTGCGGCCTTTGAGTCGGTCCAGAAAATGATCCAAAAGATATTTCTACAGTATGGGCATCAGTCACGAATTCAGACACTCATTGAAACTCGTGTCACTATGAACCCTTGAATCTTGAGTCACTTCGTTCAGCCTAGGTCCTAGGTCCTAGGTATTCTCGATGGATTTGTTTCACTTTGCGCATAAGATTGGCATCCAGCCAGTGAAAAGGCGAGCGGTGAGAGCAATTCGGAGCGCCCTGCAATGAGTTGATGATGCGAGAATTATTCCACCCTTCCACCCTTAAGCGATTCACATAGATCAACTGGGGGGTTGAAGAACTTCAAGTCTTTGGTGTTTGTTCATTTCCCGGTTGGATCTTGGAGTACCTGACCAGCACTTGAAAAAGTACCCCTTGGAGATTATATCATTATATCTCCAATTGTCCAATAGTAAATTAACATAACTATGGAACATCACCATGCTATTAATGGGTAAATCCACGAACTAAATCACCATTTTCAATAGCAAACTGTTAGTATCTGTTAGTTTACCAGAGGGTAGTTGGTTGATGTTCAATTGGGATCAATTGGGACGCTGGTCGATGGATCAATCTGTGGCTCCAGCTGTTTTTTTTTTGGCTCCGAGTCGTCACGGTGCTTTCGTCCAGAAGGGTGACGAATCGCGGGCAACGCGGGCAACGCGGGCGCCATGTCCTATGACCTTCGGTGACCCCGGGGATGGTTCGGGGGATGACAGCCGAATCCCTTCAATTTGCCAGCAATCTACCAAAACACAAAAAAAAACCACGGAAATGCTGAATTTTGGTTGGATTTGAGTGACCGAAATTTATAGCCGACACTCATCGAGACGATTTTCCAGTTGGATTTTACTTTTCTGCCATCTTTTGCGGGGTTGCCAAATCATAAGCTATGTAAGCTGCAATCGGAATCAACAGAGGTGAAATCGTGAAGGTATCACTTGAAAGGCAGTGATAGGAGTCTGCGATTATTTTTTGCCTCCATTTTCGTTTCTGGCAGAATCAGTGAGTTTGAATCATAGCTGATCTCTCTCTGTGTCGATCATTATTGATCCATCTTCCCAACGGGAGCCAGCCATCTGTGGCATATCTGGCCTGGAGAGATGGAGCAATCCAGACCCGACACTCCGCGATCCACAGGAGGATATGCAATCACACCATGAGCAGCGGCCGCAATGCCACCGTCTTGATGGATCCCGTCCGGCCCTTGAAATTCGGGGATTTTGATGGCGGCCATTTTTGGTAGGGAAAAACCCCTATGGGAAAAGCCGGTGAAGACAGGAGTTTCCCGTAACTTTGGGGGGCCAAAATCGTCAACTCCCATGTTTTGCGACCTTTTCGTTCGGAACTGAGGACTATGTATTGGGCAAGAGCTTCTCCACCGCCAAGCCCAATGTAGGCACTGTGGGGGCATCGGGCAAGAAGGGTACAGCAGAAAGAGCCTTTGTGGGGATTGTGCGGCTTGTAAAACATGGATTTTAGTCTGGTTGAGCTGGCTCATTTGTAGCACTGTCAGAGATTATATATAATTATATATATATATATTCGTTGAATTTGTTTTGTTTTTGTTTCCTCTTTAGGGATTGCAAAAAGCCAAACACATTCTCACCTGTGGTCATCGTATCTTGGACTCAATAAGGCTGGACATGTAAAGCTGCATGTTCTGATCTGCAAGTCGCTAGTTGATGGTATGCATTCATCACGGCCCCCGAAACCTCTTGAACATCTTAAACGTGGGTTTTCACATTGGCTTGGAGCTTGGAATGACTGAATGACCACAGTCATTCCCAGCTAACTTCGGAGTACGAACTTGGGACCTACGGAGCCGGGTTTGAATTACCATCTCTGCAGAGATCATTTGGATGAATCGGATGAATGATGGATAGAAATGATGGATGTGTTGGACTTCCAAGATCTTCCAAGCTTCCCACAGGTTTTGATTTTCTCCAGTCATGTTTTACCGGTTTCCGGGTAGCTTTCCTCCCTAGTTTTGCGGCAGGCATCTTTGCAGCGAATGGCTACAAATGCTATCCACCCAACTACCGAAATCGCCCGCGCCCTGCTGATGTGAAGCGCCTGAGCATGCCAGTCCCTTGGCAAGGAACACCTGGTACTCTCAAAACGGCGTCTTTTCTTGTTGTTGGATGCGGAATTGAAGGTGCTACTGAAAATGATTTCTTTATTTTTTGTTTTGGTGGCTAGGCCCGGCTAGGCTATGTATCATACATAAGGTGGATGGACAAGAATCCTGCACCAGTTGCAGTTGATACATGGTTTCTCCCGCCATAATCCCATGATTCACAATGTTTCATAGCTATCAATAGTTACCAACTGGTGCAGGATTTCTATGGATTTCTTACCCTCTGGTAAACGTTATATAACAAAAAATTATGGAAAATCACCATGCTATCAATGGGTAAATCCACTATTTCAATGGCCATTTTCAATAGCAAACTGTTAGCAAATAACCAGAGGCTACATCCCATTAAAATCACCATTTTTGTTGGTTAAACCACGATTAAACCACCATTAAACCACCATTAAACCACCATAACCAGAGGGTACATCCACAGTATCTATGCAAGTTCTCCACCGGTTTCCACTTGTGAGGTGAGCCGGCCACCTCCGGTTCCAGCAGGGGTGTCGTCCATGCCTACCCTGCAGAAGGCGCTGGGTTTTTTTGGGACGTTTTGGGTCGTTGGGATCCACTAGGCTCAGGACGATTTCATCACTTTCTATCATAGAATTGGATGATGGGACAATTTACAGGAAAGCCCTATATTTGATGGTAAAAAAAACCATGGTTTCCGGTTAAGATTTTCCCCAACAAACCAATCCAATGATTCTAGTATCAATTTTTGGTTAGGAGACTAGATCTATGAATATTCTATGAATATTCTATGATCTATGACCTATGATCATGATCTTTCTGAATATCTATGATCATGTTCTACAATTTTCTACGGTATCAGCCTAGTTTTTTTCACCATTTTCATAGCCACCGGAGATCTCTTAAAGGTCCAGGAGCCCAACCGCAAAGTCTTGCCGCCAGGGAAGGTGCGCCTCGACACCCCAGCTCTTTCCGCCGGGAAGTTCAGGCATCGAGATTTTTCCGGAGGAAGTCACCAACAAAAACTATACCCTCTGGTTATGACTGTTACATAGCCATGGGAAATGGCCCATAGAGATGGTTTACCTATTAATAGCATGGTGATTTTCCATGGCAAGGTTAAATAACCAGATTATGAAGGAAGAAGTTTTCCCCCCAAAATCTCACTCCCGTATTTTTTTTGGGGGTAATGTGGGTAAAGACAATAGTATATAAACCACCCCCCAGTCATCACCAATAGATATAGGTGGTGGTTACCATTCCCAGCCATGGCCGGTTGATGACATTGGCAGGTGAACGTCGGAGCACAGCACCCCAGTCGTTTCAGGCGCAAGAATTTTTGTGGACGGGGGATGGCTATACGAAACGGAAACGGATGATGGCTATAGTGTTAGTCAACACAATGTGACATGGAATGTAGTATGGAATGTTAGTAATTCATATTATGGCTATTGTATCATAGTCATGTTAGTGGAATTAGTAAGATCCATATGAAATGATATAAAACACACATGTTCTATCATATCCTAACGGTATAATGTTAGTAATGTCATAAACCACCCGTATGTTGATGGTTTATTAACTATAACTACCCATAGAAATGGTAGATTTGGGGATGGTGTACTGTACCAACATGTTTGCTTCCCAGAGTGAGGTTGGGATACTAGAGATCCTGACGTTTTGAGGATCGAATCTTGTTTCCTTCACATTTTTTTTTCGGATTGAAGTGTGATATTCGAAAAGCAAATGGTTCCCCATATGGTATGTTCAGATAGACTCATGGTGGAGGCACGTCCTAGTTCTCATCCGCCCCAAGCCAGGCGTGTGACTTGAAATCCATGAAGCGCAACAGTTCCGTGACCCGTTTCTGATGTCAAACTTACAGAGTTTGACGAAGGGTAACGAAAAACCGGATGACACGTGGCGAAATTGGATGAGTCCATTGATATCTCAGGGAACCGGTGGAAAATGACGATGACTCCCGTGAGGGAAAACTGATAGAATCCTTTGGATCCTTTCCAGCCACGTGCTGTAGATCGATTCTCCCCGGTACAGTACAAAAAGTGAGGGGAGTTCCGGGTAGTTTGAAATCGCCGCCGCCAATGACTCGACTGAATCTGCTCTGGGGAAACCCCATCGCTATAAGGCGACTAGTGGGGTGTGGCCCAAGGGCATGGAGGGATGCTGCAGGCAATCCACTCAACTTTTGCATTGCATGACCGGTATGTACAGCCAGAGTGCTGCGGAATAAGCTGAAAAAAATCTGGAGCAGCATGAACGAGGGCCCTTCAAACTCTCCAAAACTTGCACCGTGAGGTAGTTTCCGGCAGTTTGCCAACTGGACAATCACCATTTTGAAGAACGAAGAATTTATCATCGAACCAAGTGGGCAAAAGGTGTGGCCCAAGGGGGCCCTTGGGTGCCGAGGTCCGGTTGTGCCGAAGGCGCCAACGGTGAAGTGACACTCAGACTGGAGAAGACTTGGGAGGAGAGCCTATGATGATCTATGATGGCCCTTTTATCAACCATTATCAACCATTATTCAGCATTATTCACCATAAATAACTAGAGGGTATCACCACCACTTTCCGCCCATTTCTCATGAATTCTCATCAAGCAGTTGACGCTTTCTGCGTTTAGCATCGTTTAGCAGCTTGTTATGGGCAAACAGATGCATTTCAAAAAAGGCCAAGGGATCATTCCCAGCGGTTGGTGAAAACATTTTTTCTGGAAACTTGCCATCCAGAACCGCATCGCCAGCTGTTTCGGCTCTGTTGGGTTCTGGAGGCGGCTGGTTGCGCCGAACCAACCGGCAACAGTTGGGGGTTCCCATGCAGGTTGGCGTCAATGGCACCTCGGGTCAAAGACCAACTGGGGATCCGGTCATTTTTTTTGGGGGACTTTTCGATGGAAAGAGTCCGGGGTCTTTGGGGCTCTTCATTTTTTGACTTTTTTTTTTACTACATATCAGGGACATATCACTTTGGAATGATTTGAAGCACAGAGAATTTTCAAAAATTTTCTAGGGTACCCCTCCAAACCCCTCCAAATTTTGAAGCCCGTTGGTTTTCTTTAATCCAGGGTTGACATTTTTTTGATTCATTGGATCATCACATCACCCCCAGGCTACCAGGACTATGGAGATGTGGATGCCACCATGAATGCCTTCTCGCAATGGCTCAGTGATGCTTGTCGAGTCGACATTGGGGAGGTTTTTTTTGGTTGTGAGTGGCTCGATTTTGAGGCGAACTCTGGTGATTTTGAGATTTTTGAAGGTCTAACCCTCCATTTTTGTTACCAGGCTGTTGAATTTGGAGACCATCTTTTGTGTGGATCCAGACATATTGAAATAGAGATGTTGCATGGACACAATTTCCGATGTATCTGAGGGCACACCATCCGTTTTGGGTCCTCGATTTTGACCCAGATTTCCCCCCACGTCCCGATTTCTCCAGCATTTTCTTCACGAAATGAGCCCCAAAACGGAGAGGAGGGTCCAGGGTGCGAGATTTTCTACAGGAAAATCCATGGATTTTCCACTTCCACTGCAGCTGCAAGGAGATGAAATCCCGTTCAAACAGCAGCCTGTGCTGCGGCAGCAATCGCGTTTTTGTTGTACCCTCCCGTGTCATCAAACATGGCGGGCCGCTAGGAAATCCTCATCAAAAATGGATATGAAAAAAGGGAAAAGCACCGTTCGAACGGGTGGAAATTTCCGGCAAACCGTGTTTGATCAGGGGAAGGCATGTACCCTCTGGTAAACTAACATAACTATGGAAAATCACCATTTTTAATGGGAAAATCCACTATTTCTATGGTCATTTTCAATAGCTATGTAACAAATTACCAGAGGGTACAATTCAGTTGGAGGACTTGGGTGAATTGAAGGTTGTAGATGGCAGATCAGGTCTTCCATTATGGATCCCAAGTGGCTACTGTAACCATTGCCCTTCATGGTGGCTTTTCAGCAAGAATTCATCCCAAATCTGCAGGTTTACTATGGTTTACTACTCAAAAGCTGCTTGGTTTACTCCGAAATTCTCCTAAAACTTGAAAGGTCTAGAAATCCACCCCAAAATCATCCAAAATCACTAGAAGTCCGCCCAAAATCATTGGAAATCCGTCCAGAAACCTACCCAAAATCACCAGAAATCCATCCCAAAATCCCCAAAAAGGCAGGCCATGATGGCAGAGATGAGCGTCATCCGCGACGGCATCACCTCCAACAGTGCAGACCTCACAGAGTACGGATGCCTGGGGGAAATCCTGGGGATTCAGAGATGATTTGGGGTTCTTCCTTATCTGGTTGGTGGTGACTGGAACCCATGGTTAATAATGGTTAATAATGGTTAATAATCACTGGTTGGTGGTGACTGGAACCATGGAATTTTGTTGGTTGACTTTCCAGAAACACTTGGGAATGGAATGGAATTTCATCATCCCAACTGACGAACTCCATCATTTTTCAGAGGGGTTCGGCTTAACCACCAACCAGTTATGGTGAATCATAAGGATTTTTTGCGGGATTGGATTCATCATTTTCATCAGCATCCCAACGGGGTGATTTGGAGTTTTTTTAATGGTGATGATGATGTTTTTGACGATGGTAAACCATGGTAAACCATGGTAAACCATGGTAAACCATGGTAAACCACAGATAGAAATGCTAAGCCATGCTTATAATGCTTCCATGATAAAACACATTCTCACTTTTTTCTTGATTGGATTGGATTCCGTTGGTACATTTCGATCTTTTTTGGGTGTCGTGTTTTTTTTTTCCGTTGTCGTTGTTGTTATCGCTGGGCTAGGATCAATACCATGTCGAAGAGATCACAAGAGCACCTTCCCCTCCAAAACAACCACTCAACTGGACTTTAAATGTCATGTTGCACAGTTCTCTAAGGTAGTTCTTCACCCAGGGTCATTGGAACACCTCCAGCCATTGTGTCAACCCCGGATTGACCAATCACTGGTTTTTTAATTGGGGTGGTACCATTTCGATAGCAAATTACCACTCCCACTAGATACAACTCCTAGCCGCACCACCCACAAAAAAGCCTCAGAAATGGCGGGAAAGCCTGCAGGAAAACTGTGGTTTTCCGGGACTTTTCCGGGACTTCCCCGAAAACTGTACAAAGGCGGCCATTGTTAAAGAAAAATTGAGTACAGTACTAACAATCCCCAGAGGCACCCCCATAGCTTTTCTAAGCCCCGAATTCTCACTCTTTTTGGAGGTCCCATTTATTCTCACCAAAACCAACAGAAAGGACATGACTGATAAAGGATTCATCGATAAATACTGTTGGCGAAGTAGCACCATTTATTCAGTCTACTGGTATTTTTTTGGGGAAAAACAACTAATACACCAGGGTCCATAACAAAACCTGTACTCTTCAAGTATTTCTACGATAACTAGCATTAACATCATCATCCCCTTGAAATCACCATCTTAGCATGCCCAAATCCCAATGGATTTCCGGGAGTTTCACCGTTTCACCCATGGTTTTTCCCACCAAATCACCAGAAACCGGGCTGCAAACCCACGCCGGTCCCCCCGGTTCCAGGTACAAACGCCACAGCATCTCCGTGCAACAGCAGATGCAGTCGCAGCTCACAGATCTGCGAGAGAAGTTGACGTGCCCTGGCTGTTGGAACACTTAAGCCATGTCAAGCCAGATTTTTTTTGTGGGAAGATTCCCATGATTTTAGGCCCTTACATAGGATATATATATATAATTATATATTATATTATATTATATTATATATATGGGCCATATAGGCCTTATAGATTTTTTGGGAAGATCCCCGTGATAGTTGGTGTCAATGAAAGACACCAGGTGCGTTTTTATGATTTGCGAACGGAACGGTGACGTCAGAGTTTTCCAGGCCAACTGAGAAATCACCCCCAATTGATGATTAGAAGCCGCCAGGCTAACCCCAAAAAGGTGATATCGTCATTTGCTCTACTAGAGTGGACAAAAACACCACAAGTAAACACGGATCATCCTCGAATTGGATTGTGGGCATGTTGTTTTACAGTGAACCTGCCGGCAAACTCCGGTTACGATTCGTTAAGAATTTCCCTTCAAGCTATCCATTGAACCCAGGAAGCGTGACTCCATTTCTCCCTCTCTGGCTCGAGGAGTGCCTTCTCTGAGATCACCTCGCTTGTGAAGCAAAAGGCTGCAACTGACCAGGAGCTACGGCAGCTACGGTGGAGGGTTGCGAAATCCTGCACCAGTTGAAAACGGTGGTAAACATCCCATTATTCATAGGGTTTCAACCATCTAAGGTGATGCAGGATTTCGCAACCATCCACAGTATGACCCTCTGGGAATCAAACAGGAAAAGTGGTCCGTTGGTCCTGATTTTCCCATTGATATTGATGTGCAGCGAGCCGGAGCCTGACGACTGGGTCAAGATTTCATTCCTCAAAGGTTTCTTGAAGTTATATACTTGGAAATAAGCATTCATCGCAACGAAGCAGAAGTCAAAACAAGTGTTGGGAGACAAGAGTCCCACGTACCTTGGTGGTAGTGTTATATATCATATATATCTGGTTGGTGGTTTCAAACATTTTTTTATTTTCCATAATATATGGGATAATTCTTCCCATTGACTTTCATATTTTTCAAGATGGTTAAAACCACCAACCAGATATTCTATATCCCCACTGGATAAAATGGGATGAACTATTGGGTTATGTTATAGTTATATATATATATAGTTACATATATATATATATACCTATATGGATGATAAAGATGTATAAACCACAGAAACTGAGTGTTATATATCACATCATCACATCCTATATCACCATTGTTATAGGCTTTATACCAACTTATAGAGCCCACAAAATCCCATGGTTCGCGATGGCTCGCGATCCCACAGGAGCTGCTCAGCGAAATCCATGCTTTGGGACGGCAGCTCTCGATGAAAACCGCTGAGTTGGAGGCGAAAAAGCAGTGAAGCAACACGCGAATTACCAGTTAAATTTGGGATGCAGTAAACAAAACTAAGATATAGTAACCTCCAAAATGATCGAACATCGTCATTTCTATAGAATTTTACGACTTACGACCGTCTTTGGTTTGGGGGTTGCTAAAGACATTTTTTTCAGACAACTAGACTCTACAGGTGTTACGTTGGGCTGCCGGCTTTTCAGAGGCTTTGAAGAAGTCCTATAGCTCAACTCACCAACAGCTTCAGCAGAACCTCGTGCAGCTGCAGGTGAAGATATCATGGGGAAACATGAGGATGAGTCACTGTGTTGGGATATATTTATAAATTTATACTTTAGTCATAGTTATATATGTATTGTTATATATTTATATAGTTACACACACACATATATATATAGATTATAGCACATAATGGGGATGCAATGGGGCTATGATGGGAATATCATGACTGGGGACATACCTGGGAGATGATCTAAGCACGTGTCGCCGAGAATAGTATGCGGGCAAATGATATCTCACTGGCCGACTGGCCTACTTCATATGACAACATGCCGCATTTCTGGTCCTGAAATTATAGTCAGTTGCCTGGATTTAACTCACTTTGGTTTGTGGATATTCATGCCTCCAAGAATGAATCGGACAAAAAACTGCCATATTTCTTTCATCAGATTTCATGGCTTTTCAAAGTTCTCATCATAGAGTATTTTCCCATTCATCCTTTGTTTATAGGGTCTTTTCCCATTGCCATGTTTGATTACCAGAGGAATCCGGAGGGATCCAGAAAAATCAACTCTCGGGATTTTTTCCGGCGATGGGCACAGTGGTGTTCTTGGCAAAAGCGATGGTTTCCGGTGATGTTCTCTGGGTTCTAATGGGAATTTATGGGAATTTATGGTGGTTTAATGGGATCTAATGGGAATATACCCTCTGGTAACTTAACGTAGCCATGGAAAGATCCACCATAAATATAATAGGTACATCATCTATTTCTATGGGTCATATTCCATAGCTATGTAACAAATTACCAGATCCATTGAACCAAATCTGCGTTTTTTTTTTCTAATATTCTCACCGTATGGCTGATGGATTCGGATCCCTTCCATGTTTTGGATAAATCTATCAGTCTGTCTGTGGCAGGGACAACTTCAGTCCACCGGAAGCGAGATTGTGTCTGCCAAGAAGCAGGCGCAAGCCAGGCACCTAGCGATTCATCCTTGTTAGTGAGTTGAGCCTCAGGATGTTCGGTGGAAAAAGTGGGATCGCGAGATGACCAGGCGGAAACAGGGACATTGAAGGACTTGAAACCGTTGAAACACCATAAAAAATCCATACCCTCTGGTGAACATACAAAAAGCAATTAAACATGGCCATTTATAGTGGATTTTCCCATTAAAAATGGTGATTTTCCATTGCTATGTTAGTTCACCAGAGGGTAAAACACCTGAACTTCCAGTGTTGGGGATGAAACCTGAAAAAATCCCTAGGCTGTGCAAGAAAATGTGCAAAGCAAGTTGGACGAGGCGGCTTCAGCCCTGGTGGATCCCCAACAGTAGAAGCTCCGCTTATTCTTGGGGTGTTCGATTTTTGGTTGAAACCCAAAAACCCTCTGGTAAACGTTGACGTAACTATGGAAAGATCCACCATGCTATCCATGAATCCACTATAAATTAATGGGCCATTTTCCACTTCGCAAACTGTAACAGTCATTACCAGAGGGTTTCTTGGGTTGCTCCAACGATCATTAGAGGTCAATGGCCACTACTGTTGATGGTTGCAAAATCCTGCACCACCAGCTTGGATGGTTGAAACCCTAGAAATAATGGGATGTTTACCACCGTTTTCAACTGGTGATAACCGGATTTCGCTGGCCCCTCCACCGTTTTCGGACCACGGTTTTCGGACGACCGTTTTCAGGTGGAGTTGCTGGCTCAGCGGCTGCGTGATCAAGTGGACTCTAGCGGTCGAGAGGGCAACGCCACTGCTGCTTGGCTGCGATCTGTGCGAAGACCGCCATGGTGCCGCAACGCTGTGGCGGGGTCATTCTGCTGGATGATATCTGGAGATTTTTCCGGGATCTGTTTTACGGATGGGATAAAGTTGGGTTAAAACATGTTAAAACATTGTTAAAGATAGGGATGATAATATAATGAGAGATGCAATCAACTACAAGCAAAATCGTTGGATGGTGGGATGAGATGCCGTGATGTATCCATTGATTGAGGGATGGTCAGCAACTTATGATAATTGAATGTTTATATTCTATGGTAATTTCAGGATCCTAAAATGGAGGTACGTAAACGTACCATATGTTTAGCCATTTGAATTGTGGGGATATTCCTTGAAGCTTAGGCCTTCAACTAGGCCAAAAATATATGGTAGGTACCTCCAATAAATCGCTTCCTGAAATGACCATTGATATATCCTGTTTCGTTTTCCCACGGATCATGTATTGACCATGGCAGACATATGGATGGAAGTGATGGAAGTGATGTGGTACTCTGGGACAACTAGCAGTAACTAGCAGACTAATATCCATACATAACAGAGACAAGTGGTATTCTCTGATAGAGTCTTACTGTCAAGCCCGGATTAGTAAACCATGGTTTATTAATTGGGGGGTATTCCCCGAATAGTCATGAGTTGATACTTTTTTATTGTACCTTCCCAATGACACAGCCGTTTGGGGTTTATTCACCAGGGTTGACATCAACATATCCAAACTGGACGTTCGCAGGCATCTCGATGGATGCACATGGAAAAAAAACCATGCATTGAACGAACTGGGCCATGGCTTCCATGGCAAAGTGCTAAACTACCAGGGGGTAGCCAATTTATAGATCGTTCATACTGAAGATCAATGTCAATGGATATGGGTTAGTTCATTTAAACATGATCAAACTTGATACCAATTTTAAGTGGAAATTAACCTTCCAAGCCCCCCAAATGGCAGGGTCTATGTTAATTTTGGGGAGGGTAACTTGATATATAGGAACCTAATCAAATATCTATAATTTATATGATATATATACCCAATCTTCTATATAGGATATCCCTCGATATAGAGAAATAGGTATATCATTTATAGAGCCCCCCCCGGTCATGTTACTTTTGCAAACCCCATTAATTGCAGTTGTAATTGCGATAAACAATCGGCATTGTGATATGCCCTAGGGTAAACATACAAAAAGATATGAAAAACAATGGTTTGCCGATCGGAAAATGATCTAGATTCATGGTGGATTTTCATGGATTTTCCACACCGAACTGCAAACGTTTACCCCAGGGTACACAATCAAATATCCATCATTAAAATTCCACTGAATCCCATTGGATCCTCATTTCCAGATTAAATCTGATAAAATCACCAACATTCTCCTTAGTTATTGTGACACATGCTCGATTTTCATGTTTTTTTTTTTCTCCATGGATTTTTCACCTCTTCTGTATTTTTCCAGTTAGCCTGTGATGTTCCAGGCTTTGGCCGTGCAAGACGACATTGCCAAGTTGCACGAGGCGAGTCCGTGCAGTAAACGAAGACTTTGCGAACTGGAAGCCATGGACCGTTGAGTTCGATGGGATTTACCTATAAAGATACCCTCTGGTAAACTAACATAGCTGGATTTACCCATTAGAAATGGTGATTTTCCATAGTTATGTTAGTTTACCAGAGGGTAGGGTAGTGACTTTTTTTCCAGTTCGCAAACTGTTGGTTGACCAGAGGGTATATCTCATCATATAGGGGCCAACCAACAGTTTATACTCTTCATAGAGGGTCAATATTCAGAGGCTATAATATAATAATATATCATAGAGGGTATGGGAATATACATGAAGATACTATTATGATAAGAGGCTTGATACCCTTCGGTAGTCAAATGTGTTTTCAAAGAAGGTTACATGGCTAGCTGCTTAGCTGGGATAGCCGTGAAGAAAATTTGGAGGTTTATAGCTGGGAACATCATGGCTGAGGGATTTGATTGGAACACTTGGCACAATTTGGATGTTTAGATGTGAGTTTACACGTGTTAGAATCTAAAACAACCTGTAAAAGCCATGGATTCTCATGGTTGTTGCAAACCTATGTGGCATTTGGGGTGCTTTGTCTATGGATGGTAGCCGGTTCGACAATCGGAAGAGCCATTTTGTAGGGGTCCAGCCAAGAATTTTCTGGTGGTTTATGGGGCAATTTCTAGGACCCACGTGTGTAATGAATTGTCCAAACAATGACTTTAGGACAGGTCAATAAGTGTTGTTGCACTCAAGAACAAACTGGATGGTTTATTCGAATTTGGGAGCATATCCATTTCTCAAACAAACCCAACTATCGCATTCTTGGCTGTATATCCCACAAAAAAATGGAAAAATGGGGGTTTCAGGGCGTATATGTTTGTATGTTGCTTGTTATGATTTTGTGTTGGGGTTCAATGTTTCATCCTTGGTTTTGATGATTTACTGGGACATTGTTAGGGGTGGTTTAGGGTCTTAACTTTCACTTGATGGTTTGGTTTAAGATGAGGGGGATAATTGTTTAGGCTGTTGGGGTTTTGTGTTTGTGTTTGGGCGGGTGATTACTTCATAGTATGTCTTGTTCAGATATTATGAATTAATCAATTTATGCTTTCCATTTTAGACACAATCATTTTAGTGTTCTACCCCCAAACATTGAGAAACAATCGTTTTGATGTTGTAGAACACTAAAATGATTGTGTCTAAAATGGAAAGCATAAATTGATTAATTCATAATATCTTAACAAGACATATTATGAAGTAATCACCCGCCCAAACACAAACACAAAACCCCAACAGCCTAAACAATTATCCCCCTCATCTTAAACCAAACCATCAAGTGAAAGTTAAGACCCTAAACCACCCCTAACAATGTCCCAGTAAATCATCAAAACCAAGGATGAAACATTGAACCCCAACACAAAATCATAACAAGCAACATACAAACATATACGCCCTGAAACCCCCATTTTTCCATTTTTTCCCCACTTATTTTTGTATCATTACATGCCATTCCATCCCTTTATACCCTATATATTACTTTTTCACATCTATACGTATATATTTATGTGCCAGTTTTATACCTTATTTATTGTCGGTTTCATTTTCATCCCCTATATATACATATATTATATAGATGGCGATGGGCAGAGAGAGAGAGATATATATATACACATACATAGATAGCCCACTCCCAAAAAAAAATCAACAATTGGTGGTCTTCTATATTGTATATGTCTCCCCAATGTTTCTGACAGTTCGCTTTTCCAATTTTATTGGTGAGGCCCTGACTGGCCTCTCTGGTGACTTCTTTGAGCACAAGCGCCTCACTCAGCAAGTGCAAAGCAAACTCTCCAGCCAAGCCGCTTGGTTCAGCAAGCCGGATGGGATCTTGACAGCTTGACCATCCTTAGGCTATGATAAGCCTATGGAAGCCCTATGGAAACCCTGTGGAAACATGGAAATCCTATGAAAAACCCTATGGAAACCATGAAATTCATGGAGATTTCATTTCAAGAATGGGATATGATGAGGATATGCCGGGGATATGATTTGTGAATGTCAATCCTGTGCTTGGAAGCAGTGCCGGTCGAACCACTGGTGTCTTAGTTGGAAAACCATCCATAAATGGGCGGCGATTTTTTGTTGCCACATGTGATTGCCATGGGGTACAATGATCAGAAATTGGGCTGTTCACAGTGCAAAATATGGCATTTTGGCTGGCAAAGTGGGGTTTCTGCAGCTCAACCGAAAACTCTGTGACGAACAGATCAACACCAAATGAATGGAGATAGAACTAAGACCCATGAATCAACTGGGAAAGTCATGAACAGATTTCTGCTTCTTGCGAAGCGCAACCACTTGAAAATAACGACAGTGATAAACCCACTATCACGTTGTTGGTTCCATATCCGAATTATAGCCACAACTTCCGATTTTATTATGTCATCATATCATCATATCCTATGAATATTCCATAATTATATTCCATTGTATCCCATTATATCCCACTATTTCCCTACCTAAGATTTTCCATGATATGCGATTCTTTCCCATGATTTGTTTTTTAAATATCCCATGGCCAGCCCATTAGAACTTCCTATTTTGATTCACCAGAAACGTGTCGGCAATTTTTCTTGCCAAAAAAAACGCAGGTTGCAGCGCTGGAAGAGGGCCGGCAAAGATCTGCGAGCGTCCTGCAGGCGCCGCTCCCCTTAGACAAGGCAGGACGGTGACAGGAGCTCTGAATGATCTATGATACATCTAATGTCAACCCTGGATTAATAAACCCCAAACGGCTGTTTAATTGGGAGGGTACCATTTAAGTATTAGATTATGACTATTGGAGGAGTACCCCCCTAATTAATACACAATGGTTTATTAATCCGGGCTTGACATTATCTATCTAGGGGGCTTCTGATTGGCTTATGGCCGTGTTGGTGAGATCTATGTTCTGTACCAGCGTGCCGGAGCTCTAGCCTCATGATAAAGCAACGATGCGGGAACACAGGGACTTGAATAAACCCTTGTAAACGCCTGGTTGGCTTTCTTCACCCTCCGGTAAACTAACAGTCTGCTATTTAAAATTTCCCATTTTCCTTGATTTATCTCTTAAAAGTGGTGATTTTCCATAGTCATGTTAATTTACCAGAGGGTATAATGTTGTATGATATTGTATTGTGTATATATATATATATACATACATGTATGTGTATGTGTATGTTTATGTGAATGACGATGATGATGATGATGATGATGATGGTGGTGGTGGTGGTGGTGGTGATGGTGATGGTGATGGTGATGGTGATGACGGAGGAGAACAAACAACAGAAGAAAAAGGAACATCGATGAACATAGTCAGCATCAAGAGAAGGTTACCCATCAAGATGAAAAGGATTGTGGCCAGTTCTATCACATTCTTGATTCTTTATCCCAGAATTATCCCCCATGACACCGCTTCCGATTTTAAGACCTAATCATCCTAATCATCTTCCATTAATATACCATCGTTATATCCCAAGATGACGCGTCAGGATGGGGAGTTAGCGTCGCAGACTGCGCTGCTGCCGGGCGCGCAAGAGCGTAGCCGATGACTTCGCAACCCGCGGGGCCTAGTTGGGAGAGATCTGGCATCATCAAAATAGATGGAGAATTAATAGTAAATGGATGATCATGTGGGTAAAACAATGTCATAAACCACCCATGACTGGGAATGGTTGATAACACCTATTTATGGTGATTTGGGGGATGGTTTATTTTACCCACATGTATGATTTATTTCCCACCCGAAAATCTATGATATGGTAGGTTTTGGCTGATACAAAATTGTTGGATTCCGTTTGTGATGCTTTCTCTCTGCTCCTGTTGCAGGTGTGTTAGGTCGCGCGTTTTACGCCGTATACTCGTACATTATTGTGTTATGGGCCAAATGTCCAGGAAAATGCAACAAGAAGTTGTGAAGGGCGTTTGAGAATCATCAGCAATGATCCTCTGCAAAAATGGCACCCTCTGGTAAACATACAAAAAACTATGGAAAATCACCATTTTCAATAGGTAAATCCACTATTTCAATGGCCATTTTCAATAGCAAACTGTAACAAATTGCCAGAGGGTAAAGTGATTGATCCGGCCCTTGCAACTTTTCACGGCTTTGGAAGGCAGTTCGTGGGAGGTAGATGCAGATGGAAGACATTTCAGGGGCCCCAACTCTCCATTTACACCGGTAGATCTTTAGTTGAAATGGGTGATTTTCCATTGCCATGTCTGAGATACATGAGCCCAGCCCAAAAAGTTGGAATGATAAGGCGGCAACTCTTAGCGATTCACAGGTGAAATTTCGAGCTTTTCCATCCCGTGCCATGTCACGTCCATAGCTTGAGGCAACTGCAATGACCCCCCACACCAAGCACTGCAAAAGGTTAGCGCATGGTCTGCCTCTGCATCGATGGTCTGCCCAAAAAAACATCCTGCACGTTGTCGCCGGCCGCCTGTGGATTCACGGGGTAGCCACTAATTCCAACGTTTCTGAACTCGTTCTGAGTTGACGCCCTCAAAAAAAACATGAGTCGAAGCTGTCTCTTCAAAGGTCTTTGTTTTGGACTTGGGCGTTATGCTTTTCAATGACCCAGCCATTTTGGTACGCGTGTGCCTTGGGTACAAAAGATCTGTGCATCTGCGCCAAAGTTTTCTGGCGCCGTCTGCAAAAGAGAAAGGTGATGCCAACGTACGAATTCAAGAGCTTGAGGGCAGGGTTTTACCACCAGCCGATAGTCTGTATATATATATAACATATATTATACATTTATACATAACAGCCATGAACATTGTATATATATATATATATATCATGCTCTCGGTATGTGTCCACAAGGCCTTTTGTTTGGGGCGGGGATTTCGTCCTGCCTGCAGTGATGCTCAAGATGATTAGATAGCCAATGTTGGCGCCCCTGCGGCCGGAGGATGTCGAGCCTAAGCTCAGAACTGCCTGGGATGCTGATGGCTGACCGACTGTTTGTTCCAAGGTTGATCTTTAGAAAGCCTTCCAAAGAGATAAGAAGAGTTAAACCTCAATCCTAAATAATGTCAACCCTGGATTAATAAACCCCAAACGATTGTTTAATTGGGGGGGGTACCATTTAAGTATTGGATTGTGACTATTGGAGGAGTGCCCCCCTAATTTTCATAAACCATGGTTTAGTCTCATCCGGGGTTGACATTAGTGATAAATTGAACTTCTTGAAGCTTTTCTTTATCTCTTGGGGGGTCGCTACAACTGCGAGATCCGACTGCATCCGAGACTCCAGATTCGCCTGAGGACTCGCGAAGGAGGAGGAGCATGGCGCACCTATACGTCCAAGCAAGTCTTAGGGGCACGAGGTGCTGTGGAACTGGGTAGCCAGCTCCTATGGGAAAAAAGATCGGGGTGATTTCCTGAACCTGAAACCTCTGGATTTTAGCAAAATCGGATCATTCCTCCAAGCTACTCCAAGTTTTAAGCTGGGAAATTGGTGAATTAAAAACCATGAATAGGATGACATCCAAAATTTGTCAAAACCTGGATTTTACCTGGTTTAATATTGGATCAGCAACTGTCATATCTATCCATCTGTTCATCAATCAACATGGATTTGTCACATGACCCTTAAATCCTCCATGGACAAAGATTGAAACCCGTTAGGCATGCGCCTAGGAGCATGCAACAGCATCTAGCCATCCTCAAGAAATCACTCAGTTGCCACTTGGAGCCTCCAAGAAGGTTGGATAGATAAACCTCTCCATTTCCTCAGGTGCTCAGCAGTTGGTCGGAATGTTCAAAAATCCTGACCCCCCCGGCGCCAAAGAGAAGGAAGTGAGGGAGGCGCAGCTGGTGCAGTGGTTGGACATGGAATGACATGGAATGTTGCAATTGTTGCAATGAAGTATCGAGAACCAGATATGGCAGGACATTGGTTAAACGAATAAGACATGTTGAGCCAGGTTAAGACATGTCAAGATATGTTAAGATATCTTCTAAGACATGTTAAGATCTATTAAGATCTAGGATATGTTGTGCGATATGGAAGGACCCCTCCGCCCAAAGCCTTCCACACTTCCACACTTCCACATAGGCTGAGGAGAAGGAAGCGCAGGTTCCGGGGACGATTTGGTGGTAAAATGGCTGTGGATGCTGTGGTGACGGGTTACCCTGGGGTAAACTAACGTTAGTTCGATGTGAAAAAAACACAAATTGGAGATGATGCGGTCTATAGATCTAGATTCATCTAGATTCATGGTGGATATTTTTATGGATTGTCGACATTACGAACTATAAATGTTTACGGGTAATGGTAATGGATAATGTGGGTAATATGAACATTTCCATGTGGTTCATGGTGAATGACCCCAATGATTGGTTCATGGTAAATGGTGAAAAACATATGGGATAGTTAGACCCAATCAGAATTGGTTGATGGTTAGATGGGAGACATCTGGTTGACCATGTTGCTCAAAACCAAACTATCCCACAGAAAAAAAAACCAGAAGAGGGGGGTCATGATGAACATCATCCCAGTCAGAAGGAGGTACCCTCTGGTAAACTAACATCACTATTGAAAATGGTCATTTATAGTGAGTTTTCCCATTAAAAATGGTATTTTCCATAGTTACGTTAGTTTACCAGAGGGTACCACAACTTTCAATGATCTTGGCAAACGTGACGGCTAGTGGTTAGGGAGCTTTGGAGCTACGACTTGCGTTTCCCAAACACAATTTACCGGTAATCTGGGTGAGCTTTGACACACATCTCGCTTTTTTATTGGAAAAAACACATGATTTGGACAAATAGTGGGGTGACCCTTGTCAGAATCAATGATGGTGGATAGAGTTCCATGGCAAGGAGCGTGATTCTAGCCAAAAAACTGGATGATTAATACTTAACAGAATCTGCGCTCCCCGCCTTAGTCTGGTGCGCCCTTAGTTATAAGTTATTTTCCAAGAATTATAGCATTCAGATCACCACAAACCAGTCATTGGAGTTAAACCCCAACTTAGTTCCGGGGGGCACCACCTATCCCATGTTGGTTTCATCCTATTTTTTCCTGCGAAAAACCATAGAAAAACCCATGGAAAACCCATGGCCTTTTTTTTGGGTCGCTTCGAGGCGCGCCACTTCTCTGGGCTTTTCTGGAGCATCATCGGTGTGCCACCGCCAGACTTTGAGGTGGTCTCCGACACGACGCTTTTTAAAAAGCGCTGGGGTGTGGTTCCCTTGGGGGAAAACCTTGGGAAATGCCTTGGGGTGAAACGAGCATTTTATGGGCTAAGCATGGGTAAATAACAAGGGACTCCATTTGATAGATGGCTGAATTATCCATAGATGATGGTTTCAGATGATGGTTTCGTGAAAATCACCCGCAAATGGCCGAACGAATCTGGTTTAGGACAGAATTTTCATTTCCAAACAATTTCTAGACATTTCTAGCTGGTTGTGATCACTTTTCATGGTTCCCCGAGTTGTATGATGGGACTTTTTAGAGGGAACATCGGAACATCCCATATTTGACTTGTGGGGTGATGACTAGTGCAATTGCCTGACATGTCTTAATCCCATTGAATTGGTATTTAGTAGAGATTTATCCTGCAAAAAACAGGGGTTCAATTTGATTTATGCTTGTGTCCCGTCATTTTGCCCTTCAATGCTTTGATTTTGGTGTGATAATTAGGGTGAAGAATTGAACACGGCAAACATGGTTAAAAAACAGTTATGAACTTGGCTGCTGGTTTCAAAGAATTATGGTATTTTTCTTGATTTTCCATCCATGTCTGTTTGGGGTGACATTGGGTGATGGATGGTGATGTGGAGAATTCATAAGGGGTTCAAGACAAAACCCACGGGTTGGCCATGGGTATTTACCAGCCGAATTGACGTGAACGTGAAAACTGTGATTTTAACAGGAAAACATGTGAAGTTGCGACCACACATATCCCAACATTGGGGTTAGTGATGTATCACTAAGGAATGGTGCTTTCAAATGTTTGTGTTTTTTCTTTTCGCCTTTAGCTTTCCACATGAACATGTTTGTGGTGACGATCCCCGATGGCATGTTCTGAATGAGGAGATTTTAGATGACCACCAACGAGTGCATGTTTGTGATGTGTTGCTGTGTTGGTTGGAATTGAACAGTGTTGGGGTATTGGCATGTATTGGGCCATGTAATGCAGCGATTGCATTTTCTCCTTGAAGTCCTTGAACGGAAAACATCAGCCCCAATGGAGGATCCATTGGACCTTTGGGACATTTTCCTGAAATGGGGGTAGCCCAAAACTGGATGGTATATAGTGACTAGTGGAAAATCCTCTAAAGATGGATGATTTATAGTGGAAAGTGGAACATCCTCTAAAAATGGATGATTTATGGGTGCCCAAAAAATTTCAGGAGCTTTCTCCATGTCCTTTCTCAGGATTGGTCCCAGTCATCGAGCTTCGCTTTCGGATCTTTGGAAGAGTTTGGCCGTGGAGTTTGGTGGATCTTTTGGGAAAGTCAGATGAAGATGTTCCGGCAGAGTTGTTCGAATTTTTCGATGTAGCTGTTCTGGAAAGTGGATCAACTGGGAATGCTTTTGTTTTTTTGTTTTGGATGTGTTTGTTGCGGGGGGAAAGGGCGCAGCGCTGAGGGTCGAAGTGGTTCTCCCACAGATTTGGGTGAAGTGTTACATAGATGTCAATGACCGAACTCGGGTCGACGTCTACTTTTATATAAATGGTGGTTACCTGATGGTTCGTACCTCGGTTTTTGGGCCTTGTATCATGCTGCGTTCTGATTCAGAAAGCCTCTTTTAGTTGCAAGCCTCTTGTAGTGCTATGTTCCAAGATCTTTCCATCATACTTTGCTGGATGAGTCTGCAGCAAGATGAGTGGGCCAACTAATGCCAACCACACCATGTCAAGTTGGCTGGGGTAAGTTAATTTCTATTTTTTTCGCTGCACAGGTAGGAAGATGCATCATCGTTGAATGTCAAGTCAATGCCCGAGAAACAAGTTTCCTTTGAGGTTTGTCCCAAACCCCGGATGTTCTGGATTTGGTGTTTCTCCCTTTCTTTTCCGACGAATTCTTCAGCAACAATGGTTCCCTGTCTGAGTTTTTTCTCATTTTTAGTGGCCAAAAACGTCCCCAAACATGTTTTTCTTCACCTCTTGGAGGTTCTTTCTCCCGAAAAACGGATGGAACGCAGCCCTGGCCCAGCTCCACCAACCGGCTCCCGTCCTAAGATCTACATCCAGCCCCCAGAGCAGCCTCTGAAGGCTGCGGTTGTGGCCAGGGTTGGGGGCAGCAAAAACCTATGGGTCGCCAGGGGGTTTGATGGGGTACCCTCTGGTTATGGAACAGGTTGTTATGGAAGCCATGGCCTACTTATAGATGATTTACTTGTTAAACATGGTGATTACCCATGGCTATATTAGTTCACCAGAGGGCAAACAGCCATCAAACAATGGGAAAGATGATGATCAACCATCAAATTTGGGGCTATCAAGCCAATATTAATTGCACCCAAAAACAAAAATGATTGACTATCCAGTGTTTGGGAGGGAGTGGTTTGTAGCAATGCGTATCCAAATTCTCTGTCAAATGGGGAGCCACAGGGCTACTAAGGCTTCCCCAGCAACATGATAAGATGGGGATGCAATCAAACGTGTTCTGTAAGATATTAGGTCAAACATTCGGGTTGTAATGAGCATGGGGCCAACAGATGATTGGGACATGTTGGAACCCATGGGTGGTTCTATGCCACAAAACGTGCCAACTATTCTGGTTTCCATTTTGTTGGCTGGAACGCTGCGAATCCATCAGTTCAGGGTTTATTTGAGCATGATGGGGGATAAACTTCTACATTAGGTCATGCATGAAATCTCGATGTAGCCCTTCAACATTCTTAGGCCGCAATTTTTTTTGGGCATTTACCTAGAAGATCTACAGGGTGGACCTTCCGTTTATCATGGGCGTCATAACAGGCCCAGCTTGATGACCCAGGTATGGCATGGGACAAGCTACGAATCTGGCATGGATTCCCCTATGATTTATAGCCCCAAAAGATGCCCTCTGGTATTTCCCAACATTTTTCGATGGAAAAATCATGAAAAATCACCATTTTCCATGGGTAAATCCACTATTTCAATGGCCATTTCCTGCATCTTCTTGGGGGGTCCGACAGGTCCCACAGGTTTTTTCCAGGTTCCACAGGTCCCACAGTGGATCTCCAAGCTGCCAGGAAGTCCGTGTGCTTGGCCCGCGGCGCAGCTCCGAAGCGGAGGCACGCAAGGATGGCTGTATCTTGGCGTCTGAGGAGGTTTTGGGAGGTTCTGGGATGGGATTTCTAAGGGATTTTGAGTTGTTTTTTTTTAATTATTTTATTTTTTTGTGTGGATAAAACCATAAGAAACCATCAACAATGCTGTGGTTTATTATTAATTTACCCGCATTATGTGATTTTTATATGGGTCTTGAGATATTTCTGATGCCTCAAAAAAGCATCAGACTATCAGACAGGGATAGGACTCTGTAGATGTATGGCTTTCTGCGCCAAGTTGGCCGTGAGAAGGATCGACTTAGTCTTCTTGCTTCACGGCTATCTATTTTCCAGTCTGGATTTCAGGTTCTTTTTTTTTCCGATACGGGTCCGAGGGAAAGGTGAAAACCCATGAAACTCATGAGTTCTTTATTCTTAGTGATTGTTACATATTGACATATATATATATATTGCTATATATTGTTATTACTTCATTGACTTCCTTTCCGTTTGTGTTTTTGCCTTCGTTTCCAGTGATTGTAAGTGCATCTTTTTAGGGTCTCAGTGTTGGTTGTGCATCACTTTTCATGGCATGCCAACTCCAAGTCCCGGGGGGGTGAGTCCAGCCTCTCCCTTTTCTCAGGCGATCTGAAACGGGTGGCATTCCGCTGTCCAGAGAAGAATTTCAATCTTCAAGAGGTGGGCCTTGGGTACTGCGAGCTGGCTCCATGAGCACGAAAATGTCGGGGGTTGCACCATTCCATACCACAGAAAAATGGGGTTTTGATTGGGCATTTCGGAAGATTTCTTAGTTCATGAAGTTCATGGACCTTGGCAGCTATGCAGACTTCATTCCTCTTGTCGCAAGCGGCAACATTTCTTCGCAGTTTGACCCTTGCAGGTCTGGCGGAAATGTTACCAGCTGGAAAACAAGCAGTGGTCAGTGCAGGAGCTGGGGTTGGTGCAGGAGGCCACCTGTAACAGAGGCAGGCTTTAGATACCCTCTGGTAAACTAACGTAGCTATGGAAAATCACCATTTTTAATGGGAAAATCCACTATAAATGGCAATTTTCAATAGCTATGTTAAATTACCAGAGGGTATGTTTAGATATCAATCTGGGTTTCAATTTCTGGCTTCAGACCTAGATTCCTAGATCCGATGCACTGACTCAACCGAAACCAGATACCAACACTTGGCACTTTTCAGAATCGAAAGTTGCTAAACCCACATAATCGACCATGGTCCATCTCCATGGTCCAACTGGGGTCCCGTCGCACAGGAGCTGACTGGGGAGGATGTCCTGGAAACTTCTGAGAATCGACTTCCAGAGTTCCAGGCGGCCCAGCGAACCAAGAAGGACAACTTCGAAACCACCGCGGAGTGGTTTCAGGCCAACAACAAGCGGAGACTTGACGGCACTCATTTTTTTAAGACTGACCCATGACTTTAGTGGGGATGTGGGGATGGGTCATTCTAATATTTCATGCAGAAATCCCAGGGGGAGGCTCATGTTTGGCAAATTTCACTTGCCGTGTGCTTCAGATTTCCTGGGCCAGCCATAAATGGCCGGAAGTTCCCAGGCGCGAATACGCGGAGAACTTCGCTCCCATCGGGCCCAGTTGGGCCCTGGCACAGCTCCAGACGCCGGTGCCAAAGCTGCCAGGGGTGTGGTACATGCGCCTTGGTGCCGTTTGGGGCGGATTTTGGGTCGGAGTTGGTGAAGGGTGAAAACCATGGCTTTTCAGCATCAAAACACGTGGATTTTCATGGTGAAAAACATGGTGAAAAACACGCATAGAAACCACGTCAGAAATCATGAAATTAGGACACATCGGCAAAAAATAACATGAGACATGATCAAACATGACGGTTTGAATACCACAGTTCTGGAACAAGAGCCAACATAATTTGGGTAAATCAACTGATGAAGTTGTTTGATTTTTGCATTATATAGATGGGGATACGTCCGGGGGACAACGTATATTCGTTGTAGGGTAGCCGAGATTTGTCATGTTGAGTGCCGATACTTGGATTTAGTCGATGTTACTTGATGTCAGCTGACCTTCAGATGTGAAAATATATTGTATGTCATTGCACATTGTATTCTACATTCATTTTTTTTTTTATTGCACACGTGTCAAACATCTTTCACACACATGTTGTGTCAGGTTGTGTTATGTCATGTTTCATTGTTTTAAATGCTGTATATATATATATATTTCTTTTTTAAATGTATGTTGTGTTCCATTGATTTCCATTATGCCATGTTAGGACATGGCATTTTATATTCGATTTATCGCATGTGCCGGCCAAGAAAAGCCGCGAATTTCTGCTCCATCCAAGGCATGAGAGGCAAAATCAGGAGGGGAAGCATGTCAGGGGACCCCAGAGATCGGGAGACTGCCGGAGCTAGTGATGTTTGGGATATGTTGGGATCAACAAAAGTGGAATCATCTGAAAAATGGCTGATCAAAGCGACATGTTTTGGGGGTGAATTTCTACCATTCAGCCAGCTTAGATGAATACTAATATGAATGATATTATTTAGATATCATTTAGATTATGATTATATATATATATATATTTGGTGTGACCTGCCGATTTTCTGATCAGTTTCTGTGATGAAATCGATTGATGTGGAACATCTCCACGTATTTCCCCTGACACCTTCCCCCAACTTCCCTGGCTGCGTGCAGGTTCCCATGCTCTTCTTCAATGCGGAAAGTGGCCGCTGGGCCTTGCAGGGCCTTGTTGGGGGTCTTGGGGATTCTTCACATCACCCGCACGGATGACGGGGCCGCCCCTGGGGAAAATTTCACATCACCTGAATGGATGATATAGAGGTAGTCTCAACAATTCTTAGCCCTGCTTGACCCCTGCTTGTCACTTTCCAGCATTCTTTTCGTCACTCCAAATAGCAACTCCACATATCGGTTGTGTGTTTTTTTCGTGGGTTTTGTAGAATTTGGGGCTATCTTCCAGCAAGTACTGGTGCCTTGGGAAGCTTGTGCAGGATGCCATTTTGGACCTTGGATGACCTTGGCATTTTTCCAGCTTCACACCAGGAGTTCTACAATCTTGATATGCAAACGATATGTGTAATTACATTATAAACTATGAGTCATAGATGTCAGTTTGTTTGAGAATAGGGTACCCCCTAAATCCATGATCATTGATGGGGGCGCGACCCCACAAAACATGTGGATTCGCCCAAGATCATTCAAAATCCATATGGCACTTCATGGATTTAGATGGATTTCTAACTGGCGAACTGGCCATTTAGATAGCATCTGACGTTGGATTTGCTTTCCTGCCTGGATATATTTTTCAAATGAACGAAGTCGGTACCTCGTCCAAGTGGCTTGAGGCAAATATTACCGAAATCGCTCCACTGATGTGGCCTACGTGCCTGCGAAAAGTCGATGGCTGCAGACGGGGCTGCCACATCAGTCAGAGGATGCAGCCCAGATCGGCAGTGTTGGGGGGATGGGAGGTTTCTCGGGGCCCGGGGGTTGGAGAAATGACGTTTGGATCATTGGTTCAATGGGAGATCTCCAGGATCCGATTTTGGATGGAGGTAGCTACCAGAAAATATGGCCAAACATATGGTACAGTACGTTTACGTACCCTCCATTAAATCGGATCCTGAAGATCTCCCATTGATTGATGGTGACTTGAAAAAGGACCCACGATGGATGACTGTTTGATTGTGATGTTGGTTGATGTGAAAGTATCAAGGTGTATCAAGCATGGCCTTGAACATTTGGCTTAGAGTATCCTACAGATCTAGAAGTTTGCTTTTTCCCCCTGCAGGCAACGACATGGGGATGAAACCAAAAGGGGCACCACAGATTTTCCATTGGATTTCAGGGGGTCCATGGCACTTGAAATCTTCGAAAGGGTGATCCCAATCCCCAGCTTGCAGAGGGGGTCTTCAGCTGTTGAGAAAGCAAGCTGAGTGAAAGGTCAGGGTGGTCCTGAAAGACAGCCGCCACGGAACACCAGCGGTCAAAACATGGGGATCGCAGCATCGTTGGTCGATAGCTTCGAAAGAAGTATGGACTTTAGGGAAATTGCAGGGGCGTGATTTTGGCATCAGGCTTGACCCAGCAAGCCACCCAGCAAGTCACCGGTTGAACTTTTGAACCTGCCAGGTGGCGTGGTTCCTGTTTGATCCAGTTTCTCCTCTCACCGCTTCGGCACCCGATCCACCTCTTTCACCCAAAACATCTCCACAAGACCAGCTGTTCGTTCCAGGTTTTTGTTGGGGGGTTTCCAGTGATATTTGGGTTTAGACAACTTGCCTGGCCCACCCAAATCACCCACCCCCAGAACCATGGCGCAGAGGATCGTTCCATGAAGATGTCGCACGGCTCCGTGTGTTTGCCCACCGCCAGCGGCCGCAAAGACGATCTGGCTGTGATCCTGCCGGAACTGGCACGGACCGGCTCCCTGCTGAAACAGCTGCTGGGATTGTGAAACTGCTGCTGTTCGCGTTTGGGGATTTCGATGTGTCACCGTAACCATGTAAAGACCATCATTTTATGACCATGAAGGATGACAAGAGAACCAGTGACTTTTCCAGCTTCGGATCTTCGTTTTGAGCACCCCCAACTTCCCAATCTGAACGCTGCACAGGCCCCTGCCCTTTGCGGACAAACCGGCAGCGTTGTTCCTGTTGGTGGATGGCCTACGGAACGCCAGCGCGTCGGAATGGTGCGCCAAGCGCTTCCATACCCACCTGTTGCCGAGGTTGTCCGTACCTTGCTGAAGCTGGGGGGGTTGAGATCCCATCCGGATCCCAGCGGTGCACAATTCTTGATATTTGATTTCAACATATATAATTACTGTATATATATATATATAATATAATATCATATCATATCACATCATATCATATCATATATCCTAATATGAGGGAAAAAACAGGTTTGGAATCCTAACGTTTTTGTGAAAATTCATGAAATTTCAGGGTTGCACTTGACACCGACCTTTTGGATCTCCCTGGTCTCCCTGAGACACGGCTCAAGGCGTTTCATTCAGATCCCGAAGATGGCGAGCTGGTTTTGGTGGTCAAAGAAGCCCTGGCGAACTTGGACCACGCCCTACTGGAGCCGGGATGGGTTGGAATGGTGGAGGGAACTTTTTTTTTTTGGGGGAAAACCCTGGGCAACCCACACGTTTCGGTGTGAAAAGATGGTCAAAACATGGTTTCCGGCAAAACTTCCGTGAACTCAATTTGGTCTAGTGATGATGGATCTGAATTTACACACTTTTTTTGTTTTCGGGGGGGGGGCGCGATAAGACGAAACCCCATGACCCGCCAAAATGGGTGGCAGAGCATGGAAGTGATGACAAAATGCCTTGCAACCAGATCGAATCCCTTGCAGAAAAAAACAAAACAGGGATATCATGTGATCAGCCATACCCTAAATCCTAAACCCTAAACCTTTCCTTAATCGAACCCCTGGTATCCCCTGGTTTAGTATTGCATCAATCGCTCCTTAGAGGGGGTATTGCTGGGCCCACACTTAAATGATAGAGGACAGCCCAGCCCGCTATGCCGGTTGCAGTCTGGCAGTCGCTCTTTTGATGGGCAGTCGGCTGGTGATTTGCACTGTAGGTGCGCTGTTCGAAGTGGTCTTTCTTGCAGTTTCAGTGTCCTTCAATATTGAAGGATTCAGGGGCCATCAGCAATTTTAACGAGAACTTGCGGGAATTTCTTCTTTGTACATTTTGTGATTCTTTGTGCATGTTTCATTTTTTGACCAATTTTCACCAAATCGTGAAACATGCGAAGAATAACCCCACAAACTGCATCAAACCTTTTATCCCAGAATCCCGCATACTTGGTCAACTAAATCAAAGTCGAATGAATATCCCCATGATTCTTAGTCCTAACAGATCACAATTTACACCATTCATTGCAACAAAATTGCTTACTGCACATTCCCGAAAAAAAACAACATAAACCGTGTACTGTATTTTCTGTCATTTTTGGATCCCCCAAAATGGAAGGGAACACCCACAAGACAGTCATCTGCAAAACATATCGAGAGAAGGCCAAACTTCCCCAATTTCAGGATTGGATTTTGAATATATATCTGTTTTCCCGTTTCCCACCATTTTTCCAAAATTCCAGGATTTGAATCTGGTTTTTTCCCTTTTTCCCATTTTTCCCATGGGACTTTCTCCATGTTTGAAGATCCTTCACCAACGGCGACAGGCGGTTGCCGAGCCGTGGTCTGCAGTCCGCCCTCCACCGAGCCGCTTCCCAAGAAGGGCCCGGCCGGTGCCGCGCCCTCGACGGAGAGCAGTTGGAGCTGTCGAGCTGTGGAAGGTGCGCTGGGTTCACCGGGGGAATGGCGGGGGTTGTGACCAAAATGCTCAACGCTAAATTTCAATGTACCCTCTGGTAAACTAACGTCACTATGGAAAATCACCATTTTTCATGGGAAAACTCACTATAAATGGCAATTTTCAATAGCTACGTTAAATTACCAGAGGGTAACGCTAAATTTCAATGTAAGGCCTAAATTTCAAGGAATATACCCCCAATTCATATGGCCAAAGATATGGTACTAAGACTAACGTACCTCCATTTTAGGATCCTGGAATGACCATTGATAAAAGGACACCTCCAAAAATGGTGAGCGTTAATTTATGTTAATCTAACATTGGGATTTGAACGGCACGTTTTGACCAAACATACATACCAAGAACGCGAATGAATGCGAATAAACGTTAAGAACGTTAATTTAAGGTGAAAATAGGCTCCCTGGACGTGCAACTTAAGGTTTCACCTTGCAAAGAACACATTTTTTTTAAAATATCACTTAGCCTAGCTAAGTCCAGATTTGCATGGCCGCACAGACTGACTATCAGCGTGTGAATGAATGAAATAAGCTAGGCTAAGTTGTTGAACTCCAGGAATTATTTTTTGAAGCGTCCAAACCATTCGAGCTTGAGATTTTCACGACCTAACATGGGGGTATAAACAGCTCCCAGCTACGCATACAGAGACTTCTGGGCATTTGGGTTTTCGAAAGTCTTGCTCAAACGAAGCACGCCAAGCAAAACGTGGAGTAAACATTTGAATTTATCAAGTTTTTGTTTGGTGAGTTATGTCATTTATGTGACTTGTGGGGGTATGGAAAGATAGAATTTTCAAGCAACATCCAGGAACTTGAAACTTGGTCCTGGGTGATCCTAAGGTACCATGCCTGGGCACACACGGATAGACATCATCCAGCTGCTTGGCGTTTGGCGCGTTTGGTGTTTGGCGCTGGGTAGGGTCGACTGATCATCTGAGGCAGTGGTGGTTGAAGATGATTTGATGATTATTTGATGATTATTTGATGATATTGCTCAAGGAACATGTCCAAAATTGCTGTGCATTTGCATATCTATCTAGATCATTCTAGATGCATATCAGTTTATAGTGCAAGTTCTGGTGCATCATGAATTCCATCACATATAGACGTAAGTGGGCAAGTGGGTCATGTCATTTACTGCTAGTAAAAGCAGTTTATATAGACCTCACTCTTGACATGACTTTTGTGAGTCATTGCTATAGTTACCAATTGAATTGAATCCACTGAATCCTATTTACTTTGCAGATATTTTTGCTGCTTCTACTTGGTGGCTCATCCCACTTAGTAAGTGGGTTATAACCACAGTTATAAGTGGATTAATCCTACTTATCCATACTTATCCATTATAACTGGGGTATACTGGGGTTATAACCCACTTACTAACTGGGATGAGCCACCAAGTATAATCATAGAATGGTTCCATCATGTTCCATCCCCAGGTCGCAACGCCGCCGCCGGGTGGAAGCCTATGGCCCTTTGGACTTCGACGGACGCTCCGGGGAGCAGCTCCGGGCGGCCAGCGCGTCCGAGGTCGGCGGCAATTTTTAGAAGTTGGGGAGACATTCCAAAGGTGCTCTAAGTGGTGCTTCCCATGTTTTTTTTTCAAGGTTCATTTGTTGTTTCCCAGATTTTTTGTTTATTTTGGTGTTTTTCTTGGGGCTCATTTGATGTTTTTTGCGTGTGAATGTGTGAATGTGATGTTTGTACGGCGGCTGTCAGCCTGTCATCTTCCACAGGCCTCCTTGGCAAACCTGTCTGACAGAGATCGTGCGGTTCAAAAGGCGGAAAATTTTATTGGGTGCAGGGGCGGAAGAAATCTTTGAAGCTCAATGCTGCATTTTGTCATAAGAACTATACACATCATCTACCCTCTGGTAATTTAACATAGCTATTGAAAATGGCCATTTATAGTGGATTTTCCCATTAAACATGGTGATTTTCAATAGTTATGTTAGTTTACCAGAGGGTACATGCTCTGCACTTGCACAGTGTATGTCGATGCACACACCAATCTGATTTTGGATATGAGCAGTACAGATATCCAGCGTTGCACGGATATAATTCATGAAACAATACTTCAACATGTTCAATGTCCAACTATTTGTGACAATTTAATCCCATTTCCCTATGATATTACACACCACCCAAACAAAACCCCGATGAAATGCAAACGGTAAGGTATTTCACGTTATTTGGATATCGATTAATAACTACCAGTTCTTGGATGTTCTTGGTGGGTTCATTAAATAGGATTGATTGCCGAAATCAAGAGAGTCAACATTCCATCTAAATATTTCATTTTAATATTAACATCAAGAATTCAATAGACTGTTTACTAAGATAGTTCCTAAACTTATTGCAAACTTTTGTAAGATTGTGTTTTATACCGTCCGCATAGCATAGGGTACCCCATTCAAACAAACGTGGCAATTGAACATCCCTCATTTGTAGACGATTTTCTCAGCTATAAACCTCCATTTACAGGATATTTTTTAATTCCCCACAGTTTCCTATGATTATTCCAAGCTATAAACATCCATTTATAACAATCACCAATTTATATATACATATATATGATGTTCACATATTTTCCCGTTAAAACCTCTATTTCGTTCGGATTTCCAATGGCCACAAGGTAATTCACCAAAAAACCTTAAGACTTACTTGTGATAAACGTGTACTAATTCATGGAAAATCACCCATTTCGTAAAACTTGGAAAATGGAAAATCACCCATTTAGATCCATTTAGTACATGTACTACTTCATGTATAGCTGGAACATTCCTCTATTTATAGATGACGTTACCATATTTTCCCATTAACACCTTTATTTCGTTCAGGGATTTCCAATGAAGAATGGACAAATGGATTACTGGTTGGTGGTTTGGAACACATCGGTGTGCTGCATGGTCTGCCGTCTTGGTGCCTCCGTATTGTGCCGATTGGACTCCTGGTGGTGTTGGGGTTGTTGGGGCGTCCTACCTTCCCGGCCTGTGCCAGACAGCGTTTCGAGCAGAGTTGTACGCCGTTGCCTATACGTTACATCAAGCTGCTGAACAGGATGTTTCCATTCGAATTTGGACAGACTGCCTGGGAGTTTCAGCCAGGTACTACCTTTTGGTGTGGGGACACAAGCGGTTGAATGTTAACAAAAGCAATGCAGATTTGTGGAGTTGGATTTTGCAGTCGGTCGACCGCATTGGCAGACAACGGATCGCAATTTGCAAGGTGCCAGCCCACCGCAAGGTGGCCAGTGCTACAACATTGTATGAGGCGTGGTTGTTTTTCCACAATGATTATGCAGATCGGGCTGCCAGGTTTGCAAACCAGTCCAGACCACAGAGGTTTTGGGACCTTTGGGAGAGGCATGTTCAGGCGGTTTTTGCGGCGGATCGCATTTTCCAACAAGTTCAGGCGCTACATCTGGCAGTGGGGAGGCGACAGGTTCAGGGCAGTGTCAATTGTGAAACCGGAGAACCTGCCGCTGAACCTGTCCGCCAAACCAGAGTTTTTGTGCCCCGGTTCGATCTGGGTAATTGGGATGGACGGTTGATGCCGAAAGCAACCAGGCTGTTTGGCTCTACGATCATACAACGGATCAGTACATGGTTCATGGCCCGTCTTGCAGTGGGCAACGCCGAAGTCGGCTGGGTCACCTTCGCACAGCTGTACCTGGATTTCCAGCTCACGTATGGGCATCCGGGACCTCTGCGGGTGAGACAGCGATGGGTCGACATTGAGCAGAGGCCCTACATCACGGCCGAGACCTACAGTTTCAAGCAGAAGGTCAAGTGGTTCCGTCAGTGCCTGAAGCATCTCTGGAAAGAGGCGGGGGTCACGGTCGCCATGGACCAGTGTCGCCCGGCGAATTCTGCCATTCAGGCATTTATGCCAGCGGCCTCATTGCCGTGGGACTCCTATGCTCTGGCTGAGGTTGAACGGTGGCTCAGCAGACACTTGGCCGATCCCTGTGTCCGAGATGCTGGGGCACTGAGTAGCCTGCCCATGGCCTCTCCATGTGGCAGTATGAGGGTTGCACCGCACTAAAGGTGCCAGTGCTTGTTCCTGAGACTGCGTTGCCTCGCTCCACAAACTGAGCAGGCATCCTAACCGAAAATCTGGGCGAAAATCTGGTGGTTTGGAACATTTTTTCTTTTCCCCAATAGTTGGGATGATCCAATCTGACGAACTCATATTTTTCAGGGGGGTTGAAACTACCACCAATTAGATGATGTAAATGGACTGGTTGGTGGTTTGGAACCTTTTTTTTCCATATATTGGGACTTTCATAATCCCAATTGACGAATTCCATCATTTTTCAGAGGGGTAGGTATACCAACCACCAACCAGTGGAACATCCTCTCATTTTTTGATGGTTTTCCCAGCCACAAACCCTCCATCATCCAGGCCCTGCGTGCAGCCCATGCCTTCGCCGCTCTGGGTCTGAGCCGCCAGGAGGCCATAGCTGCTGTGCCCGGGGCCGGCAAGTCGGCGGCCGAGGCCACGGTCGGCCAGGGCTGTTTCGGGCCATCCGTAGACCTCAAAAAGCTACCAAAAAATGGAGGTTTTTAACAGGAACAGTTGAGGAATTCAACCAAGAAAAGCCAAGAATTTGTGAAGTTATGGTCGGTTGAAGGGCGATTTTGGGGTTGAAACATGTTGAAACCATGGTTTTTACCCTAAAGCAAAACCTATCGACCCATTTTGAGGATTCCCTATTCTCTCGAGGTCAAATTCTTGGATGTCTATAACTACTATTTAACGCCAACTAAGTAAACATCGTCTCTGGAATGAGAAAAAATGCAACTATTCATCATTTGGGTGTGTCTGAAAATGGGCTAAGCCCCCCAAATGACAATTTCAATGGGGGACATGATGATAACGCGATAAGACACCAAATTTGGGGATACCCTGTTTTCAGACACGGTTTAGGGGGAAATGCTTGGTGCATCCTGGTGACTTCCTCCGATGAAGCTTGGTACATCCTGCAGCAAAAAAAAACTACTCCTCTCCACACGTGGCCAGGTGACCACTTCAGATATCTTTAGATCTTGATTTCACAACATCTACCCGGAGAGGGGGTAAGATATAGTCGTATAATATCATAGGTATATACTTCTACGTGTGTATAACTCTATCTATACCTATATATATATATATCTCTCTCTCTATATATATATAGAGAGATATAGGTATAGATAGATATATATATATATACACATATAACACATACATATAGACACATATGAATGTCTGATATCTAAACGAGTAGATATATAATGATAAACAAATAAATCAAAACACCACAAATAAACAAAATCACACAAATGAACAAACCACTCAATTATCAAATATACCAGTACCATATATACATACATACATACATACATACATATATATATATTATATTTGCATTTAATGTATATATTGTGGTGTAAATCTCAGCTTTCTTGCGGAGGCCATCGAGGCAGTTCTGGGTCCCAGGCGGCCAGGAGAGCCGCAGGTGGAGGCGGCCAGAAGTCGGGTGAAGGCCTGGTGACTTTTTTTCCCGGATTTCCGGGAGATTTTCCGATTTTTGAGAGTTTTTCCTGAGATTTTTGGAAGCTTTTACTGAGATGTTTGGGAGTTTTCATGTTTTTTTTTGAGTTTTCATGTTTTTTTTCCATGATTGTTCATTCATTCATTTTGGAAGATGTTCAACAAGGACAGATTTTGTTGATTGCGCATGGATGATCCAATAGTGACTTTTGTTGATGGGTGGATTGTTGGTTGGTGGATGGAAAAGTGTCCTCTTTCAGGCCGCAGGGGAAGCTGTGGACAAGATGCTGACGCAAGATGCCTTTGGCGTACAACAGCTCCATGCTGGAAATTGCCCAGTGGGTGTCGAAATGGAGATCCTCTGGTAAACTAACATAGCTATGGGAAATTAGCATTTTATATATCCATTTTTGATAGGTAAATCAACAATAAACAGGGAATTTTCACGAGCAAACTGTTAGTTTACTGGAGGGTATCGGGTATCCTGGTATCCTGCAATGAAGGGTAGCCTAAACCATCCTAAGGCCGGGTTCCAAGACTTAAACAGTCTACAATTTGGATTGATGCCACCAAATTTCATGGAGATTAAAGATTGACATTGCCCTAGTTACGGCCCTAGTTACATACCCCATGTTACTCCCAGTTCCCTTTTGAGTTGAGGCTAGCACCTTGTCCCCAGGTTGGCTGAGTTGTTCTATGTCTTGGATGAGGAGGAGGGTATCATCAGTCAACAGCGTGCGGCTGCTCTTCTGGCGGTTTCACCCGGCTGTGGCGAGGCGAAACGCTTGGACCGCGGCAACGGGTGGAATGCTGGCGGTCGTTGGGGCGGTTTAGGTGGTCCCTGGTGGTTGTGGTGGATATGGGGCACATGAGGCCCCTAGAACTGTGGTGAAGTATCACCATATCACCACGCAAATGAGGGGAACTGCAGCCGAAGTGCGCAAGATGGCAATTGAACTGGTTTGGTTTCAGTGCAGAAACCGCCCAAAGTTGTAGAAACTGGGTTGTCGGGTATTTGTACAGCCAATCGTCGTGGTTTAAATCGAGGATTTTTGTCGTGGTAGACCCTAAGACTTTGTCATCTTTGTGGTGGTCTGATGGTTTCCCATATATGTTCCAATGTTTTCCCACAAATCCATGGATTCATATATACCCTCTTGTAAATTAACATAGACCCTGAAAATAGCCAATTTTTAATGGAAACTAATCTTCCAACCCCTATCTGGCAGGGTCTATGTTAATTTACTGGAGGGTATATATATATATATGTATGTATATATATATATATATTTTTTTTTTTCCCCGATGTTTTCTCGCATTCAAACCTCAATTGAACGCGAATTTCGGGTCCTTCCGCTTTGGACCACTGCCAGGCCGTCGCGAGTGGTGCGGTGCACATGCGCTACCAGGCCGTGCTCAGCGGCTTGAGCGCCACATGCCCAGCAGAGGCCCAGAGAGGTGCACTTTTTCCCCGCAGCCCACGGGGGTGGAGAGGATTTTTCCGTTGATTTTCACGATAAAAACACACTTGTTTCCCGTTCAAAGCGTGTTTTTTTTTTGTCCCATGGATTTTGCCATGGTGAAAACTATTTCAAGTCGAAGTTTGTTTGGATTTTCCGATGTCGCAATTCCAAAAAGAAAGCATCACCCATAGGATCCATGTATGGTATATATGCTAACATTTGGGGTATATTGATGGTAAATGTTACCATATATAGCATACATGGATCCTATGGGTCATGAAACATGGGATGTTCGAAAAAAGAGAGGGATTTTCCCATGGTGTTTTTGCCAGGTTGGGAGATCCTGAGGGAAGCTATGGATACTGCTGGGCGGCCGGTGACGCCTGTGTGGGTGCCACCCCCAGAAGCACGAGGCGCGGGAAATCACCGAGATTTGCGGTTGAAGTCGATGATTCTAGGGCTTAATGCTGATGAATGATGATTCATGATGATTAATGGTTGTTGATGATGATTAATGGTGGTTAATGGTGATTAATGATGATTACTGGTGATTAATGGTGATTAATAATGATTACTGGTGATTACTCGTGGTTGTTAATGATTAATGATGTTTAATAGCGATTCATGATGGTTATATAAGCATGATTAACTATGGCTAATGCTGTTTGAACATGTTATACATGACCACTGGAAAATACATCAGGCGAACTGGGAACCAACCACCATTATTCTATTTGAGATTTACTTGATGGTCAAAACCTATATGATTCCTTTCCGAATGGTTGAATTCAGAAAAAAACTCGAATACCATGATTTTAGATGGCATTTACATGTATGACAGTTGGGTGCCTCGTAAAATGGGGTATACTCCCAACAAATTACACTTTTGTTTGGTTTAATTATGATTCACCAGTGGATGGAATGTGGTGCGCAATTTTTCAGGCAACCCCCATTTAGAAACCAAGCTTTGGAGGGTTTGTTCAGGTTCAAGAGCCAAATGTCAAATGAAAGTTCATGACGAATCTGCATGAATCTGCCAGATTTGATCCAGCTTTGAAGTATAGTGGCCCCCAAAAAAAGATAGAACAGCTTTTTCCAAGATGGTATAGATGATGCTTGAAACAGGTATTTTCCAGCTTTCCAACTTTTCAATCTATTTGGGGATTGCAATATTTGATATATAGATGGGGTCCAGCAGGCAACGACCAGGGGCTAGACTCAAGTGACGATTCCAGAGGCTTGAAGTAGCAACGCCGCTGAAAATAACAAGAATCTATGGCAAAATAAGAATGATCATGATTATCATGAAGGATTCAGAAGATCATTTACAACACTGGTGTAACAACATGGTGATCATCTTCACAACACTACTTACCCTCTGGTAAACATAGAAAAAACTATGGAACATCACCATTTTTGATGGGCAAATCAACTATAAATGACTATACATGACCATTTTCAATAGCCAACTGTTAGTTTACCAAAGGGTAATGATGAAGACAGGTGGCCCATCCCATGTTTCAGGTGTGGAAATTCCTGCAGCCTTGGGCCTACGCGACTGTAAACGACCTCGGAGGTGGAGACCGGAGGGGTTTTCCAACTGCTCTGGTCCAGCAATAAATCGATGATTTCCCTATAAAAAATGGATTGGTTTAAGGGAAAATTTACAGGAAACCATAGATTTTCCCATTAAATATGGGGCTTTCCTGTAGATTTTCCCTTAAACCAATCCTATGACTATAAAAAATGGCTCTTTTCCAGTTCGCAAACGGTTAAGTTGTCACTTAGGGATCCAAAGGGTATCTTGAATCTATCCAGATACAGTGAGTGCCATTTTTTCCTAGGCTTCAAGTTGAGTCTCGAAAGATAACAAATTATATAAATAAATTTTACCCGAAATACGTAGGTGTATACTTTACGACAACACCAGAAATCATTTGGTAACCCCACTCATCAACAGACCGGGGGGGGATCCTGGGAAAAGTGATTCTTGTCCCAAAAACTTGCCAAAAATATTTGAAAAAACCATAGTCTCCGGTGTCATCGAACGTGGCTTGGAAATCCCCCACATAGAGGTATCATAGATGTTTTTAAGTGTGAACATCTCGTTAAAGGATGGTTACATGGTTCAATCCCGTTCCTTTCTGGCAATCTTGGGGATGCTTAATGGCTAAGTTATATGAATAAACTGAGCTCATATCCGCTCCATCTTCAGAGAATTTTTGCAAGATCTACAGAGAGATTACGCTCTGGTAATTCAAGAGTTTGCAAATTGGAAGTCATGACCCTGACCCGTTTAAGACGATAAATCCCTATTTAAACCGGTGATGTTCCATTTCGCAAACTGATAAACTACTACCGGAGGGCATGTTTTTAAAGTCCAGATTGATCGCTGACATCAATTGGGGCTGGTTTGCATCTGGTTTGCATTGCTTTTGGTAGGCGACTCATGACTAAAAATTACTTACCCTCCAGTAAACTAACATAGCTATGACAGCTATGGCAGCGATGGCAAATCACCATTCCAATTTCATTTAATCGCAACATCAAGTGTAAACGGGCCATTTTCCATAGCAAACTGTTGGTCCGTTTGCCCGGCGGGCCATTTCCGCGGAATGGATCTGTGGATGGTTTGGATGGCCCATCCTTTGCCAGCTCCTTCCAGCTGCTTCCAGCTGCTTCCAGGCTTGTTGGTCTAGAAATTGCCAGCGAGGTCTTACGAATAGAACCAGGCACGTTTGGAATTTGGGCTCCGTGGTGAACTGGGAAGTCGCCTCGACGAAGGGAAGTGTCATCAGCTCTATGGCTGGTTGGACCCCCTTTTGTTTGTTTTTCTGTTTTGGTAGATGCGGTTAGAACAATAATAAACTACATTAAACTACCCATTTGGGCATTTGGGAATGGTTTATGCCACCTATTTATTGTGATGACTGGGGGATGGTAAACATGACATTGTTAAAAAACCACAGAAAAGATGCTTTTGGTAGATGCTTTTCCCATTCAACTCCCCCTTTTGTTCCGGAAAGTTCCAGCACGCCACGTTTGATGACACCACAGGGCGGATGGATTGTTTCATGGGATATTTGCAATCACCAGACAATCACCAGACAATCACCGGACAATCACCAGACAATCACCAGACAATCACCAGACAATCACCAGATTTATCAGATCTCTTGAAGAACTGCTGTAGCTTTCGCCATTCTTATCAAACGTTCTTGGTCCCGTACTTTCTTGGTCTTGGCATAGTTTGCACTTCGTTGTGCAAAACTTGGGGGTGGGGTGTATCTCGGTTGCTAGCATCATGGGATCTTCACCCCAGTTGGGAGATGGTTTGCCCTTTTAGGCAATGGTTATACCCTCTGGTTATTTAACATCGCCATGGAAAATGGATGGAAAATGGTTGATTTTCCCAGCGAACGAAACCTCCATTTATACCCAGCTAGAAACCTCCATATTTATAAGGGATTTTCCAGTTCGCTATGTTAGTCATAACCAGATGGTATATCCATGAAACATGGGTTAATATTGGTTATAATGGTTGTTAAATTTACCCAGATGGTTCAAAAATCCATTGTTTCTGGGTAAACCATTGAAAAAACCATTGGTAAACTGATAGAGTGGAGCTGCCCCCCTTGGTTCACCCAACGGGCCAACGGCTCTCAGAGGCAGCAGTCTCTGCTTGCTTTTGATGACGGACGGTGCCAACTCGGTCCAGCCCAAGCAGATGGCCGAGGCAGTTGCCGCGCACCAGGCGAGGCCATGGTGGTGAATGATGGTGATGTATACCTGGGTTTACATGGGCAAATTGAAGTAGATGTATCATGATGCGAAAAATGGGGGTTTCCATAAATGGATAGTTTACAATGGAACATCCTATTAGAATAGATGATATAGATGATTTATTGGCAAATTCCATCTTGTTCCTTGATTCAATCATTCTTCAATCATTATTTTCCAGATGTTTCGCAGATACCGCAGATTTCAGGATGGATTCCGGCCCTGACTTTCACAGCGCCAGGGCCGGCCGAAGGCAGTTGCCACTCAATTGGCGGCTGTGGCATCGGAACAGCTGAAAGGCTGGCGCTGCAGTTGGGATTATCCGTAGATATGTCCATAAAATAGAAAATTCCCGATAAGTTAGGATATAGCGCCCAGAGCTATGGTTATAAAAGATAGATATATTGATAGATAGATAGATAGATGGATGGATGGATGGATAGATCGATAGATCGATAGATCGATAGATAGATGGATAGATCGATAGATCGATAGATAGATCGGTAGATCGATAGATTAGATAGATTAGATTAGATTAGATTAGATTCGATTCCATTAGATTAGATTAGATAGATAGATAGGTAGATAGATTAGATTAGATTAGATTAGATTAGATTAGATTAGATAGATAGAGTGATAGAATGCTTGAATGATAGAATTATATATAATTAGATATAATTAGATAGAATTAGATAGAATTAGATAAACTTAGATAGAATTAGATAGAATTAGATAGATAGATAGATGGATGGATAGATAGATAGATGGATAGATAGATAGATAGATAGATACACACATATACACTATTTCTTATATATATACATATATTTGCACACAGACGTGCACACACACATATATATATATACATATAATATTTATATATATATATATGTATAAATATAAATATATATATATATACATTTACAAATGCACAAGTATTTTCTTTTAAATATATGTGCGTGTGTAGATGTATCATATATCCATCAATTTGTAACTGGAACTTCGCCCCCAGATGCCAAGAGTTCCAAGAGTTCCAGGTGCCAAGGACGAGAAGGATCCCAAGGAGGTGTCTGTAGGCGGGGCTGCCAGGAGATTGCGAAAAAACAAGGGTGGGAAAATTCGTGGTAGCTTCATGCTGGTCTGAATTTTTTTTAGTTCATTTTAGTTGATGGTATTTGATTTTAGCTAGTCTCAGTCATGAACCTTCCTAGAAAAAGTCATGACTTTCACATACTTTCACAAAACAGTCGCATTTTGTGAATTGCATCCCTTCCGCTTCCCCTTTTTTTCGTGTTTTCATGGTCCGTTCGTGGACAACTTCGTCGTTCATGTGCCAGCAAAATAACCAGTAAAACAATAATTTGTATCCATTTGTTTAAACCCTTCATTTCATGGTAAATCTTCATCACCATCCCATTTTTGTGGCCAAAAATTGACCATGAAAACTGCTAGAGGCGTTCTGGCGGCCTATTTCTCCGTGAAAGCCCTGGAAGATCCTGCCGTGCACGCGGAAGCGGAGGCGGCAGATTCCAAGAAGAGGTGGGGCTTTGGGCGTCGGATGGTCGGTTCAAGGGATTTTATGGGAGATTCATGGGGGAAAAATGGTATTTAGTGGAAGGTTAATGATACTAAAAGTGGAGGGTTAATCATATTTAGTGGGATTTAATGGGATATGTTTGTGGGATTTAATGGTTAGTAAGAATGGGAACAGTAATAGTTCTCTACCCCCTGAGCATTTTGGACATATTGGAAGCCATGACCTATTTACTTCGATGATGTATTATACCGTATATACCCAGTCTTAAACAAGGAACTATTTTTATAGCCTTTGGTGATGTTCCGGAACCATTTTTTTTTTTGATTCCCAGAGGTTATGGCAATTTTCATGGGGAACATGGATGATTTTGCCACAAATTTCCCATGGGTTTCCATCCCTTTTTTCCAGGTCATCATTACAAAATCCGGTTCACATCCGTTTCTTTATGCCGTGGTTGGGAGGGAGCTAAGGAGCCTCAAAAACTGGGGGGCCAAGGAGCTACAATCAGAGTTTCCAACAACATGATAGCAATGATAGCTCATATCATGTCAGAACACCTGTGACTCATGACTCATTTGCCCATCAACAATCCCCCCTTTTTTGTTTCACCGCTAAAAAACCGTTGATTTTGCCAACACAAAAAACGGAAAGTTCATGGAAGATCTCCCCCAACCCGTGGATGTCGAAGGAAGGCGCCCTCAACGGAAGTCGTGGTGGGTCCGCAGCCCGGAGGTGGCTTACCGAACCGTCTCTTGGCTGGGGTGGTTGGGATGATGGAAGCCATGACCCATAGAAATACCCTCTGGTAATTTAACATAGCTATTGAAAATGGCCATGTATAGTGGATTTTCCCATTAAAAATGGTGATTTTCCATAGTTATGTTAAATTACCAGACGGTACCTATTGAAAGTGATGATCTTCCATGGCTATGTTAAATAACCAAAGGCTACTTGTGATTATTTTTTGATTATCACTGGATTATGATTTGATTATTTTTTTGGTACCACCAACCAGATTATGACTATCATTATATATTGATTTTTCTGGGTATTTTGGGGATCTGAAACTCATCAAAAGCTCCAACTGCCCTCTGGTCATTTGACACTATGGAAGCCATATCTCATGCATCAATGAATGGCAAATCAAATAACAGAAAATGATAGAACACTAATCGTTTGAACAGGTGCAGAAAATGATGTAACCCAACCAATCCACATCAGCAACAGATATTTTTGTATAAACATAGCCTGCTGGGAACCCCTCGACAAAAATGGAGGATTCTAGTAGGGAAAATCACCGAACTAAATGGTGGCTTTCCAATGCTACGTTTGATTGCCAGAGGGTAAATCATAGTACCATCTGGTGATTTTAACGTACGGAAAATCAGCATTTCCAATAGGTAAATCATCATGGTAAATTAACATAGGCCGAGCCTGAAAATCACCAATGTTTATTAATGTTTATTAGACGTTAATCTTCCAACCATTTCCAACCCCTATCTGGCAGGGTCTATGTTAATTTTCTAACAGGTAAATCATCATCAATCAACCATCACGCATCAACCATACCAGGCCATCATGTGGTGAAAAAGTGCGATGATTCAAGTTGGAAAATCCATTGGAAAAATCGTTCTATTCTCTGTATTGTTGACATTTTCCTCTAAAGCTCTGAGATTTTCTGGTTTTTTCTGTCAATTTTTCCACTCAAAAATCAGGAAATAGGTTGCGGTGCGTGGTTTCTCCCAGGAATTCGGGTCAGTCATATCCTTCTGAAGTGGGAAGCTTTGACGACGCATGATCCATCAGCCCGGAGGGCTGCGCCGAAGGGCAGATTGCAGTCAGTGCCTGGGCGCAGGGGGAGAATCCAGGAGAGATGTGTCATGCCATGGTCAAAAGGTTGGTGATGATCGGAGGATGTGGAAAAAAACAACATTTCCATTGGAGTAAGTATCGATGTTTGCTTCTGAAAGGCAGTTCAAAAAATCAAAAAAAGGGCTCCCAGCAGCGTTTTGAAAATTTTGGGTAACCTTGGTGACCTGGCTGGCCTTGCAACTGAGGATGCAGAGAAGGAACTCCTGAAACTGCTGCAGATTCTGAATGCCATGCCCCAGGGCACGCCCTCGGACGCCAAAAAGTTGTCGGCGAAGTTTGCGGAGTCCCTTGGACTTTGAGATCTTTGAGGGTATGGGGGGTCGCCACATGCAGCTGATGTATCTGATGGCACGGAAGTTCTGATATTGTGGTGGTGATGCTGGGATCAATGGTGGGGTTCAGACCTGGTATCCTCCCACCCTTCGGTTCCGAGGTTGGCAAAGGCAAGAGTTTGGGGCAGGGCGGTGATGGATCACAGAACCAAGTCGATGGATTCCATGGCATGTGGACCTTGTTCCATCTTGTTCCATCTTGTTCCATCTTGGTCAATAAGGAACAGGTCATATATGTTCATATCACTTCGATCAAGCATTCGTGGTACTGCAGCTCAAAAAACCATGGCAGCCCTCGCAGCCCCAAAGTCCGAGACTCGACTCCGTTTGGTGCCTCTCCGGTGCGCACCACGGCAGGCGCATTCCGATTGCAACTCCGCGAACAACGGGCACCTCGCTGACTTGGGATGGATCGTGCCAGGCTCTGGGTGGGTTGTTGGGGCTGCAGCTATGCCCTAATCTTCCAAAGCACGACAAATTAACGCATGTGGTGCACACACACACACAGATATATATATAATATAGATATAGTTACTATATATATATAGATATCTATATGTATACAATTGTATACAGTATATCAGTATATATATCGGTGTATATGTATAACGAACCACTTGACTGCACGGTCTCATTTGTCTCTATATATACTGTAGACTGGTGGGGCATGGAATTTGCGAAGCCCAGCAGGAAATCACCGTCGGGGCGATCTGTGAGATGTAGGTGAATCATAAATGAACCACGCGTTTTTGAGACTCATTCAAGGAACAATTCTACAGGAAAATATAGAGGGTAACTCAAATCCAAGAAATCTGGATTAATTTGACCACCTGAAACTTCAAATCCCAAAAAGATACAGAAAACTCGACGTCACCACTATTTGAGGATTGGAGTTTACAGAATCCATATCATAGATGTCCGTTTGCCGCTGGTTGGTTGATTCAACAAACCTGTTGACAGGTTGATAGCAAATAGTATACACTGAACCGGCCCCGCAACACTTGTCCTAAAAAGACAATATAGATCCAAATGAGCAGTATCAAAAACCCATCAGACCCATCAACGTTTATTGTTGCTCTTGGGCTTCTACTACTAATCTTTCTTGAAAAGGGATCAGCCAACAATCCACTATTGGAATGATGTATCCCTACAGTGGTTTGGAGGGTCACGGCTTAGGAGGGTTGAAACTTAGATTAACTTAAGACACAACGGAACACACATGCCGCCACCCAGTGGTTCAAGAAGAAACCCATCCCCTATTGGAATACCCGGCCTGGTAAACGTTTACAGTTTGCGAACTTGAAAATTGCCATTTTTATAGTGGATTTACCCATTAATAACAGGGTGATTTTCCATAGCTATTGAACATGACCATTTATAGTGAGTTTTCCCATTCAAAATGGTGGATCTTTCCATAGTTTTTTTTGTTAACGTTTACCAGGCCGGGTAACCAAAAATCACTGGGGGTTGAAACCACCATAAATTCCCATAAATTCCCATTAGAACCCATTAAAACGACCAAAAATCACTGGGGGTTGCTGCTTGGTACTGATCTTTTTTTTACCGCAGGTCAATCGGACAAAGACTTCGAAGCCGCGGCTTTTGACCTCGCAGTGCCATGGCATGTCGGGGGAGATTCCTGGGATTTTACCCGGCCTGGTAAACGTTTACAAAAAGCTATGGAAAATCACCATTTTTTAATGGGAAAATCCACTATTTCAATGGCCATTTTCAATAGCAAACTGTTAAATTACCAGAGGGTAAGTTAGGAAATGGATTGAAATGGCCATAAGATGTCATAAGATGCCTAGAGAGTTAAAATGGATTGAAATGGGAAGATGATAGAAAATGGAAGAGTCAGAGAGGCCAGACTCATTTCCATACTTATCGATTCCCAGAAAGTTGTTTTTTTCTCGGCTTTTGCTGGATCTCAGGCGCAGTGTAAGAGAGGTTAACATCAGTTGTAGCTTGGTCATGGTCGTTTTACGTCATTTTTCCAACGTTTGATATTTGGAGGTTGTAACCTTCACACACCATGCCCCATTTGTTCAATGGGAGATCTCCAGGATCCTAAAATCGAGGTATGTAAACGTACCATATTTTCGGCCGTATTTTGCTGGGATAGTCCCTGAAATTTAGGTCTTATATATGGCCATTGAATGCCATTGATTAGTTGGTTGGTTCTTTCCCACCCGGCGAAGTTTTGGACTGGGATTTCCACGTCGGAGTTGCGAGTTTCTAGCGTAAACTTATAGGGTCCCCCGGGGAGTTGGAGGCGAAACAGGTACAATAAAACCCAACCGATTGGTGTAAGATGTGTAAGGGTGAAAATTATGGAAAACCCATAGGCTATATATGGCTATATAGGAAATTCATGGAAATTCCCATGACTTTCATGGGAAAATCTTTTGGTTTCCAGTAAAGATGTTCCCAACGAAAAAAAACCCATCCATTGACCAACTCAGGGACAGCCTAGGTGGGTGCCATCAGCGACATCGTTATCTCGCAGCGCGGCGCTCATTTGGTCCACAGACTGGCCTGATGGCCGTGCTGCGCTGCGGCGCTGCGCTGCCAGTGCTAGTGGTGGATGATGAGATTTCAGGTGTTCCAACATCTTTCAACAGAATTCCAAGTCTTCAACGGATTTGTTGTTGGGGCTTAGTTTGAAGCTTAGTTTGAATGGTTCTTGTGACATTCGTTTCCCGTTCTTTTTAAGCGCTGAATGTTACAGAGATTGGATGGATCTGAATGAATCGTACTTCTATGATCCTACGCTGTTTGATGTTAGTTAAAGAAAAAACACGCTCCTCATCATGGGAAAATCGCCAATTTGGGCGGCCATCGAAGCTATTTGCCGTGCAATGCATGGAGGGAGCCTGTCATAGGCTTCAGCCTTGAGAGAGTGTGAGCGGGGCAAAAATGAGCGGATGTAGTGCAACGGGGTATCTCCCAATTAGAGGATGGCAGTGTCTAATGTAGTGAATCTAAACACCAAACCATTGACATGATCTCATGATATAGATACATGGCATGATGCCACACATATGCTTTCCTCCAAATAGGTTAGGGCTATAGCGGCTATATTTCATGTTTTTCTCTTCGCTTGAATTTGTGAATCAATGGGTTGAAGGGGACCACTTTTCCAGGAGGTCCAAGGTGTAACCCAACTTTTGGGGTTAGAAATGAACATTTTCCGTTCCAATTGTGACACGGGGAATGTTTTGAGAAACTTGAGGTTTTTCCACGCTTTCTCAACCTATCCTCTGGTAAACTAACATGGCCATGGAGAATCAGCAGGTTTTACAGGTGAACCAATTGTCAATGGCCATTTTTTCTGGAGGGTATGCATTTCCCTTCCTCCCAGCTGTGCCAGACTCTCAAGAAGTCCTCCTGAAGGCTGGAGCAGCTGGAAATCTTCAAAGTGGAATGGGTCAGCCCAAAAGGTACCCTCTGGTAATTTAACGTAGCTATTGAAAATGACCATTAATAGTGGATTTGCCCATTAAAAATGGTGATTTTCCATAGTTATGTTAGTTTACCAGAGGGTAACCCTTCATCTTGTTGCACCTTTCAGAAAGCGGTCATTTTTCGGATTTTTCGGCTGGGGGTCTTCATGGTTTCCAAGCCAAACCGCACAGTAAAAGGGTGCTCGGTGGCACACCCCTTTGTGCTGTCCAGGGTGCTGTGCAGTGCACTTTGGCAAGGTGCTGTACACATATTATGCTGGTTGGTGGTTTCAAACATTTTTTTCAAACATTGACTAATATTTTTCAGAGGGGTTGAAACCACCAACCAGTATGTGTATATATGTGTTGTATGAGTATGTACGAGTCACCAATAAAATCACCACAATATAACTGATACATGACTGAGCTGATCGTCCAGTTCTTTTTGCTCGAGGTCTCCGGTCTGCAGAGGAGAAACTCTCCGTGTTTGATCTAATTTTGTGACTGGGAGAACATGGAAAAGTAGGGACATCATCTCAAAATGCTAGATGTTCAATCAAACCAGGCTAGATTACTGGCAAATCTTGATTTTTGTTTGGTCCATCAGAGTTTTTTTTTTCAATTGCTTGATTCCAATAACTAGCGTGACCCAGGCATGGCAAACAAAGCAGCCGAATAACCCAATGACATGCGACTGAGCCATGTTGATTTGCCGATTTCGTACACTTGTTTGTATTAGTTTATACCCTTTCTCTGCTGCGTTTTTGCAAGTTTGCCCAGTGCTGACGTAGCAGCTTTGCGCGAGATCTTTCACGCGGCCAACCTTGAGTGGAAGCAGGGGCAGGAGCCATGCACACTCCAACGGGTACGCTGCGATGAGGACAACAGGACCATAAAATCGTTGATCCTTCATTCACTGAAATTGACTTGGCTGCCCGACTCGATTGGACACTTGCAGTCCCTTGAAATCTTGCGTTTGCAAGACAATCAGCTAAGGTCACTGCCAGAGTCCATTGCGCAATTGAAATCCCTAGCCATGCTGTTTTTGAACGACAACCAGTTGACTGAACTGCCTGAGTCAATGGGCCAATTGCGATCGCTCACGCGCCTGAATGCCGGTGGGAACCAGTTGGCTGCTTTGCCGGTGTCCGTTAGTCAGTTGCCATCCTTAATTGAGCTTCGGTTGAATAACAATTACCTGACCATGCTCCCAGACTCCGTTGGACAGATGAAGACACTGACTTCCTTGTATCTGAAATCGAATCAACTGACTTCCCTGCCCGAATCGATTGGGCAGCTGCGGCACCTATCGACTCTGAATTTGGACGGCAATCAGTTGACTATTTTTCCAGAGGCGATTGCAGATTTGCAATGGCTGAAGCAACTCCGCATAGCAGGCAATCGGCTCACATCATTGCCTGAGTCAATTGGAAAGCTGCAATCGCTCCGAAAATTGGACATACACTCCAATAAGTTGACTTTATTGCCTGAATCCATTTCACATTTGCAGGAGCTCCTCTACCTGCACCTGCAGAACAACCAGCTGACCTCACTTCCTGATTCGATAGGCAACTTAACACTCTTGCGAATTTTCAGTTTAGATTCCAATCGATTGAGCTCATTGCCTGAGTCCATGGCAAATTTGAGCCTACTGAGTTTGTACTTAGATTCTAATAGGTTGACGTCAATACCACGCTTAAATTCGCCAAACTTGCTGGAATTGAGGGCTGCCAAGAACCAGCTAAGAACGTTGCCAGATTTAGGCAACAAGATGCGTCTGCAAGTGCTTTCTTTGCATGACAACTTCTTGGAACAACTTTCACACAGCAGTACGTCTATGAGCCGCTTGGAAGTTGCGTTGCTTCATTCCAATCGAATCCGTGACTGTGCAGAGATTTGTCGTCTTGGACTCAGTGTTCGTTTGAAGACACTCTACTTGCACCGCAATGCGTTGGGCAAAGTACCGCCTTGCTTGAGCCAATTCAGTTCTTTGGAGGTTCTGACCCTGCACAGTAACTTCTCGACTGGAGAAGTGCCGAAAAATCTTGTTGGGCTTCCAAATCTGAATATTCTCACCCTCCATAGGAACAGACTCTATGGTAATCTTCCTCAAGAGCTTGTGACTGCGCCCAAGCTGTTCTTCTTTTCAGCGCACTCGAATCATTTGGTGGGCCCAATCCCAGCATTAAACCTCCGCAAAGACTGTGTCAATGATGCCTCTTTTGTGACTGACCACAGCACTTGTGATGATTTTGCCATGTGGGCATTGGAATGTAAGAAGGCAGAAATTGCATTGCACTGTCCCAAGGCATGCTTGATGTGCGACAATGCCAGTGCACGGGGTCCTGTTCTGTTGCTGCATGACAATCGGCTCTCATGCAGCTTACCGGAAGAAGTGACTAGCTGGCCGGAAGCCATGCGTTCGATTTCCCTGGTTGGCAACATGTTGGGAAATGGAAGCCATGCATTGCCGGATTGGATACACACTTATGAGCATCAGCCCTTTCTGTACTTATCGGAAAACACGGCGAGCGACATCTTCAAACGGTCAATGCTGCTGGCATCAATGTGCACATTGGGCTGGCTGCTTTTGGTAGGGACTAGTAAGCATGGCCACATTTGGATGTCAAAAGCAGGCACCGAACTAACACACAAAGCCCACATGTTTCTTCTTCGAATGTGTGGATCTTTTTCTGTTGTTGCAATGTCTTTGCTTGTCCCCTACTTGGCTGGTGCAAGTTATTATATGTGCGGTGACAGCTTCTCATCAACTACAGGGAGCAATTTTTCGAATCCCTACCATGGCCATGCCCTGACCGAATGGGCGGTGATAATTTTGTGGGCTGTCTGGATTGCAGTCGGAGCATTTTTTCTGAGACGTGCTCCCGCCGCTAAGGTGGCTGGGGTAGGAGAAGAAATGTCGTGGCTGGAAAGCTTTCTGAAGTTCATTTATAGTTGCTGTTGGTTGTGCATCGTGGCTGTGTTATCATTCCCTTCTGTGGCATATGCAGTGGTGAGCGCCATCCCTTTCAACAATACCCTGAAGCTGTCAGCTTGGTGGCTGAAGTTTTTTCATTACCAAGCTGCTTTGGTCATGGTCTTGGTGGACATGTTCATCACTCCCAAAGCAGTTCGATTTTTTGCAGATGCCACCGGCATACGAAGATCCATGTTATTCATGGCGGCGCGTTTGGGGACCATGTGGTTGGCCGCAGTGCTGAGCACCATCTATTTGACCACGAATTGTATGAACGGCTGGACCCAGTTGTGGAAAGTTTCTGGGTGTGTTTTTGTTTGTTAGTTTTGCAGGCCAGGGCCAGACTAAATAACTTACAGTACCTTCGCGTCGCTGTGTCGATGTGTTATTTATTTCTTGATAGGTTTTGGGAGTGTCGGTGTAAATTTCAGATCTTATGAGAACTCATGGTGTTGGCACGCCCCACCTAACTGACTTGCTTCTGAGAAACGAACCGGGGCCCACATCATTTCTTATTTTGTTTGAAGCTATTTTTTTCTCGCAGGTCAACCACCACTAAGGTTTGTGATGACAGCACGGAAGACTACAAGCTCTTCAACATCAGTCTAGGTGACAACCCGATTCTTGAGCCCAAAGCGGACCTTTGCTCAGCAAAGGAGTCTTGGTGGAGTGACAGTGCGTGTCCACGTGCCGTGGTCAACACCATGGCACCTCTGCTGGTATCGAAGATGATTACCCGCGCCTTCCTGCAGCCCATCATCACCTTGCTCAGGTGGGGTTTGATTAAACAAGCACGGCCAAATCTTTTGTCTTTGGCTTCGCAGATGATGTCTTGAAACTCTTAGATGGAAGTTTCAGGGTCCTAGTCCTCCAATCGCAACATTGGAAACAGCAGTGTTTTGTTTGTTTTGCAGCACCCTTTATGCTCGCCAGGTGGCAAATGTCATATCCCGAAGGTGGACAGCTCTACATGTTGCGCGGTCTAATCTGTACCAGTCGTTCATTGGAACCTGGGCAGCAGGCAAGTTTGTTGGTGACTTGGGCTGAAGTAGCTTTGCTGTGGGGAGCCTTTGTGCCTGTTCTGCTGCCATCAGTGCTTTTGGCAACTGGAGCCAACATGTTGATGTGCAAAGTGGGGCACGGCCACTTTGGCGTGGAGCATTTGGCCCAGGACAAGGCAGCAACCGGGATGTCCCGAAGGTATTTGCACGGCAGCTTGTGTGTCTTAGTGTGCTTCCAGAATTGGTTTGCCTGGTCCAGTGGCATGCATGGCCGGTGGCTGCTCCTGCTGATTGCGTTGATTTATGCACTTGAGCTGGGAGGTTTTCTGAGTTTTTGGCCTGATCAGAGACGCAACAGGGTTGCCATTTTAGATGACAACCCTCCAGATCCACCAGAGAGGTAGCCATAACGCGTTGGAAAAGGGAAGCGGTGTGGCCCCAAGTCGTTCGCAGGGAAGTTGAAAAAGTTCAGGGGAGATGTTGCAAGTCAGAGGGTGGAGTTTGCAAAGCCAAGCCACTTAAGGCGAAAGAGAATTATTGAAGTTTGCAGGGTATAGCTCCAAAGTAACCAAATAATTTTCAACAGCCATTGTATTGTCCCCCGCACTTACGCGGCAAAGCAATTGTTGATGTCCGCACAGGCACAAGACCAAGTGTGGGCTGGGGAGCCCCCGTGTTTTCATAACCAATCCGGAAGTGAAAGAGGAGATGGAACTGCAATGGGGAGTGCAGGAGATGGTGGGCAAGGGAGGTGGAAAAGGGTGCACTTTCAAGGAGGAGATGGGGGTACTGGTGCAGCAGTTGCTGCAGACGCAGATGGAGGGGATGGTGGTGCAGCAGTGCCATGCAGTGCCCTTCTGATAGTCACAGAGGTAGTCAACTTTCACTGACAGGTTGCCATAGGTCCCCAGACCCACAGACCTATTGGTTGAATCCATTGGGAAACTTGAAACATGTTCCAGCTTTCCATTAAGCGTTTTCTAAGAAAGCTTTCCATGTTAGTGCCATTCTCCCGTTTAACTACCCCCAATCTGGTCCTCAATGCCGAACGAGGGTTCTGGGAGGGTATTTACCATGGAGGGCGCTGTTTTTTTTTGGGATATTTTTGGCGATGCTGTGAATTATGTAAGGACCTCACCAAAGAATCATTTGCTGCTGTCCAGGGTGTGGTGGCCAAAACTGGCACCATAGTTGATGAGTTTTCATGAGTTTTCGAAGGAATTGCCAAGTGTTTTTTTGGGTCTCGAAGGATTTACCCTCTGGTAATTTAACAGTTTGCTATTGAAAATGGCCAATCATTTATAGTGAATTTTCCCATTAACAATTGTGATTTTTCATAGCTATGTTAATTTACCAGAGGGTAACCCCAAGAATAGCAACCTTTGACATCAACCTGGCAGCGATTCGCCACTCGAAGCTCGAAGCTGGCGGAGGCCTCCAAGTTGTCATCCTGGATGCGACCGCCAAGATGTGGCCCTGGTCAAAGGGGGTCCCCAAAACCTTGTGGGAAATCCCCAAGATGCGCTTGGAGACCACCTGTGTCATCTGGCCATGATCAAGAGACCAGGACTGTTTCTGCGACTTGAGAAATCCGTGGCACAGCTCGGGGAGATATTTTTTTAAAAATATACCGTAGCTATCCGAAGCTAAGACTCATGAACATTCGAACAAATTCATACAAATTCTTTGAAGCGATATTTTCGTGAGTTTTCAGCATGTTGCATTGTCAGATTCTGTTAAAAAAAACCAGGTGACCTGATATCACAGCTGGATGAGGTTCAAAGGATGAGAACAAATGGCCTCCGAACCGCGACATCACCTGAGAGATCAATGACCTTACCTCGGTGAAACAAATCTGGTCATCGATGACCCCCAATCCCACCTAAATCTGGGGAAACATGGGCTTTACATGGCTTTACCTTTTTTTTACATGGATGTATTGATCCCGGGTTGACTTTTTTCAGCCCAAGTCTTCAAGTGCAAAAATCAGTATGCCATGGCTGCTATGGAACCTTTCAATGCAGGGTATCCAGCCGCGCGGAGCCCGTTCTTGGCAGCTTGCAACACATGGTCGCAGCCTGCTTAGTCGCCTTGCCATGGCGCTCCCCGAAGCGGGCAGGGTGCGACCCATCTCGTGACTCAGTTAGTGATTTCTTGGGTACTTAGATGGGAATAGCTGGGACGCTACCCTCTGGTAATTTAACATAGCTATTGAACATGACCATTTATAGTGAGTTTTCCCATTAAAAACATTGTCATTTTCCATAGTTATGTTAGTTTACCAGAGGGTAAGTGTCTTACGAATGCCCCATTCATGTGATAAATGATAAACCCAACAATGAACCATCCCCAAAATCACCATCAATGGGTGGGATTGAAACCATCCCCCAATGCTCGCTTTATTGGATTGCCCACATTATAAGCATATATAAATTATATAAGCCACTTATCAGGGGTGATAACCCAGTAATTCAGGAGCAAACTGCCCCACACTCTTGGGCACCAAATTTTGCAGTGCAGCCGACGCATCCTTGGGGAAGTTGGTGTCGGGTACTTGGATTCCCGCAATTTTCTTGAAACATGGCTGGACAAATTCTGAAAAAGATGAGGGTTTCTAACTGTTGCTAGCTTTTCTTGTTCTGATTTGAAATAGTTACAGTATGTTTTTCCTGGAATGGCCTAGCTTTTTCATGGGGTTTCCAGTCAGCCATGTTTTCACGACTGCCGACGCGAGGCCAAAGAAACAGGCTCAAGCAGTAGCTTTGCTGCACTGTCGGCATATCGAATGGGGCACTCCCCAGGTTTTGAAAAATCTCAGCGTGCAAAGGTCAGGTCTTGCTCACGTTTGTGCATCTTTTTGCATGATGTTTACTACTGCTTACTGTTTTTGATGAAGCATTTCAGATGACAGTTGGTGGTCGGTGTGCCTATCCATGTCTATCAAGTCACCACCAGTTAATCAAATGTTCTTGGAAAAGTCATCATTTCTCGCATTTGGGTGCGCATCCCACTTAGCATCACTTAGTAAATGGTCTATAACCCGCAAATGGCATTGGATTACATATTTCTCCGCACTGGGATATGACTTGAATCCCATCCCCCTAACATTAAAATGCTCCCATTGTATGGTCCCAAATATGTGATTTCATCCCCTACCATGGCTGCTACTGGCAGGTGTTTAATACTAAAAATCACATGAGAATCACCAATTTTTCCCAAGTATAGAGTGCACATCACAGAACGAAATCATCATTTTTCATCGTTGATCACCATTTTCCATGGTTTTTCCCTGGTTTTTCCCCTATTTTTGGTGAAAAGCCCTAGATTTTGGGCCCCGGTGCCCAGGACAAGATGCGATGGAAGGCTGGGCACCTGGGCCATTTAGGCGGCATCCTTGAGAACGACGCCTCCGCAGGCGCAGCCAAGGCGGTGGTGCGAACCGCTGCGCAGACAGGGAGCCTGTCCTCAAGGCCCAGGGGGACGAGGGCTGAGATTTTGGGAGTTTCTGGCGGATTTTTTTCCGATTGTTTTTCCAGAAGTTGATTATTTTTCATTGAGTTTCTGATGGATTTCTGCGGATTTCTGCTGGGAATCTGAAGAGATTTGGTAGGATTTTGGTTTATTCGGGTTGATTTGTGATGATTTGTGCGGAGATTCTTATTGCTGTCAATAGGATGTTAGTGGTTATTTGGTGGCTATTTACCGGCTTTTACGGTGATTTTCGATGGACCTGATTTGCCATTTACTTGCAATACTCCTGACATTTTCATAATTTTTCATAATTATTTCATCAACCTCCCTCCCAAAAAATATCCCGGCAAAAAAGTGTTGCAAGGAACATGAAGAAGAGATACTGAGATACCAGGTCAGATTCTACAAATCCCCTTTGTGAAGGGATCTCTTGGCAAGATCTCAACAAATCTCTATGCAATGTCTCTGTACAAGATCTCTATAAGAGGTATCTGGGCGAGATTTCTGTACAAGATTCCCATAACATTTCTCACTTGGGAAGATCTGTTTCGGAGATCCCTGCACAAGCTCTCTATAAGAGCTCTCTTGGCAAGATCTCTGTAAGAGACCTCTTGGCAAGATCCCTGTACAAGATCTCTAGAAGGGGTCTTTGTACAAGATCTCTATAAGATGTCTCTGTGGCAAGATCTCTGCGCAAGCTATCAACAAAAGACCTCCGTGCCAAGATCTCTGCACAAGATCTCCTTGAGTAGCAAAATGAGCCAGAGCGATCTCGAGCGAACCCCATCCCGGCCCCAAGTTTCGTGCAGACTTCCGTCAAAAACGTAAGATGCAAGAGCTTTTGGGCTGTAAGGGTCATCAAAAACGCCACACACACGCATGAGACCAGCTCGAATGAACACCAGGCCTTAACCCCTACTGTAACCCCAAGGGTGTCCATTTGGGGAAAAACCAGAAAACCCAACATGTTCTAAGTGTATTTCTCCCAGGTTAGATAGCTACGGCTTCGCTCCCCGCAGCGTTGGAGAAGCCGTGGTGAAGCCAAGTGTGAAGTCCTTGGACCGGAACACCGCGGAGGCCACGTCTCAAGCCAGCTGGGGTTGGAAGATGATGGCTTTTTCATGAATTTGATGATGGATGATTTTGTAGGGAATCATTGAATCTATGATTTATTTACTGCATGTGATTTTGTTGATATTTTTGATGATACTTACATAACCCCGTCATATGATTTCATGATGTAGTTCATGGGGATTTGGCGTTTTTGTTTAAATAGTTGCGGGTTAAAATGGGGTGTTAAAATGGGGATGATTGGGGAGAGAGAGAGAGAGAGAGAGAGAGAGGGAGAGAGAGAGAGAGAGAGAATGGCGATGATTGACATATTTTTAAACACTACACCTCGTGGATTCAGTGTTTAAAGTCTTAAGCATCATGTATAGAGGTTTTAATTATCAATCAAACCATTTATGGTTATGGAAGATGGTTTTCCAGCTTGGACATGGCAAATGCACAACATTTTTTTGGGGTTGGGGTCCATTTTTTTTTGGGGGGATGTGGGATGTAATAATGTCTACTTCAAAAAGGTATGGGATATCGAACCAACTTGTGTCATGATAGTCCCTAGGTAGTTGTTAGATTTGATATTACCTAAAAGGAGGAAGCAACAATCAGTAGATTTGCTATTTTTGGTAAGTTCGGGGATTTCCAGCCACGATGACGCCAGAGTGTGTATCTCCCCATATTTAATTAACTATGGAACATCACCTTTTTTTAATAGGTAACTCAACTATACATGGTCCTGGTTTCACTAGCTATGTTAGTTTACCAAAGGGTATAGATAGATAGATAGATGGATAGGATAGGATAGGATAGGATAAGATAGGGTAGGATAGGATAAGACAAGATTAGATTAGATAGATAGATAGATAGATAGATAGAGATAGATAGATAGATAGATAGAGATAGATAGATAGATAGATAGATAGATAGAGATAGATAGAGATAGATAGAGATAGATAGAGATAGATAGAGATAGATAGAGATAGATAGAGATAGATAGATAGATAGATAGATAGAGACATAGAGATGTAGAGATATAGAGATATAGAGATATAGAGATATAGAGATATAGAGATATAGAGATATAGATAGATAGATAGATAGATAGATAAATAGATAGATAGATAGATAGATAGATAGATTTATTTAAATTTATTCCTCCAAAATTTTCCCTGGTGAACGCTTCAAAGCCACAGGTCTGTCCCGAGATCGATTCCTTAGTTCATCAGTTGACGAGTGGCAAGGGTGAATTTTTCGATTACATCGATGACGGGCCCTCGCAGGCGCACCTGGATGGTGGTTTGGGGTACCCTCCAGTAAAGATACACAGAAAAACGATGGACAACGGCCGCCATCTCAGATGATTTACCTACCAAAAAATGATGATGCTATAGCTATGTTAAATGACACGGAAGGGTATCGGGCCAAAATTGGAGCGATCAAAAAAGTGAAAGAGAAGTTAGATAAACTCTTTATGTGGTAAAACATGGTAAAACCAATGCATAAACCATCCCATTGGCTGTGGGGGTCATGATGAACATCATAGCAGTCAAAGGGGTACAGCCAATTTCATAAACCATTATACATGATTTATAAACCTTTATGACAACCATATACTCAAGGGATACATAAACGATTGGGGATTTCATTTACGGCATGGGGATGGGTTGCTGCCCGAATCGTAGGTAGGCTGCGTGATGTGCATGCGCAATCTGCACGAGACTGCCTTGTACGAGGGCCGGCATGAAGTCAAAGTCTTGTGGCTTGGCGGAGGCTGATGGGCACAAAAGGGGCTTTAAGCTGATGTTTGCTGTTGGGAAGAACATGAAGAGATGTGTGAGTGAATGGAGCCTTTTTTAGCAAGCCTGAATCTGCCATGGTACTCTTGTGTTGGATCCTGGCAGTTGGCAAATTGACCCTCCCAAAACCGAGTCAATTTTTGTATATATATATATATATACATAAAATGAAAAAAAAACATCCGGTAAATCAAAGGTTTGCTATTATTGGTATAGATGGCCCATTTAGTTCTATGATTGACCTACTAAAAGTCGTGGTTTTCCATGGTTTAACGGTTACGTGAGGTTTAGTATTGAAACCAGAGGGTATCTCCAATACCCGTTGGCACCTGTGGGGGGTGAAGGATCAAAAAACAAATAAAAACGCATCAAAAAAAAATATCCCCATAAGTATCAAAATAAAAATTGATTTGCATCAAAAAAAAGTATTCCCCTGGACTTCTATGGAACTGTCCAAGATTTCAACGTGGTACACGCATCAAAAAAAAATAAAATTTGCATCAAAAAAAAATAAATTCCGAGGTATGCTAATACAAGTGAGACTCGTACGTGTCTGGAGACAGGGGAGGGAGGGTCAGATGTCGATTGCCGATCTGTCCGCAATATCCAGGTGGTCCGTATCAAACAAGAAAATTCCGAGGTACGTGTCTGGAGACAGGGGAGGGAGGGTCAGATGTCGAAGAAAAGGTCGACTGTCAGCAGACAACAGATACCAATGCATATTAAATCACAACTACTCTTGGGATACCGACTCAGACGAAGAGTCCCATTAAGGTGCTCCATAACGCAATGCTCATACATGCGAGGCGATCACACGTCTGGAGAACTCTCTTGAGATCCCAACAGATACCAGCGCATATTAAATCACAACTACTCTTGGGATACCGACTCAGAGGGAGAGTCCCAGCAAGGTGCTCCATAACGCAATGCTCATACATGCGAGGCGATCACACGTCTGGAGAACTCTCTTGAGATCCCAACAGATACCGAATAAAGGGTCGAGTCCCAGCAAGCAAGCTGCTCCATAACGCGATGCTCATACATGCGACGCGACAGCATGTCTGGAGATGGAAGTTTTCTATGGTTTTCTTCAATCAATCAATCAATCAATCAATCAATCAATCTATATACATATGTATATATATATCTATCTATCTATCTATGTATGTATGTAGGTAGGTATGTATGTATGCATGTATGTATATGCAGGGTTTGGTTTAGGGTTTAGGGATACAACATGTAGGTATAATTACGTGATTATTTGTAGTATATTTTGGGATCAAAGCTGTGTATAAAAACAACCACAAATATGTCATATATATATATACGTCTATCTGTCTATAAGTAAATATGTATGTGTATTTCTAAATAAACATATATATATATACTGATAGAGACATAATTATATAAATATATACACATTGATATGTATATACATATTCATATGTATTTATATATATATATACATTTATATAAGTACATAAATATATATATGTGTGTATATATAAATGCAAAGATATACATACATACATACATTACATTACATTACATTACATTACATTACATACATACATACATTAGATATATATATATATGTGTGTCTATGTATATATATGTCTAGATATATATATATATAAACATAAATATTAATATAAAAGAATCAAACTAGTAATTGAAAAGTGTGCAAGTTTTGAATTTAAATAATTTAAAAAAAAACGGGAGAGGGGGGATTGGGGGGGAGGGCGCAGCGCCTCCCCCCCAAAGCAGATTGGAAACACCTATTTTCACATGCAAGGTGCTGGGTTGAATGTGATACTCAAGGTGTATGTAGGTAGGTATGTATGTATGCATGTATGTATGTATATGCAGGGTTTGGTTTAGGGTTTAGGGATACAACATGTAGGTATAATTACGTGATTATTTGTAGTTTATTTTGGGATCAAAGCTGTGTATAAAAACAACCACAAATATGTCATATATATATATATACGTCTGTATATCTTTAAGTAAATATGTATGTGTAATTATAATATATATATACATTTACATTTGTATATATATATATATTTATGTAAATACATATACTGAGAGATACACAATTATATAAATATTTACATGGATATGTATATACATATTAATTTTTATATATATACATTTATATAAGTACATATATATATATAAGTGCATATATAAATGCAAATATATACATACATACATATATATATATACATATATATATATGTGTGTCTATATATATATATATGTCTAGATATATGTATATATATATACACATAAATTTTAACATAAATATGAATATAGTCGAATCAAACTATATAGTGTATTGAAAAGTGTCTTTCTTTTTTATTTAAATAGTTTAAAAAAAAGCGGGAGGGGGGGATTGGGGGGGAGGCGCAGATTGGAAACACCTATTTTCACATGCAAGGTGCTGGCTTCAATGTGATACTCAAGGTGTATAGACTACACGACATGCACCCTGGAAACATGTGGAATACAGTATATATAGCCTCGTGCAGGCTTCTGGAACTACCTAAACCTGAATTAGGTTGGTAAAACTTGTCCATTCCGTGACGAAATTTCGTCGCGGAATTAACAAGTTTCATTAGGGTCATTATCATCATCATCATCATCATCATCATCACATCATCATCAACTGCTGCCGCAAGTTCACATGAATGTTAACATCGAGCCGCAAGTTCACATGAACGTTAACATCCCACCCCACCCCCCCCACCCCGCGTGTGCGTAGCATCAACTGCTGCCGCAAGTTCACATGAACGTTAACATCCCACCCCACCCCTTTACCCCAAGGTTTAAGTAGTTCCAGAAGCCTGGACGAGCCTATATATACTTGTAGATACATACTCATTTATATATATATATATATACAGTTATATGTATATACATATGAATGTGTATATATATATATAAGTACATAAAAAAATATATATATATTAATATGTAAATATAAATATATAAATATAAATACATAAATATATATATATATATATATAAATATAGAAGTGTATATATACATGCATAAATATAAGTATATGTATATATTTACATATTTCTATATGTAAGTATATATATATATATATTTGAATTTGAACATAAATAGAAATACTATGTATATAAAAATATAAACAGAAAATATAAATAATATAAATATATTTAAATATATATATATAAGTGTGTATATAAATGCATATATATATATATGTATATATACATATACATAAATAACAGTACGCAACTGCTACGGTGATGCCTGCATGTAATTTGAATGATCTCTTATGCATGTAATATTACATCATTATTTCTTTCCTTTCTTGTTTCCTTCCTTTCTCGTCTCCGTCCTTTCTTCCTTCTTTTCTTTCTTCCTTCCTTTCTTCTTTGGTTCCTTTTTCTTTCTTCCTTTCTTGTTTCCTTCCTTTCTTGTTTCCTTCCTTTCTTGTTTCCTTCCTTTCTTGTTTCCTTCCTTTCTTCCTTCCTTTCTTCCTTTCTTCCTTCCTTCCTTTCCGTCTTCCTTCCTGTCTTCTTTCCTTCCTGTCTTTCTTCTTTTCTTCCTTTCTTTCCTTTCTTTCCTTGCTTCCTTCCTTCCTTTCTTCCTTTCTTTCTTCCTTTCTTCCTTCCTTCCTTCCTTTCTTCCTTTCTTCCTTCCTTCCTTTCTGTCTTCCTTCCTTCCTTCTTTCCTTCCTGTCTTTCTTCTTTTCTTCCTTTCTTTCTTCCTTTCTTCCTTCCTTCCTTCCTTTCTTCCTTTCTTCCTTCCTTCCTTTCTGTCTTCCTTCCTTCCTTCTTTCCTTCCTGTCTTTCTTCTTTTCTTCCTTTCTTTCCTTGCTTCCTTCCTTCCTTCCTTTCTTCCTTTCTTCCTTTCTTCCTTCCTTTCGTCCTTTATTTTTTTTTGATGCATTTTTATGTTTTTTTTGATGCATTTTTATTTTTTTTTGATGCATTTTTATTTTTTTTTTGATGCCTACGCCCCTGTGGGCGGTGTTTCACTGAGAAGGTTTCCCAACATTTATTGTCCCGCCATTGTTCCATGTTTTCCCAATGTTCCCGGTATACACGTCCACCATTTTTCCTCACGTTTTGTGAAAGAAGGATCGAATTGGTGGGAAACTACGGTTTTCCAGTCTTTTAAACCTGTTTCCCCAATTTTTTTCAAGATGTTCCCAGCAATTCTCCAAAATTTTTCCCAAGATTTATCCCCAAGATTTTTCCCCAAGATTTATCCCTAGGATTTATCCCCAAGATTTATCCCCTAGGATTTATCCCCAAGATTTATCCCTGGGATTTATCCCCAAGATTTATCCCTGGGATTTATCCCCAGGATTTCCCCAGGATTTCCCTACAGTTCAGTTCCCTACATCATTTGATTTTTCGACGCAGCGAGGCCTTGCTTCCACAGCGTTTGTGCTGCCTGCCTTCAGAGTTTAGCCTCCAGCGAAGGTGATGCCTTCGATTGCCCGAGGTGTGGCAGGAGGACGCAGAAAATGTGACTTTGGCGAAACCAGCCCGCCGATTCGCCCAAGTTTCGTTGGCGAAGCTTGGGGTTGTTTTAAGAAAAAATATGTGGATGATAAGTGGTACCCTCTGGTAAACTAACATAGCTATTGAAAATGGCTCATTTATAGTTGATTTACCTATTAAAGATAGTGATTTTCCATAGTTATGTTAGTTTACCAGAGGGTATGTGGATGATAAGTGGTAGATATATGCTAGATATATGGATGATAAGTGGATGACAAGTGGATGATAAGTGGATGACAAGTGGATGATAAGTGGAAAAACTTGGATAGACCTGGATGATACATATGGTAAATAAATAAATATATACATATAATTATGAAACTATGGCTACTATATATGTGGTATAGAATTTGATCAACAAACCTTAAGTGAAAGGTCACCACCTTGCCGTAACATGATACTAATCCATCCCACCTATCCAGGTAGTGCTAGAATCTTCCACCGAGGCAAGCGCTTCATCAGTATCTTCCCAACTTCGACATGTTGCACAACATTGACAGCCACCTGTCGCTGAAACGGCGGTCCCGCCTTTAATGGGCGGATTTTCCATGAACAATCTGAAATCCAGCAGAAATGGGGGCTATTCTTTTGCAAAATATACCGCCAGTCAACTCAGTAAACTAACATAGTTATGGATGTTGCATTCTGGCGTTGGGGGTCGATTCACCTTAGGATTTATGCATGAACAATTGCTAATTTTATTCCATCCTCATGTTTTACCATGATTACCATGATTTACTTTTCAAATTGGTGGATTTTATGTGATTTCCATAGCTATGTTCACCACATTTCACCACCCAAGGCCAAAAGGTCGCCCAAAGCGATTTTCTCTGCGAAGAGTGTGTCTCAGGATATCGTTCCTCGGATCCATGAAGTGAAGATAGAAGATCGGGAAAAATGCACATATTTCTCGGAAATATCATCTATAAATATCCTTATCATTCTGGAACCACTTTTGGGCATCTTTTTGAGGTTTGCTATACAGTAACAAGTGATTTACCCTCTAGTGATCAAACGTGGCTTGCTGGAAAATCACCCTAAAGTCGGTTGTGGCCTGTGCTAGTCACACATGTTGCGATTTTCTCTGAGGGCGGATGGAAGCTTCTGTTGCGATAAACAATTAGAACTGCTGAAGGATATTTGGAGATTTGGAGATGGGGATGTTTCTCGGGGAAACCCCTTTGGTGTGTGAAAAATGTGGTGTGTTTCAGCCATCGGGGACCACCAAAACCACGGCTTTCAAGGCTAACATGGTCTATATGATGACTTGGACATATGGGGGTGCACTCTGGTAATTTAACATAGCTGTTGAACATCACAATGTTTATTTTTGGTAAATAATCATAAATAATCCATAACTGGGCCATTTTCAATAGCTATGCAACAAATTATCAGGGGGTATCCCCATTTTAGTAAAGCGCTACATGGTGACATTCGTTCAATACCTCCACCTTGAGCGATGAACGGAGCTACACCGACACCAGCTGGGCAGCTGGGTCAGGGTTGGACAGATGGACAGGGTCCACCTGAGGATGAGTCAAAGTTGGGCACCCATGGATCCAGCAATGATGTTACCCTCTGGTAAACCTACAAAAAACTATGGACAATCACCATGTTGAATGGGACAATTCACTATAAATAAATGGTGATTTTCCAGTTCGTAAACTGTAAACGTTTACCAGAAGGTAGATCCGTTTTTTTTTGGGAAAAACGAAGCGATATTTTTTTTGACGATACATCTTGTGGCGCAACCAATTCGAATGTGGGCAGGTCACAAGATGTCACAGTTCACCAGGTTACTTCTGGTGATTACCCTCTGGTAAACGTTTAAATAACTGTGGAAAGATCCACTATTTTTCATGGGTAAATCCACTATTTCAATGGTATCCTCTGCTAAATCTAAAAAGAACTATGGACAATCACTATTTTTAATGGGTAAATCCACTATTTTAATGGTGATTTTCAATAGCTATATATGTTAGTTTACCAGGCCGGGTACATTGTCCAATTTATCCGCGACTTCTAAGGTGCAGAGACGTATTGCGAGGAATGCATCATGAATTTGTGTGAAAGCTGTACCAAACAGCGCCTTGGACCAGCTGAAAGCACCAGCATCTGGCGTTTTCTGAACGGCGGAGATGGGAAAGTTGGTTTTCCGTTCCCTTCTTGGACCCTGAAAGGGTGCATAAATATGTCAGATCGTGACCATAAAGCTTGTTTTAAGATTATGTTAGATGCTTAAAATCCTCTTCCAAAGCTTGAAAAAAGTTAAGATCATTCGCATTCATTTGTAATATCCCAATTCTGTTATCTTGTATTCTGTGATATACATGATATCTCCCTATATAGTCCATCACTCCTTCATATAAAAAACACCTCCCATTGTACCATGGTTTCTGGGGGCGTCTAATATGAATGGGGGAAGGGATTAATTACAGTTGGTTAGCCATACACAATCATATCACCATTCATCTCCTATGGCCATTTTGGCTCAAGCCATTTTGGCTCAAGTGGCGCAAACGCGCCGGCGCGCCCCCGGCCCGTTCATGGAACCGGCGATCCTCACCCTCCAGGGGGTCGAGGTCGCCGGTGCCACGGACGGCTCACACGTGAGCCTGTCCGTGGCAGCCTGGCTCCGGCTGGGAGGGCAGGTCGCCTTGGCGGCACCTGCCCCCCCGGGGCCCCGGCAGCCGCCCCGGCGGCGCCTCCACTCCCTGCCCGTCGCTCCCCTTCCCCCTCCCGCTCCCGCTCTCGGGGGAGTGGCTCTTCCTCCCAGGGGTCGCCCCCCCGTGCTCGCCTTTGCCCGCGCCGGGCGCCCCCTCCCGAGAGCTCGCCTTCGCCCTCCTCGCCCTCGGCTGCGGCGGAGTTCGAGGAGATCCCGGTGGAGCCCGAGCCTCCTCTTCCTCCACCGGCGCACCGCCCGCCGGCGCGCCCTGCGGCGCGTGGCCCCCCACCCGCGCCTCGCCTTCCCCAAGCACCCGGCCGTCGGCCCACGCGCCGTAGCCACCGTGCCGGGAGGGCCTTCCTCCTCGCAGGACCTCCAGCCCACCCGTCACTGCCTTCACGGCACCCGGGCCCATCCCAATCTCCGCCAACCCTTTTGCCCGGACGGGGCCTTCCCCGTTCCGCTGACCCGGTCGGCTCCGCCTGCGCCATCCGCTTTTCAAGGCAGCAGGCACCCCACGCCACCGCCCGGCGGCCGGCACTCCGCCACCCCCCGCCACCTCCTTCCCCGCCCCCACCTCTGCTGCGCGCCATCCTTTCAAGGCAGCGCGGCAACTCCCTTGCCCTTTGAGCAGCCGGACGCACCTTTCACTCCACCCACACCTCTCCCCACCGGAACCCCCGGAAAAAAAAAAGAAAGGAAAAAAAAAAAACAAAGGAAAACCGAGGTTCGCCACTGACCAAAACCCAAAAAAAAAATAACATACAGCAGACAGCAGACCGGGCGAGCCTGACGCCATAGCAGCCTGCGAGAGAGCGTTTGGCCGCTGCTCATGGCGGCGCCTCGGCCGCACTGTGATCGGGAGGAGGCACGGGCCGAAAATACACACAATGGTGACGGTGACGAAGTCGTTTTGGTTCAAGCGTTTCACCCTAGCACCACCACGGCAGCTGGGTCCACCCTCCCGGATGTCTCACCCGCCCCCGTCGTCCTCAGTGACGGCGAGGACGCGCCTCCCCCCACCGCTCCTACCGATGGCGCCCATGCCGCGCCCACATGTTGCACCTGCCTCGAGCCCTTACTCCCTTCCGGGGTGGGGCGCCGGGCGGTCGTGTATTGGCCCGGCTGCCGGCACGCCTACCACTTCGCCTGCCTCGCCAGATCCCGCGCGCAAGTGCACCCTCCACGATGTCCTCTGTGCCGTCATGCCTGGGACCCAGCGCTCGATGCCAGCTTGAGCAGCACTTGCCACGGGCTCCACTTCAACCCCTTCCAAGAATCCGAGCCCGAGCGCGCCACGCCGCCCCCTTCTCCCCGCCCCAGGGGCGCGGCCGCCTGGCGCCAGCGCGGCCCCCCAAGTGGCATTGTCCGGACGGATGCCAACTCCTGGCTGTACGTGCCCCTACTCCTCGCCGCGACAGGCGAGCTCCACGAGGATGCCGCCTTGGCCTGGCAACAAGCCACCGCCACCACACGGTGGTGGGAGCGCGCCCGGCAAGCGCTGACAGCCGCGCCCCCGGTCCCCCTCACCACCCTCCTGGAAGCCCTCCACGCCTGCCCAGCTGCTGGCGCGCTTTCCTCGCACCAGCGCCTTTCCCGACAGGCGGCCGCGCTCCCACCAGGTGCCCAAGCGCATCTGGGCTGGGCAGTTCGCCACCTCTGCGACCCCGACGCGTACGTCCCCGCCGCTGGCCAAGAAGTGCTTCTCCAACTCTATGGTGGCCTTCACCTTGCTGCCGACCTCGACCGGCACTCGGACACCTTCCGAGCGCGCCTGGACCCTCCGGCGCCCATCCAGCTCCCTGCCGATCCCGGCCCCGTGCATCCCGCGGTCGAGACTTCGGCGCCCAGAGAGCCGGCCATTGTCCGGGCTCTGGCCCAACAGGTGGCCCGTGCCCACCGGCCCCCGCCGCGCCGCGGCGGTCGCGGCCGCGGGCGTGGACGACACGCAGCCGCGGCGGACCCTGCTCCCGCAGAGCCTGCCGAGGTCCCAGACCCTCCGCCTCCCCCTCTTCCGCCCTTTCCAAACCCCGCAGCTCTGCTCCAACAAGCGCTCCGCAGCCTTGACGACCTCGACCTCGCCCACACCTTGCGGGTGCGGGTCTCGACGTTCCAAGGTGCGCCCCGGCGCTTGCAGGGAGTCCTTGCCTTTGCGCTCCGCTTGGGCCTCACCGAAATCTGCGACCACCCCGCCAACACGGACCCTGCCCAAGCACGTGGCTGGAAGCTCTTCCTCCTGGCCCCGCGGATGCTTTGCTACCGGTCCCGTCCCGGGGAGCGCGCCGAACCCAGCGACCTCGACCGCCGAGCCACTATGTTCCGGAACGGCCAGTGGCACCAGCTGCTCGGCGAAGCTGCCAGCAGCTTCCACCCCACAGCGCCGTCCTCGAGCGTCCCCTCTGCTGACGCGCGTGCTTCCCGTGCAGCCAGCCTGGCACATCAAGGGGAACTTTCCGCGGCTGCCCGGTCGCTAGTGGCCGAGCCCCTCGCGCCGCTCTCGTCCGCCACCCTGGCCGAGCTGCGCAACCCGTCCCGGCGCCCGCAAGTCCGGCATCGACCCCTCTCGGACGACGTTGCCTCTTTCCAGCCCGATGAGCTGCTCCACGTCGATGCCACCAGATTCCTGCAAAACCTCCGCCGGGCCTGCCGCGGGGCGGCCGCTGGTCCGTCTGGCTGCACCAATGAGCACCTGCGGGTCTTGCTCGAGTCTGAATCCGACTCCCGCCTCCTGTGCGACGCGGCCTCGCTCCTGGCCTCGGCGCGGGTGCCTCCCCTCATTATGGACGGCCTCCGAGTCGGCCGCCTTGTTGCCCTCCAGAAAGGCAACGGGCGTGTGCGCGGCCTCGTGATGAGCGACGTGTTCCGCCGGCTGGTCGGCCGGACCTTGGCGCAGCAATTCTCAGCCCAGTTCCAAGAGGCGTGCCACCCCTTTCAGTACGCCCTCAGCACCGAAGCCGGAGCAGAAGGCCTCGCACGCGCCGTCCGGGTCGCGACCGAGCTCGACCCCCGCGCTACCGTGCTGTCGGTCGACGGCGTCGGCGCTTTCGATCATGTCGGACGCCAGTCGATGCTCGGAAGCCTTCTCCGCTCCCCTGCGCTTCGACCCCTCCTCCCCTACGCCCGCCTCTTCTACGGCCAAGACAGCACCTACCTCTGGTGGGACTCTATTGGCGCCTGCCACTCCGTTCAGCAAGCCGAAGGGGGGGAGCAAGGCGACCCACTCATGCCTGCCTTGTTTGCGCTTGCCCAACACCCAGCGCTGCAAGAGACCGCGGCCACGATGCGGTCCGGGGAAGCGCTCTTTGCTTTCCTTGATGACATCTATGTCATTTCGTCGCCTGACCGCACCCACGCGCTCTATTCCACCTTGCGCGTTTCCCTCCGAGGCCACGCGTGCATCGAACTCAACCAAGGTAAGACCCGCATCTGGAATGCGGCTGGGGAAGAGCCGCGCCACCTCCCAGAGCTGCAGCCGGCTGACAGCAACGACCGGGTTTGGGTCGGCGACTGGACTCTGCCCCCTTCGGCGCAAGGCCTCCAGGTCCTGGGCACCCCCATTGGGAGCGCGCAATACGTGCAACATGCTCTTACCGAGGTCCGCACCAAACAAGACCTCCTTCTCCACCGCATCCCATGGGTAGAGAACCTGCAGGCCGCCTGGCTGTTGCTCCTTTTCTGCGCAGCCCCCCGGAGCAACTATCTCCTCCGCGTCCTCCCACCGGCGGACACTACAGACTTTGCAGCCGCCCACGACGCCGCGGTGGCACATTGCGTCAGCACCCTGGTGGCGGCAGGCGCGGCCCTTACGGACCTACAGCTACGCCGGGCCCAACTCCCATTGCGCTTGGGGGGGTGCGGCCTGCGCTCGGCCCACCGTTCGCGCCTCGCCGCGTATTGGGCCTCATGGGCCGACACCTTGCCCATCCTCCACTCGCGCCTTCCTCTTGTGGCGGACCGCCTTCTCCAGCTCCTCAACGGCGAGGCCCGCCCACAACCACCCAGCATCCTCGCCGCCTCCCAGGCAGCCCAGCTCCTCCGGAACAGCGGGGCGACTGTCCCACCCTGGGAATCTATCATCGGCGGCCGCCATTTCTCGCACGAAGACCGGACCCCGGGCGATTTCCTGCGGGGGTGGCGACGCGACATCAGTGCAGCCCAGGACTTGGACGAGCTCGCCGCGCTCCTATCTGACCTTTCCCCTCCGGAGCGCGCGCTTCTCCTCTCCCAGGCTGGCCCACACAGCGGCCGCGCAGTCACCACCCTTCCTACCAGCCCGGAATTCCAGCTCGGCAACCCGCATTTCCGCACCTTGCTGCAACGGCGGCTCCGAGCCCCCTTGAGCTGCGGTCCTTCCCGATGTCGGTGTGGCTTGACACTCGACCCTCACGGCGACCACCGTGCCGCATGCGCCACCACTGGCGTCCTCCGGGCACGAGCTGCGCCCATCGAACGCGCGGTCGCCCGCATCTGCCGCGAGGCCGGTGCCCGCGTCGCGGTCAACGTGCCGCTCTCGCGCATGAACCTCGCGGTCCCGGTCACCGACGCACGCCAGATTGAAGTCCTCGCAAACGACTTGCCGCTCTGGCACGGGGCTCAGCTGGCAGTCGACGTGACCCTCGTCAGCCCCCTTGGCCGCACCGGACAGGTGCGCCACGCTTCCGACGCGAACCCGGGCGCGGCGATCCTGGCAGCCTCCCAGCGCAAGCGGGAACACACCTACCCCGAGTTTTCCGGCTCGCGCCGCTGCCACCTAATCATCTTGGGTCTCGAAGTAGGAGGTCGTTGGGGCGAGGAAGCCGCCGACTTCCTCCGAGCCTTGGCGCACGCCCGCGCCCGCACTGCGCCAGCACTCCTCCGCTCGGCGGCAGTTCAGGCCTACGTGCACCGTTGGGCCGGCCTCCTATCCGTCGCGGCGCAGCGCGCCCTGGCCGAGACTCTCCTCGAACTCCCGGCCGCGGCCGCACCCGGCGTCGATGGGGAGCCCCCGCCGTTCGCCGCGACCCTGGCTGACGTCCGGTGGCATGAACGCCCACCGGATAGTCGCCTCCCGCGGTGACCGGTGTGGCTGTACATAGCCTTCCCCAATGGCAAAGTCCATTGGCGCGTGAGACGCAGAGTGGGTCATGCAGCAGGAGTGTTAGTGAGTTAAAAAAAAATCATTATTTTTGATGGTGAGACCCTACGAAATCCCAAAATTTACATCCTATGAAATTCCCATGGAAATCACTATTTTTTCACTGTTAACATATGTTAAAATCACCTTTTCCATAAAATCTCCACCTTTTTCAATGGCTGTATGGAAACTTTGAATATCAGCCATTGAAAATATCCACCATTTTTTCATAAAATATTCACCTTTTGAAAATATCCACCTTCTATTCCTCCGCATTTTTTTTTTCGGTTCCCCGTTCAGAAGACGACAAAAACCATCGCTCAGCCGCTAGGCACCGGCGCCGCCGAGCGAGTGCCAGTCATATCTTGGTGAAGTTGCTGGGTCAAGGTCCACAGGGTGAGGCACCGATGCCGGGAGCATTGATGAGGTACCCATTAAACATGGTGATTTTCTATAGTAAGTTATGTTAAATGACCAGAGGGTATATATATATATATACCGTTAAAAACAAAGTTAGAATGCGGTTTTGGCTTCGCGTGATGGTGGCCCGTTTGGCCCCCCCCCCCACGGCAGTCGCATTCTAACTGGGGAAACACCTGTAAATATGCAGAAACACAGTTAGAATGCGGCGCCAAAATTGGTAAGAAAATGTAAGTTTTGACTGGTATTTTACAGGCGAAATACAGTTAGAATGCCTCCTCCTTTTCTTCTATATTGTTCCTTGCCCTTCCTTTTCTTATGTCTTTTTCATTGATCTATATCTGCTGTAGTTTCCGGGGGGCATTTTATCTGTTGTTTTTCTACTGTAGCCACATTTCTGACCCGCAGGGAACCTGGAGTGCCCTTGTCTCTTTTCCGATCTTATCCGCTTCCCTTTCCTTGTCCTTTTGTTTCTATAATGTTCCTTTCCCTTCCTTTTCTTCTATGTCTGTATTCATTGATCTATACGTGCTGTAGTTTCCGTAGGCATTCTATCTGTTGTTTTCCCTGCTGTAGCCATATGTTTCTGACCCGCAGGGAACCTGGAGTGCCCTTGTCTCTTTTCCGATCTTATCCTCTTCCCTTTTCTCCTCCTTTTCTTCTATATTGTTCCTTACCCTTCCCTTTCTTCTATGCCTTTTTCATTGACCCATATCTGCTGTAGTTTCCGGGGAGGCATTCTATCTATTGTTTTCGCCAACTGGTGAAATGCTTGTAAAAAACAATTTCAAGGGGAAAGCATTCTAACCGCTGAAAAGCTGGTAAAAAGCCATTTCAAGGGGGAAGCATTCTAACGTATGAAATGCTGGTAAAAAAAACCTTTTCAAGGGGGGAAGCATGCTAACTGCTGAAATGCTTGTGTAAAAGCAACTTCAAGGGGGAAGCATTCTAATTGCTGAAATGCTGGTAAAAAACCATTTCAAGGGAGAAACATTCTAACTGCTGAAATGCTTGTGTAAAAGCAACTTCAAGGGGGAAGCATTCTAACCGATGAAATGCTGGTAAAAAGCCATTTCAAGGGGGAAACATTCTAACTGCTGAAATGCTGGCAAAGCAATTTCAAGGGGGAAGCGTTCTAATTGCTGAAATGCTGGTAGAAAGCAATTTCAAGGGGGAAGCGTTCTAACTGCATTCTAACATCGGATGATATTCATAGTGCGAAGGCATTCTAAGTGAGGGATTTGTGCAAAGGGTTCTCCAAAAACAAAAAAACTTAAAACCCGGGTGGGGAGGCATTCTAACTGAAGGATTTTTTGCCGTGCGCGGGCCGCATTCTAACTGAGGGGGAGGAATATTTGGAATTCGCGGAGGCATCCTAACTTTCATTTTAACGGTATATATATAAATAACTATATATATATAAATAACTATATATATATATATGTATGGATATGATCATGGGATTATCATATACCCTCTGGTAAACGTTTACAAAAAACTATGGAAAGATCCACCATTTTTCATGGGAATTTCACTATTTCTATGGCCATTTTCAATAGCAAAGTGTTAGTTTACCAGAGGGTAAACGCAAGACTGGACACATGATGGCTGCGCCCTGGAATCTGGAAATGATGGTGTGAGATATTGGATAATGGGATAGTTGTGATAAATATGGGGGTGATACCTGGCTGAATTATGGTTCAAATTGTGGTTTAAACACAGAACCAATATAGTTAATACTTTAATGGGGTAAACCCAATTTACCATCCACAAAGTGGGATCTCTTTTATGGGGAAAAAATGGGATAGAATGGGGATAGACTGGCTGAATTATATATATATAATATAATTTGATCATGGTTTGGTAAGCAAAATCCAATGATTTTTTTTTTTTGGCGTCGTCAAGTTACAGCACCAGAGTCAACCCCCAAAATTGTCAAAGGGATGCTCTTTAGCACTCCATGTAGAGGAAGCCTTCCATCGTAGAGGACATGAACATTTTCACCAGCAGTTTCTTTTCAATGGCCATTATAAGGCCTAAACTCTGGTAAACATACAAAAAGCTATGGAAAATGACCGTTTATTTTGTTGATTTACCCATTAAACATGGTGATTTTCTATAGTAAGTTATGTTAAATTACCAGAGGGTATATAAGGGAATATCCCTACAACATATGCCCAAAAATATGGTACGTATACTAACGTAGCTCCATTTTAGGATCCTGAAACTCCAATTGGATCTTTTTTGACATGAATTAATCTTACCCTCTGGTAAACGTTTACATAACTATGGACAATCACCATTTTTAATGGGTAAATCCACTATTTCTATGGCCATTTTCAATAGCAAACTGTTAGTTTACCAGAGGGTAATCTTATCTTTGTGTATTTGGTTTTGGTTTTTGCAACTAGGGATGTTTTTCGGGAAGATGGATGGGAAATGGATGGGAACTGGATTCGGAAATGTCCTGCGAATTCGGCAGCCATGGCAGCATAAGAATTGCCTGCCTGGACCATGGCTCGCTTTGGAAAATCACGTGATTTTCCAATCGAAAAATCATCCTGGGTAAAATTTGATCACGACCTCACTGTTCTCCCGAGCCCTGGAAATCATGGTTAGTAAGGGAAATGATCCCCAAATATGGCCCAACTATTCAGGTTAGTGAAATATTATAATTTACCCAGAATCTATGGATCATTGTGGATCATTATGGATCATTTTCCATATAGCAAAGGCTGAAAAATCGGCAGAGGGTCGAGTTTTTTTTCCCCAGAGGATGACAGATTTTTTCCGACGACCCCGGGTCATCGCAGGTGTTAAACATCCACCGAGCACAGTACTGCGCCATCCATCGAACCAGCCGATATGAACTCTACTGTCCCTTGGCGATTTTTTGGTTTCTGGAGCCAATGGAAATCACTTGAAGATGGAAAATCACTTGGTTTTACTGGAATGGTAAAGATGGTGTTCAGATATGATTCGTGTACCTCTAATATGGTCCAGTGAAATCGGATGTTTTAAACGGTCTCTTTTGGGGGATCGCCGGAAAATTCCCATGAAACATGGAGGTTTGGGACTTTAAATGGTTGGGGTTGTCCAGCCATGATAGCCATGGAGACGAACAGAACGGAAGGAACTCCGAGCCTTTGGGATGGACTGGAATCTTGGAGGAATCTTGGACGAAGTTCTTCCGTGCCATGAAGTTGGATTGGATTAAGCCAGCAGTTTTGTGGGGGGATCCTCATCAATTTTGTACCCTCTGGTTATTTAACATAGCTATGGTATAGATGGCCCATTTATAGATGATTTTCCCAGCTAGAAACCTCCATTTATTTTTGGGATTTTCCAGTTTGCTATGTTAGTCATAACCAGATGGTCAGAGTTTTTCCCCCTTGATGTTTGGATCTCCCATGATGGGATGGATGATCATAATTTACCATGTCTGACCATGGGCAACAATTTGGTGTTTTGAAATCGTGGGGGATTTCGCGGCCAGATCTTTCTTGAAAAGTTTTGCCTAGATCAAGATCGAGGGATGGATCATGATTTTTTGACTCAGGATTTCATCATATTTCATCCTCTATTTTTCTTGATGATGATTTTTTGAGGTTCCAGAATGAGGATTCAATGAGGATTTTTCAGGAGGATTTTTCAGGAGGAAACCACAATTTTTTGGTGCTTTCCAATGTGTGACTCGCAGAAATTCTTGTAATCCTCATGTTACACTTCTGGGATGAACATCCCAAGAACAATGGATTGGTTTTGTTGGGAAAATAAAATCACCGGAAACCATGGTTTTTACCATGAAAATCATGGATAAATCATGGGGTTTTCATGGGTTTTCTGGTTTCGATTTTCCCAACAAAACCAATCCATTGACAATACCCTCTGGTAAACGTTTACATAACTATGGACAATCACCATTTTCAATGGGAAAACTCACTATAAATGGCAATTTTCCATAGCAAACTGTTAGTTTACCAGAGAGTAACATCACTTGCGATTTATTCTTGGGGGTGGATCCTGAGGCGAAGATTGCGAGCGGCTGATCTGCAATGAATGTGCCAGTGGCTCGGAGTGTCTGGCTGCTGCTCTGTGCTTGGGTAGTTGGAGGATCATCGTAGGAATCTATCGATGTTTATATATATATATTGTGGGGCCCCCAAGATAGCGTTCAGTGGGTGAACATAACTCCAATAACTATGGTTTATGGTACTTATAACTATAGTTAATGGGGTTTGGAAAATCACGTGATTTTCCAATCGAAAAATCATTCTGGGTAAATTATAACGACCTCACTGTTCTCCCTCACTGGAAATCATAGTTAGGAAGGGGAATCATCCCCAAATGGCCGCAAGATTCAGGTTAGTGAAATATTATAATTTACCCAGATGTATGGATATGATCATGGGATTATCATATACCCTCTGGTAAACGTTTACAAAAAAACGATGGAACATCTCCATGCTATTTTCATGGCCAAATCCACGAACTAAATGGCCATATGTTCAAGTTCGCAAACTGTAAATCATAGAATTGGATGATGGGAAAATTTACAGGAAACCCCTATATTTGATGGTAAAAACCATGGTTTCCGGTTAAGATTTTCCCCAACAAACCAATCCATTGAGTAAACGTTTACCAGAGGGTATCATGAGATTATAACGGTTAAACATCAACTCTCCGTTGGGGATCATTGGATCATTTTTTCTGATCGCGACTGCTTGGGATCAGCTGGATTTTCGTCAAGTTCCACGAGTAGATCCCTGCCGAAAAATCATCGCAGGAAACGACCATCAGCACCATGCGTCGCTTGGAGGGTCAATGGACTGGTTTTCTTGGGAAAAAATGGCGGGAAAACCTAGGAAAAACGTGGAAAATGATGGGTATAGCTGGGAAATTCATCTAAATCAATGGATCTCCAGGATCCTAAAATGGAGGTACTTAACTGGTTGGTGGTTTGGAACATGAATTTTATTTTCCATTTCATATATGGGATGTCATCCTTCCCAATTGACGAACTCATATTTTTCAATATGCTTAAAATCACCAAGCAGATATTCTATATCCCCACTGGATAACAATGGGATGAACTATTGGGTTATGTTATAGTTATATATATAGTTATATATATATAGTTATATCGATGATAAAGATGTATAAACCACAGAAACTGAGTGTTATATATCACATCATCACATCCTATATCACCATCAAATATAGTTATAGTTAAATTGGGTTAAGTACCATAAATGGCCATTGATGATAGCCATGATGTGGAAAGGCCCCTGGAAATCCACCTGCTTTCCACGGTTTTTCTCCATGATGACGTGACTAGGTCATCCCCAGTGGTAAAAATCCATGGTGGTGGACGGCCGTAGCTGCGATGCCGCTTCAATACCTTGGACACCTGGAGATATTTTCGGTCATTTTCATCTACAAGTGGAGGTTTCTAGCTGGGAAAACCATCTATAAATCGGCTATTTTCCATGGCAATGTTAAATAACCAGATGGTATTGATACCCCTCTGGTTATGACTGTTACAGTTCGCCATGGAAAATAGCCATGGCCAATAGATTTATAGATGGTTTACCGGTTTACCGAACTTAAACATGGTGGATCTTTCCATGGCTATGTTAGTCATAACCAGATGGTATAACTATCTATTAACATTCTACAACTACCATCCTGGTGGCACACCTTTCGTCATGCTTTTTTTGGGGGTTGCTTTTGTCGTAAAAGGATGAAGAACTTGCCGAGGTACAAATTGCCATCCGCCACGTTGATTGAGACCTTTGGCTGCTACGTTCACTGTGTTGCTCAGGAAATTCATGATTTCCATGCTCGGTGGAACGACTTGAACGAACTGCTGGACTTTTGTTTGCTGGTAAACTATGGAAGTCTCCTGCAGATAGTGGGAATGACACTATTTTCCTTTGAATATAACTATACAGTGTTCCCCGACAGGATCGACCGATCGGGTTTCCAGGATGTTAGTTTGATGATAGGGATCATCACAATGTGCCACTGTAATTAGTCTTTTTTTGGGGGTAGGGGTGCAGTTTTCCTTATTTGAATATGCATGTGTGTATATATATATGTGTGTACACACGTAATTACACACACAGAACGGAAAACATCAACGGAAACATCATGGGGGCCTACGTATGACATGTCAAGGTTCGACGTTTTTCCGGTATATGGAGGTTTCCTAAATGGTACCCCAAGATGGATGTTTTGTTAATTGGAAAATCTTATGAACATGGATGATTTTGGGGTACCCCCATACGAGAACACCTCCATAGAATCCATATCATAATCCAAACTCATCCATACATATCCATAGATACCCTCTGGTAAACTAACAGTTTGCTATTGAAAATGACCATTTATAGTGGATTTTCCCATGAAAAATTGTGATTTTCCATAGTTTTTTGTTAACGTTTACCAGAGGGTATTCATGATGCTCAGATCCGCGAACTCAGTTCGCTCGCCTTTCTTTCGCCTCAGGAAGCATCGGCAACGCGTCAAGGATATTATTGAGGCCTTGTGCAACAAGCTTCTGGACGACCAAGCTTTGTTGAAACTGCTGGGCCAGAGCCGCTTGGTTCACAAGCCGAAGAACTGGCTGTAGAACATCAACAAACAACTGGTTGGTGGTTTAGGTTTGGAACATTTGGATTATGACTTTCCATATGTTGGGAATTTCACAATCCCAACTGTTACTCACTCCATCATTTTTCAGAGGGGTAGGTGGCTCAACCACCAACCAGAACATCCTTTTGTAATTACCCTCTGGTAAACCTACAAAAATCTATGGAAAATCACCATTTTCAATGGGTAAATCCATGAACTAAATCACCAGGTCCTCATTTACCAATGGCATTTGTGGCGAAAAATGAGGTCTCGACTCCTCTGAGATGGCGTGTATGCAGGCAGCGGCTATTTTTGGGATAGGTGTGGCATTTTCTTTACAACTTTCAAAATGGAGGTTTCCATTTTGAACCATCCATTTTTTTTTGGGAAAAAAGTTGGGTACCTCCAATATCCGACCATTTTAGGAAACCCCCATTGAACTCAAGATCATTGAGCTAGTTGAAAGTTCCAGCCCGACTTTTCTTGTTGCCTGAGGCCACTTTCATTCATTTTTTTTCCACCTTCCATTCCTTTATAAAGGTTTTACTGTGTTCACACGGCTCCTAATCGAAAAATTGCCCAGTTGGGGTCCTTTCAAACTGGTAACTGGTTGGCTGGTCAAACATTAAATTTTGTGGTTCTCTTCAAAGCCACCACACGGTGGGAAACTCACCCCAAATTTGATGCCCTAAGGGGCTTACAGCACGAAAAACATGTGGCTTGCAGCACGAAAAACATGTCCTCCAGATTTTTGCCCAACTCTTCAGATAAATTTCTATGGTGGGTGGGGAAACCCCAAAGTTATGCCCAAAAAAAACGACTTTAAGACCATGACTTAGTATTAAAACATATTGACACCCATGGTGACTTGGAGGATTTTCCCATTTGGAAGCATCCTCCATGGCCGAAACCCGGCCAGGCGCGGTCCAACATCACGGCGGCCTTCGACGAGTTGAAGTTGGCGGCAGAGCAACGCTGTGCCGAGTTGCTGGAGCAGTTGCAGGAGCAGAGTGCCTGGGATCATCCCTTGTATATTAGTATTATATAATATAGTTAGGATGGTCAGGTTAGTGATATATCATTTTTTTTGCCTAGAAATATCACTTGAGGTTCGTGAAGTATTGATTGATAGTTGGGTCATTTCAATTCCTTTCACCCATCATTCAAAGTCTCTATGATAGTTAATGATGGTTACTGATGGCGAATAATCTGGGAAGGGTCAACCTTCACGACCTCGCGGAACCGACCCCTTGTTTCAAGGTCAGTGAATGATCATTGACCCGTAAGAATATCACTAGTTATATTATGATGTAGGAAATCATTTGGTATATATATATAACTATACATCTACATGTTAGAGAATATGCATGACATAAGCTAATCTAGATTATTAGTGGGAATAAGAATGATGTATAGATATGTAGTAAGTAAGATATCAATAATTGCGGATTTGTATTCCCACAAATAAATGCATACTGAGTATAACAGCGGCAATATAAATGGAATAATCTTAGTATAGATATTACCCCCCATCAAGTAATAGGTATTCGTGGAAGAATATTGGTGGGAATATGCTGGTATAGTGGTATATACCCCCTGGTAATTTAACAGTTTGCTATTGAAAATGACCATTTATAGTGGATTTTCCCATGAAACATGGTGATTTTCCATAGTTATGTAAACGTTTACCAGAGGGTAATGGGATATGATTTGCAAAAATCCATGAGAAAACGACCTCACGTCGGGAGCGCCTGGAGTTTCTTGGGACTTGGGGGGAACTGACCCAGAGAGTTGATCGATTCCATGGATTCCATAGATCCCATAGAGTTCATCGATTTGCACCTGGTGATGGCTTTCAGTTCGCACAGTGAACCACCAATTTATGGTGAAGAATAGGATTAACCATAGGATTAACCATAGGATTCACCATAGGATTCACCATACATGGTGATTATTGAGGCTATGGTTTGATTTTTATGGTTAATTACTCTATGGTTTGAGTAATCATGGAGCTCTGCAGCCAGCTCTCGATCATTCCACCTGGATTTGTGGATTCGCAGAGGGTGGGCCCAGGGACAGCCTGGGCATATTCTGCTCTCAAGATGGGTTGAAACATGGGTTTTACCATGGCAAAAGAAGTAGCAATCATTGCGAAGACCAAGAAATACTCTAGTGTGGTCAAGCCTTTATCATCATGGGGGTTAGTTGATTAGTTTGTGGGATGTAACATCCACATAATGGGATATTCGTGCTATTGCAATAGGATATATATCATGGTGATATAATGTGGTAAAATCCCATGAGAAACCACTCGCCATCCATGATTGTTTATTTATTATTGGCTATACCCGGCTATACCCCCCATCCATGACCTACTGGTTGGTTCCCAGAGTTCCCAGTGACTTCACAAAAAGGGAAAAAGCAGATGGGGCTTGAAGTATTGGATTGGACAGGGGCTTAGAATGGTTTGTTGAGTCTGGTAAACCTACCAAAAACGAACTGGAAAATCACCATGCTATTATATAATGGGTAAATCAACGAACTAAATGGCAATTTTCAATAGCAAACTGTTAGTTTACCAGAGGGTAGAGTCTTTCAGACCAAAAGAAGTTGAGAGGGAGAAAGAAATTTGCTCAGATCTTCGAATTATCTGCTGACCGTCCCACATCTATCAGGGAATCTTCAGCCAAAAAAACATGCAGAGTTCCTTGGGGCCATGGCCATCCTGAATCCATAAACAAGCAGATGCTGTAGGAACCTACTGTACCCCAGCCACCAAAACTCCAAGAAACTAGCTTAAAAATAAGAAGATCGAACCTCACATTGCTACGAAACTCGAGGCACTGAAACAACCTATCACCAGTTTGGTGAGGCATGGGAATTCATCCCAGTCATCCCAGTCATCCCAGTCATCCCATGGGAGATGCTGGGAGATGGCGACCGCAGGTCGGGAGCCAATGAGTGCCTTGATCAAAGAGAAAGAGATCTGTTCCACCTCTTTAGTGGACATTTGGTGCGTCATCGATTTCATGGAGAAGGCTGGGTCGGATCGGGAAGACCTACCCTCTGGTAATTTAACAGTTTGCTATTGAAAATGACCATTTATAGTGGATTTTCCCATGAAAAATGGTGATTTTCCATAGTTATGTTAGTTTACCAGAGGGTATTTTTACCAAAAGGACATTATTGGTGAAATTCCCGTGAGAAGATGACTCAGCGTGGTTGTAGCATTAGAAAGCAGGGTATGGAACAAGTATGAACATCGCTGCATCGTTTGGGATGGGACTGGGCAACATGCCAAATTTGGGTGCACACATGTGCACACCCAATTTCAAGGCACACCCAATTATCATATTTAAGTATATTTAAGTTGGTTGTCTATCCCAATTAGTCAACATCCCAGTTATATCACATTATCTGGTTGGTGGTTTGGAACATTTTTTTTATATTGTTCCATATGTTCGGAATAGTAACCCCAACTGACTTTCATATTTTTCAGATGGGTTCATATTTTTCAGATGGGTGGCCCAACCACCAACCAGTTATAGACAATATGATAGATCAATTATCAATTATAATTAGTTAACCAATATGATAGATCAACTATCAAATAGTTAAGTTGGTTGTATCACATTATATAATATATATATATAATGTATATTCATGTTTTATGAATCATTATTAATAATCTAGTGGAATCTATTTGTAATCAATATATTGTACTAAATTATATCATATTATACATCATTAGATTCATGTCCTTATGCAATGATGTCCCCCATGGTATCCCAATTTCCAGCTTCGCGGATCGATTCCGCGGATGTCAGGTGAACCAGCACCTCAGATGCAGTGACTACCAGCGGTGCAGAGGTTTGGGCCAGCATTTTCCCCGGAGCTATACCTTGGAGCTACGACTTTCCCAAGCAGATATATCTGGGTAAATTTGATCACGACCTCACGTCGCGACCGAGCCCTGGAAATCATGGTTAGTAAGGGAAATTATCCCCAAATGGCCCAACTATTCAGGTTAGTGAAATATTATAATTTACCCAGATATATGTAATGTCAACCCCGGATGAGACTAAACCATGGTTTATGAATTAGGGGGGTACTCCTCCAATAGTCATTTCATCTGATACTTTTTTTTAATGGTACCCTCCCAATTAAACAGCCGTAAACGGGGTTTATTAATCCAGGGTTGACATCAATAACCAGAGGATAGATGTACCCACGGAGAATTTCAGGAGATTTTCCTAGCTGGAAGCCACTAGCCATTTAGTGCATCCTCCCCACCATTTTGGCTATTTTCCGGTTCGCAAATTGCAACAAAGTACCAGAGGGTAAGTATCAAGCATATCCAGTTACATCCCGAAGAATATTCCATTATATCCTCTAAATCACCATTCATATATTCTACATCATCAGCATGTATCATGTCCGCAAGATATACCAGAATATGCAATGATCATATCCATTATGCTCAATTGACAAAGCGATGGGAATTGCAGGACATAAAGCCAGATATTGGGGACATATCCCCTTCCGCAGCCCTTATATAGGCCTTATTATAGATGGGTCACTGAAATGGCCATCGACTCAATCATTTTCACTCAATCCCACTCTGTTCAATAGAGGTTTTCCACTTAGTGAACTATTGTAAGCTATCATAATCTATCCAGATTACAGCTCTAATCATCCTTCAAAGTAAAAGATAGTAAAAGTTAATCTGAAACAAACTTGCCCACTATAACTATCTATAACTACCATATAGTATATATTCCACAACGTGCCCAACTATAATATATTCCCACTATTCCAATAGTTATAGATATTCAAACTACCAGATATTCCAATATTTTAATTTACTACTATATGGGCCATATTCCACTATAACTCAGATATTTATACCATTATTACTATACACTATAGTATAACACTACTATAGGAAAGTGCAACATCATATTTCCATTCATATGCCACTATAACTAATATATTTCCATTCATATCCACCATTCATATCTGAGATATAAAAAAAAACCTATTATTACCAAAAACACTACTACTATGTCTGGTTATATAACTACGATTAAGGTTTTCTATAACCATCTATAACTCTAATATAATTTTTATACATCAGATATGACCATTCATCTATAACCATCTATAACCATCTATAATTTATGTAATAACCATCTACAACCATCTATAACCATCTATAACCATCTATAGCCATCTATAACCATCTATAGCCATGTATAATATTTGAGTTTTCCATTCATCTTATCCACGTGCCGTGCTGTGCCTAGGCATGGCACGGATGTGGAGGTCCTCATGGCACGCGGGCACCGAACCTTCCGGGACCCCATTGGGTCGCAGAAGTTCCAGGACTTTTTTCGGGGGAAAACGCCGGAGGTTTTTTCGGGCAGTTTTTTAATGGTTTTATATGGAAAATATATGGAAATCTGGCTGGAAATAGATGTTTTATTCTGGAAAAAACCATGGAACTATATATATGGACAATATATAGAATATATTGAAGTTTAGAAGTTTAGACGATTTTTTCCAATGGAACATATGGAAACATATAAAACTGCTTGGATTTGATGTTCGATCGTTCTATACTTAGAACATCGCAAGTAACATTTTATAACATCGTATGACATCTTATTTTACAATCTCGCAACTTAGTAAGTTGTGAAAATCATACTGTAGCTACTTGGATCATCCAACAAAGAGTATGTAACTGGTTAGCATCACCTTTGTCGATCCATTTCGATGCCATAAACCGGTCCCATCTGGGACGAAACTGCCCATTTTTAGGGGTTTGGGTCCATTGGGTCCCTTCGTGTCGTGGTCCCCACACGAACTGTAGGGCCAATGGGAGATCTCCAGGATCCGATTGATGGAGGTACGAAAGTACCATATTTTTGGCCATATGAATTGCGGGTATATCCCCTGAAATTTCCATAGGCCTGAAAAATAGGCCTTATGGTAGGTACCTCCAATAAATCGGTTCCTGAGTCATGGCCATTGATAGGGTGATGGGATAGTACCATTTTTTTGGGGGGGTAGATCCCATGGCAATTTTTTGTGGGCAAATCTCGATGACATAGCCAAGAGAAATCGGAGCTGACCTCGGACCTGAACAGGAATGGAAGGACTTGTGTCAGGCGCCAGCAGCAAATTTCCAGAGGAGCTTTGTCACTTGGGCAGTTTTTCGGGTAGGCTTTTGGAGGTTTTTGGGGGATAAACCTCCCATATTTGGTGGAAAACCAACCTATGGGGAAAGCTATGGGAACATGATCTGGAAATGTGAATTTTGGGGTTGCCCGGTTACCATCCCAAAATAAAATATAGTAATGCCTAATGAAGTATCATGAAGTAGAAAAAATGGCACCACACTGTTGACAAACTTGGAGTTTACAAAGAATCCTTGATTAACAATGATTAACATTTTAGCGCCTTACTGATGCCCATTTAAATGAGTTTGAAAGTCAATGGCGTGGGCCAGTGGATGTGATTTTTTCGGATATGGCAGGTCACCGGCAGGTCACCCTCGCACATCCATTATCGGAATCTTTCTTGCCCTACTCTCCACACATTCAAAAAATCATCTGGGGTAACTGGGGTCCTCAAGATTCCCCAAACGAAACTCACAGGTGACCGACGCCATGGCTTGTTGTGCACGGGTTTCTGCCCCAAACTCCAATTCACATTGTCCCAATTTGCAATTTTTGGGGCCTTTCTGGAGAAGATCATATGGTTTGGCTTGTCTGAGTGTATCCCGAAATCTGCTGGTTAATTATCATGTTCCCCATTAAATGACTGGTTGGTGGTTTGGAACATTTGGATTATTTTTCCACATATTGGGAATAATATGGAATAATGATCCCAACTGACTTTCATATTTTTCAGAGGGGTAGGTCAACCACCAACCAGTCTGGTTAATTATTATCTTGCCCATTTAAAATGACCATATTTTATGGGGTTTTTGCTCCATTCTCAGATCCACACCCTGCCGATTTTCCTTCCAGGCTCCCCAAACCCAGGTGGCCCTTCCGGACCATGACGCCGACAGCATGCTGCGCTCTTTGGCCTCCTTCGGCTCTTTGAAGTTGAACCCGCGCCTTGGGCGAAATGTAGGGAAAATCTGCGCAGATCAATGAGGGGAAGCCCCGAAAAAACACCGCCGAAAAACCGACCAAAAAAGGATGGCCATAATGGCCACATTCATCAATCTTTAGCATATTTTAAGCATATTTTAGCCACATTAAGCCACCTTAAGTGCCCCGAAAGCTGGATGATTTGCCCAACTCTTTGTAGATCCATTGGGCCAGGTGATCCCGGTGATCCCCGGTCCGAATTCACCGAGGTTGGCTTGGGAGACGAGTGCATTCAGCAATGGGCCCTTGAAGCTCATTGCAGGGCACCTTGGGAGCAGTTAGAGCACTTAGGTGATTTCCAATGGCCTGCCATGAAGTGCCATGAAGTACCTTCTGGTGATTTAACATAGCCATGGAAAATCACCATTTTTAATAGGTAAACCCAGGTAAACCATCTATAAATGGGCCATTTTCCATGGCTATGTTAAATAACCAGAGGGTACCTAAGTTCTCCGTGATTTTGAGGCTCCAATGGCAGGTCAGAGCCACCATCTAGAGGCTGTTGTTGTTAGCCGGTTAGCCTCTGGTTAACCTACAATTTGCGAACTGGAAAACCACCATCTAACTAATAGGGAAGATTCAAGGAACTAAATGGACCAATTTTAATAGCTATGTTAAAATAGCCATTGAAATAGTGGATTTACCCATGAATAGCATGGTGGTTTTCCATAGTTTTTGGTTAACGTTTACCAGAGGGTAGTGACACCTCTTGTCAATGACCATTTCAGGAACCTAAATTGGAGGTACCTACCATATATAAGGCCTATATAAGGCCTATGTAATGGAATATCCCTACAAAATAAGGCTGAAATTCCCATTGATCTTGTTTGGTGCAGAGCTGTTGAAAAAATCCCAGCTGTTGGGTTTCCCAGGCAGACCTGGGCAGACGTCTTGGAGGACTCCGAAGAGCTCCAGCAGCTCCAATCTCCGATTCGGACGCCGGAGGAGTGCACGGTTGGCTCAAGATCTTCAGGTGTTGCAAGGCGTGTTCTGTTGCAAGGCGTTGCTGGAATGAAAAAAAATCCACCTGGTAGATGATGTAGTTTTTTTTTTTTTTAAATCAATTTTTGAAGTGCTCAAAATGCTCAAGCTCACAGGATTTGATAGGATCTAAGAGCATCTAACACAGCGAAGCTCCAAAACGGGGCCCAACAAAAAGATCCTGTGAGACCGGCGGCACAGGAGCATTCGGAATCCGCTGGGTCCGAGGCCGGCAGGTCTAGCAGGACTAGCAGGACTAGCAGGACTAGCAGGACCCCAGTTGTCCTGAATTCTAATGTTTCCAATCCTCTTTGCATCTACATCTTTTGGTGCTTATAGACCTTATATGATCTTATAGTTCAGAGATGTTCATAGCAATTCAATATAATTCAATGCAATTCATCATGCAAGTTACCATCTGGTTATGACCAACAGTTTGCCATGGAAAATCACCATGTTTAAGAACGGTAAACCTCTATTTCTATGGGCCATCTATACCATGGCTATGTAACAGTCATAACCATTTTGGGTAGGTTTTTGATGGTTTTTGCACAAGTTAAATTCCAGTTTCTTGCTGGTCTGCCCAAGTTGTTTTACCTCGGAAATCATCAATGGCCTATTTTCATTGATTTTCCATGGCTATGTCAAGATTGCAAGAGGGGAAACCTATAAAATCCTCAAAAAAGAAACCTATAAATATCATATACAACCCTATAAATTCCCATAAATTTTTGTAAATACCTATAAGTATCCCATAAATATCTATAACATCCTCTAAACGGATCATTTTCCATGGCCCTTTGGCCGGTTTTGCCCCTTGATTCATTCGCCAGGTGCCCGGTCGGCGTGTCCGACTAGGCCGGCGCCTGCGGCGCCTGCGGCCAGCAACGAACCTGCGACTCGGCGGCCGGGAATCTGTAGGGAATGTGTCTGGGTAAATGGTTTACCCTCTGGTTATTTAACATAGCCATGGAAAATAGCCCATTTATAGATGATTTCCAATTAAAACCTCCATTTATTTTTGGGATTTTCCATGGCTATGTTAAATAACCAGATGGTATATCCATGAAACATGGGTTAATATTGGTTATAATGGTTGTTAAAATTACCCAGATGGTTATAATTTATATCCATTGTTTCGGGGTAAAGCATTGAAAAAACCATTGGTAAACCAGATGGGTAAATAATGGTTTATATCCATTTAAACTGTAACCATTGGTATCCATTGGTTATAATGGTTGTTAAATTTACTGTACCCAGATGATAATGTGCTTTATCCCATGGTGGATCCGAAAATGTGCTTTACTCACATTGCTATCCTATGGGATACTACTCCAATTATGGATATGTATGGTAAAATGGGGAGGATGGTGGATCGTATATGGGTCGGGAATCTGTAGATGGGCCATAGGAAAAACGCGATTCCTGGTTAGTAACTGGGGTGAAAACACCCCCAACAAATCCCAATGATAATCCATTTACTAACTATAGTTAACTAACTCCATGATGGCCATGGCCCATCTAAGTAGGGCATGTTTCTGGGTAAATTTGATCACGACCTCACGTCGCGACCGAAGCCTGGAATGCAATGATGGTTAGGATTGGGGAAACAATAGCGAAGTTTTGAAAACCCACTACTTGGGGAATCTGTAGTTTTTTTTTTGAGGTTCCTTTAGCAGACCCAAGTTAAGTGTATACTGTAGATTCATAGATATAATCCTCATAAACCTAAACACTCTTGGAGTTATTTGCCCTAACTTTGCCATGGGTTTTTGCCCTGTTCGAGGATGATTTGGCTCCCAAAAAAGCGGCCCCAACCTGGCCATTTCGAAGAGGATTTTCGTGGTCTCAAAAGAGACACATAGAAAAAATGTGATCATTTGTGATCACATGAATTTCATGGCCGAAAAAAAATGATTTGTTTTAACTGTCTTCCGAATGATGTAGAAATTCTGATGTTACAGCCATCAAGAGTAGACACAGCATTTCTCACTCGAATCCTCCCGTCGCATCTCATCATTTTTTTCATCGAAAACCCAATCTGATTGTGCCTTATGAGTGAGTGGCTTGACCTTCAAGAGCCCACGAAATTGGTGATACCCTCTGGTAAACTAACATAACTATGGAAAATCACCATCTTTAATGGGAAAATCCACTATAAATGGTCATTTTCAATAGCTATGTTAAATTACCAGAGGGTATTTCTCGTTTTTTTTTCCCTTGAATCAATCGTTAAAACGACCTTCGTTTTTGTTACTGGGAAAGAATCGCCATTTTTTGGGCGAAATTTCCGCAGAAAGCAATCATGGTTCAATCCGAAGCATCCAGAAGCGTCCGGGGATGTTCTTGTGGTATTTCCTGCTCCTTAAGTCCTTGCCAGCAAGGCATGGGTCAGCATGGCACCGCCTTCGATGCTCGGATGAAAAACTTGGATCATCCCGAAGTCGTGGGCCATAGCCGGCCTGGTGATGTCAAAATAGCTATTGAAATTGACGATTTATAGATATTTATAGTGGATTTACCCATTGATAGCATGGTGGATCTTTCCATAGTTTTTTGTATGTTTTAACACAGCTATTGAAATTGACCATTGAAATAGTGGATTTAGCCATTGATAGCATGGCGGATCTTTCCATAGTTTTTTTTGTATGTTTTAACACAGCTATTGAAATTGACCATTGAAATAGTGGATTTAGCCATTGATAGCATGGTGGATCTTTCCATAGTTTTTTAGTATGTTTTAACACAGCTATTGAAATTGACCATTGAAATAGTGGATTTAGCCATTGATAGCATGGTGGATCTTTCCATAGTTTTTTAGTATGTTTTAACACAGAGGCTACCCCCAGTTCTCATCCATTTTTGTGGATGGGATTTCCCATGAAATCAACCATCTAGCTTGGGATTATTGGGATACCCCATGACTTGTAGGAAACCACCATTTAACAACTATAACTATGATACACCTATGTGATCATCATAAACATCATCAACCATCCAGCGAGTAAAATGGGTACCCCCATGACTCAGGAAACCTCCAAATATGAATGATATGAATGAATCCAAGTATTTTCAGGTTAGTGACTCAGTAGAAGTGAAGATGTGAACGAAGCTATGGGCATCCCACCAACAAACGCGCGTTGTGGCACAGAAATTTCGGGTTGGAGTGTTATTTTGCTCGCTTAAAATGGATCTTTACAATATGTGATTGCGAAGATGGATTTGTAGCTTCGGATTTTCTGAGCCAACCCAACTAACATAGACCCTTAAATGGGAGTTGAAAGATGACTTTCCACAAAAAATGGGGGCATGTTCAGGGCCGCAGTGAGTCTTCTTGACCCCTGACTTTTCAGCCCGGGTTGGGCTATTAGCTTTCAAGCAGCGAAGCCATTCACAGTAAGTCAAGGTAAGTCAGGGAAGTTACATACTAAGTTGCTTGAACCAACTTGCACTATGTAGACTCTAGACCCCCAAACTTTGCGGGCGATTTGATTCTTGACTTTGTCACTAAAAAATATGTCTACTCCATCACCATCGACATCTCAGGCGGTTGCCTGCGGATATGGAAATGGAACCCCAGAAGGTCGAATTGGAGGAGGATGTGGACGAGGAGCCAAGCTTCGCTGTTCAAAGTGCTGAAAAGAACGGGGCAATCGACTCATCAAATGAAATTTTGAAATCACACCATCCCTAATTTCACCAGGAATGAGCGGTATAAGCATGTATTACCCTCTGGTAGACTAACATAGCTATTGAACATTGCCATTTATAGTGAGTTTTCCCATTAAACATGGTGATTTTCGATAGTTATGTAAACGTTTACCAGAGGGCAAATCATACCCTTCCGAGGTCTCTGATATTCTCTGGGTTTACCACATCACCCTGCACCATGACACCGTGGGTAACCCCATGGCTAGCGAAAAAGGAGACACAGCCATCGAAGGGCCAGAAGCGTCGTCGTCGCAGGTGCGATGTTTTTTTCGCCAGTGAATCCGATGGGGCCTTCTCTCATATCAGAGGTACCCTCTGGTAAACATACAAAAAACTATGGAAAATCACCATCGAACTAATGGGTAAATCCTCTTTAATGGGAAAAATCACCATGTTTAATGGGAAAAAAGACAAAAAAAACATACAAAAAACGATGGAAAGATCCACCATCTAACTAATGGGTAAATCAAATCTTAACTATTTCGACTGGGCCATTTTCAGTAGCAAACTGTTAGTTTACCAGAGGGTAGTTATGTCAGATAATTAACTACAGTTACTACACTGAATCTGATGACACTGATGACAGTGATGATACTGAACTTGGACTGAAAGATAAACATTTCGCCATTTCGCATCATTCGGTTCATGTCTGGGGCCAAGACCATTTCCGATTACGAACCGCCCTATGCCTTTTGCCCTAGGCGACCCAGAGGAAAGGGCGGAACGAAGGCTGTGGGCCCCGAAGCCCCTTGAGACGGCTGCGACATGTTGCGACATGTTGCGACTGTCACTTCGCAGCAGGACATCTGTCATTCATGAGTGTGGTTTTTTTTCATGGATCAATGGGAGGGGTTCCTTGAAATTTCTGGCAGAGTCAGGGAAAATATGAACGGTACCCTCTGGTAAACGTTTACATAACTATGGAAAATCACCATTTTCAGTGGGTAAATTCACTATAAATGGTCCATTTTCAATCGCTAAATCCATGGTGAATCAATGCCCCAGAACTGGTTCAATTGCCCGTTACTGCTCTTAACGCACGCGTAGAGAGTGAGACCAAAGATCACCTCGTGGCGATAGTCAGTCCTCGAGGCACCAGAGGAACCCTTCAATTTCTCATGGCGTTGCCAGTAGTTTTCGAGTTACCCTCTGGTAATTTGTTACAGTTTGCTATTGAAAATGGTGATTTATATTGGATGTACCCATTGATAGCATGGTGGATCTTTCCATAGTTATGTAAACGTTTACCAGAGGATATCTATGGATCATTGGATTGGTTTGCGGGAAAAATTACGGGACCCTCCCCCCCGATATTCAATCGCAAAGACCATGGTTTCCGGTGAAGATTTTCACTTAAACCAATGCAATGAACGAATTCCCGTCCCAGTGGTTCCTTTTGGAATGCTCCTTCTTTGTTGCTTCTTAGCTTTTCTTACCTAAAAATCTCCCGGTTGACGATAGCAATGATAGCAATGGAAAATGGCCAATAAACCACCTACCACCCATTTATACCCATTTGTGGCAAAAAGGATGCAAAAGGGAAAATTGGTTTACTATATTGCTTTAACCACATGATTGAGAATCCAATTCTTCGCCTGTTTACTTTTCCTTTTCTCGCTTTGGATGACCCATAGACCATGCGTAGTTGTGGGGTGTCAAAATTCGGACGTGTGAATGCAGCATGGATGAACGTTTGCAAATTGCCCAAGAGAAGCCATAAATTGTCGGAGAGGGATGCATGGACAAATTGGATTATATCACAATTTTATATTTTCATCCAAATATAATCCAATATATTAATATATGATTTATCCAGATATTTTAGTACCTCTCTGAGTTTCTCCAGAGATTTTTTGATCATGATTTCACTTTTTTTTCCACTGCCGCTACTTTGCTGTCCCAGGTGTTCACCGTAATTTTCACCCTGAGATTAGCGGCCCGGCCTGGGATGTTTTCTTTCGATGGCCCGAGATATGGCCTTTGGGGAAGTCCAAAAGGGATGTAGTTTGGTGAGTTTTTTGGCTGGTTGGTGGTTTGGAACATGAATTTTATTTTCCAGATATATGGGATGTCATCCTTCCCATTGACGAACTCATATATTTCAAGATGAATTAAAACCACCAACCAGTTGGTGTTGATGGAAGTTTCATGGAGCCATCCCAGGTCATCCTCGATGCTGCGATGCTGTGTTTTGAATTGGGAAAGCCACACTCTTTTTGACACCTCCCGGGGCCAAGAACAAAAACCCGACGTGTTTTCGCTGGAAAAATGAGGACAGCGTGAGGAAACATCACATCATATCGCATCATAGGTGTGGGCAAGTTGCATTTAAAATCGCTTCAACTAGGCAAATGAAGCAAAACATATCATGTGGGGTGAACTGGCTATAGGCCAAAATCCTGACTCCTCACTAAAATCTGTGGCTTGGGAGCATCAAAATTTGAGCCATACCCACTTTTGCCTACTTAAGTTGAGTGCCCAACTTTCATGACCCGTTTCTTCGACTGCGGCCCAACTCTTGGCTTCAGACCTATCGTTTTCCGGGCCCCTTTACGACGTCCGTCGTGGTAAAAAGCGGCCATGATTCGCTCCTTGCTGACGCTTTCACCGCTCGTCGTGGTGGTTGCACTCACCACATGGGGGGTTAACCCCGAGATGTGGTATCGCGCCACGCCACTTGCCTTGGAGTCCAATGGTTCCATTTGGTTCCTCCAGCTTGGGTTCGAATGAAAGTCGGAGTGAAGGTAGAATATGGATTGAATATGGATGAATATCATGATAATCATTATCATTCATTATCCATATAATTCTGATATTATGATATGGATGATTATTATCACTATAGAATATGGAGGTGGTAATTATGATATGAATATGAAAGTAATGATATGGATATGATAATTATCACGATTATAATTCATTAGATAATATTATCACTATTATGATATGGATGATTATTATCACTATAGAATATGGAGGTGAATCATAAATTATGGATAATAATGGTCACTATAGTAGGAATGGATTACTGTATTATAATGAATCCACATAATTATCACTACATGAATCATATGCATTATATGATAATTATGGAGGTGGCGGATGGCTTTGACCATAGGAAGGCGACCACTCGCTTGTACACATGACCTTCCCCTCGCTTGTGCACATGAGTTTCTCGCCATGACATACATTACATACATTACATACATTACATACATTACATACATTACATACACTACACATATACATATACATATACACATACATATACAAACACAAACACACACACAGACACCCATACACACATACACACATACAGACATACCTACCTACCTACCTACGTACGTACGTACGTACATACATAGATGCATGCATGCATGCATACATACGTACGTACGTACGTACGTAATAAAAACATACATACATACATACATACATACATACATACGTAGGGCAGAGGGGGACAAGATTTAAATAATGACTTTGCATGTAGGCTATTGCTTTGTAGGGCAGAGGGGGGGCAGATTTAAATAGTGACTTTGCACGTAGGCCATTGCTTTGTAGGGCAGAGGGGGGGAAGATTTAAATCATGACTTTGCATGCTGATCATTGCTTTGTAGGGCAGAGGGGGGGGCAGATTTAAATAATGACTTAGCATGTTGGCCATTGCTTTGTAGGGCAGAGGGGGGGAAGATTTAAATAATGACTTAGCATGTTTGCCATTGCTTTGTAGGTCAGAGTGGGGTAAGATTTAAATAATGACTTTGCACGTAGGCCATTGCTTTGTAGGGCAGAGGGGGGGAAAATTTAAATCATGACTTTGCATGCTGATCATTGCTTTGTAGGGCAGAGGGGGGACAAGATTTAAATAATGACTTTGCATGTAGGCTATTGCTTTGTAGGGCAGAGGGGGGGCAGATTTAAATAATGACTTTGCACGTAGGCCATTGCTTTGTAGGGCAGAGGGGGGGAAGATTTAAATCATGACTTTGCATGCAGGCCATATCTTTGTAGGGCAGAGGGGGGGCAAATTTTAATAATGATTTAGCGTGTTGCCGATTGCTTTGTAGGGCAGAGGGGGGAAGATTTAAATAATGATTTAGCGTGTTGCCGATTGCTTTGTAGGGCTCAGTGGGTGGATAGTATCTACGCAAGTGACAGGCAAGTATGTGTGCATGTGCGCAAGTGAGGGATTGACCTCCCCAGATCTCCAACACGCAGATTTACCATGATTTCTCTACGGCTTGGAAGGTCCCCTTCTTTCCCGGGGCCGCTTTCTTCCCAGCTCCCGGTGTAACAACATCCCAGCTACTGCCGCTGCTGTTCCGAGGACATCGCTTACAGCTCTGAAAGCCATTTACACCTTGCCAGAGGAGCATGTCAGTGAGTTCTTGGACTCCTACAAACTTTTTAGTCAGGAACACGTGACGGGGAAGAACAGGGAAGCAGAGAACACGGTGAACTACTATAAGGTGTGGATCTTTGGCGGCTTCCAGGTTTGTTGTGGGAAATCCTGCCATTAAAAAATGAGATGGTTTCACACCTATTTGTGGTGATTTTGGGGTTGGTTAATTGGGTTTAATGTTTAGCACATTACCGTGCCTAGGAACATCTAGAAACATCTAGAAACATCTAGAAACTCAACAATTTGTGAGGCTGCAACCTATAACTTGCCATCCTCACTGCGTATTTTTCATATTTTTTCCATACCACATGCAGCTGCTTGCTAGCCAAGAGACTGACAAAAATCATTTGATTTCCGGGGTGGCCCTGGTTATCTGCTTTTCCAACCAAGCCTTTCTTGGTCTTAGGAGCTCCGGATGAGCTCCTTCTTCCAGACTCTTTTGGACTGTTGAGATCCGTATGGTTTTGTTGTCGTGTTGATGTCAGGAATGTGCATTCCTGCATATTCCTGCCATGTCTGAAAGACCACACCATCAATATCCATTAATTGGTGGGTCAAAAGCCTGGTACATAGGTACCCCAAAATTGCTGGTCTATGGATGTTTTGTTCCCTCCTGCCACACTGGTTTTTTCAACATGGCCGAAATGCAGCGAAGCCGGTGAAGGTGCTGAACCATCTCTGCGCCGTGGGGGAGGTGGAAAAGATGTACATCCCGCCTGTGATGGAGCCCTGTCACGATTTTTCTGGACTTGGAGGATTCAATCCCTCCCAAAAAAAACCTTTAATCGATAGGGAATTTCATCCAAGTAAATTTATAAGAAACCTATAGCCTGCATGAGATTGGATGGTCAATGGAAACTCATAGGTATAGGTACAGGATGGTGCCCCCCAGTTATAAGTTGGTTTATAAACCCCATTAACTCTTATAGTTATATCTGCCATAAACCATAGTTATTGGAGTTATAAACCAACTTAGCTAACTATGGGGCACCACGTATGGGAATAACAATATATAATTTGGTGGTGGTTTAATAGTTGGATGATTGTCCCATACCTTTATATGCACCGCTGACCTTGCCACGTTTGAGCCACGTTACGCTGGGCGCTTTTGTTAGTTCGATGAAGCTCCAGATTCTCATCCTCAATGGAGTGGTTTTCTTGGGAAAATCTTCGGAAAACCATTAAAAAAAAACACAATCAATGAGAAGGGTTTTATGGTCTTTTGTGGTGGTTTTATGGGGGTTTTAACCTGGTTTTACTGGGGGGGGTTTTCATCGGTTTTCTAATCCTCAAGCCAATCCATTGAGAGACCCCGGGAGATGGAAAGAAGCCTCTGGTGCTGATGCCATGCCACCGGTCGCTTTTTGCATTGAGGATCCTCAGCTCGGCATTTTCCAAAACCAAGTGATCTGGGAAGAGAAGGCGGTCGCATGGTTTTTTTTTTGCTGTTTTTTCTGCTGCTTGAGCCGAAAAAGGGCTGGGTTGAGCCGATAGGAAAAACCCATGAAAACCCATGAAAAGCTATGAAAAGCCATGGGGTTTTCAAGCCGGAGGATCTAGATTCATGGTGAGGCTTCCACATCGAAAATTTGGGGGTTTACTGAGAAATCAGCATCTTGGAGAAACTCTTAAAGGGTGGTCTCAGAAGCAAAGTCCAACATTTTTCCCATTGGAAATGGTGAAAAAACATTGGGGGCCTCAGAAGCCACCTTAACAATGAACAACAATGAACATGAAAACCCAAACGCCCCCACACTTGTCATCATGAGGTGTCCGCACAGAATGGGTCAAGTAGAACATGACGTACCGGATACATCCGGATACCCGAGAATCGTATATTTTGATATAGTTTGATTCGAAGAAACTTTGAATCACTCACCTCAATCATCAGTTTTCATCCCAATCGGATTTCCAAACTCAATGCCAACTTGATATTTTGTTGGGGATTTCTGTGGTGAACTTCCGACTGTGTCTCCATTTTTTCCGATGGGTTTTCCATGTTTTTCCGCTTGTGGAAAGCCACATTCTTCGATTTTTCAGATGCCTCAGATGCCTAAACTCAATGTTCATCAGTTTTTTTTTTAAAATCTCTTAAACCCCATAACCCCTCCATAAAACCAGCGTAACATCCATATAAAACCACAACACACCGTAAAACCCGATTATAAAATATATAAAGCCTTATAATCCCCAACAATCAAACCACAGTATAAAAATGTATAAAACCCGAAGCAACCCCAACAAAACTGATTAAAAAACCATACAGGATGGTGCCCCCCAGTTATAAGTTGGTTTATAAACCCCATTAACTAGTTCGTTATATCTGCCATAAACCATAGTTATTGGAGTTATGTTCACCAACTTAGCTAACGAACTGGGGCACCACCTTGTAACCCCCGGTTAACTCGGTGTCAGATGTCAGGCGGTGGCTGACAAGTTGGACTTGGGCCCCAGCTCCAAGGTCCTGGACGTTGGCTGTGGCCGGGGACGCGTGGCGCACCACATCGCCAGCTACTCAGGCGGCCACCTGCAGCCTGCGCCCAAAGGATGGAGATATGAGGTGTATATGAGGTAGGCACATATATATATATATATATATACATTTATATTTATATGTATGTAATATATATAATATACTATCATTACTATAGTTATAGTTATAGTTATTATCGATATATATATATAAATCATATATACAATAAACATGTTGAATTCCGGACTGTTGAATTCCGGATCCAGGCATTTGCCAAAGGGATCCAAAGGGTAAGTGCCTCTAATAAGTACTGCACATGAATAGCTATAGTTATATCCCCCATCAACCCAGTTATATCTCCAAGATAGCGTTCAGTTGCTTTATCAGTGGCTGAATTTAGATATATCGAACTAGTTAATGAGGGGGTATAATGGTTTGCAAACCAACTTAGCTAAGTATGGGCCCCCATCCTGTATGACGTTCTTTTGTTTCTTTTTTTTTTGGCAAGCTCCAGACAGGTGGCGAAGAGTCATTTGCCACTATCTTAGTGAGATTTCGGTTTCCTGTCTTTTTTTTGGGTTGCTATGCGCTCATAGTTACATAGTTATCGTATAGATACAGACATTATATAGCTGAATAAGATTTTTAAATATCATGTGCACACGGGGGGGATATTCAGGGGATCTTTCTTGAAATCGAGACTAGAAACTGGTTGGGAACCATAGCTCTAAACCACGTTATACAAACGACTCAGGGACTTCCGATCAGTGTTATCGACCAGCAAATGAACATGGAACAGCAAAAATATAGGAAATCATTTCCTCCGGAGAAAAAAAGTGGGTTTTCTATGTCCATGTTAGTTGACCTCGGGGCAGTTCAGGGCATATATATGGGCTTCTCTACCTTTGGTCCAGTGATGATTTACGGCGGTTTCTCCCATATTTTGGGGGAGACTTTGACACTTTTCTCATTGATCCAATGGATCATCACAATTCCCATGTGATTTGAAGCACATTTTGATGGTACTCCGGGGTTTTAAAAACCACATGTTCAAGCAGTTTGTTTCTCACTCCCATTGCTGGAGAAGTGCGGATGTTTTTCGGGTTTCATGTCGATGTTGAGCCAGGTGCACACGTGACCGGGCTCAACATCGATCACACGCAGCTGAAGATGGCAAGAGAGTTGCTACTGCTGCAGTGCGGGGAGGAACAATATGGAACAATTGCAGATTCGTAGCCGGTGAAAAGAGATGGATTAGATCATTTTTTTTTGGGGGGGGAAATTTGACAGCGGAAAACTGTATAATATTTGATGGTAAAAAAAAACACCCGGGCCTGTAGATTTCCCAAAATTGAAGCCATCCAAGATAAAATCAACTCATCAAAGGAGGATGGTCCCAGGCTTGGCCAGGCTGGTAGTGGATTCTCATTATCGGATAGATGACCATGGCACCAACATGGGTTTCACATATTTTTAGCCATAGATCTTGGGAATTTGGATATATTTCTGGTTGGTGGTGACTGGAACCATGGAATTTTTATGACTTTCCATTCAGTTGGGAATGTCATCATCCCAACTGACTAATATTTTTCAGAGGGGTAGGTATGCCACCAACCAGAATAGGACTCAAACATTGTGATGGCACCCTCCATGGCGTGATATTTTTCAGGGCATTTTTCGGCGACATCATTCTTTGACAAGATGTGATTGGGATGATGCTTAGTCTGGAAAATCACCCTCTCAAGTGGATTTTTCAGTGGAAATCTGAATTATATCCAGGTCAATAGTGCATTCGGGGCGCGCATTTTTCCCCATTTTTTTGTGGTAGTTATCCCAACTTATGTGGCTGTTCCAGCAACGTTCCCTTAGCTAAGAAGGTGACGCTAATATTTTCATTAATATTGTCATGGAGTTCGATAATAAACCCAGGAAGTCATTGGACTCAGATTGAGTTCGTGCAGTTTACCCACTGCATAGAATTTAGCACCCGGTTTTTTCCATGATGTTTGCCAGCGTTGTGGCCCAGGTATGCCAACATCACCGAGATGAATCATCGTTTGAACTTCGTCCATGGCAACTACAACGACCCCCTGCCTTTTGAAGACGAGACCTTTGATGCCCTGTACCAGGTACAGGTTTTGACCTACACGGTGGACCCCGTAAAGCTCTTCAAGGAACCGAGCCGAGGGAGAGATTTCCAGGGGTCTTTTGTTGGAAAATACCTTGGTTTCAGATGGTAAACTACGGTTTTTCCCTGGAAAATGAATGAAAATGATAGGGAACACATCATGGAACGAGCGTTTCCTGGAGCCCCAAGTGTTTGGACCTTGATAGTTACTCCTGGTTTGTTAACTGGGGCTCTACCCAAAGATGTTGTGCCTAGGCAGGCTCTGGCAGCCTAGGCAGGGGTATACCATCATCGAACTCAGAGGGTGGAGCCCATGGGGTATACCACCGTGAAAATGGCAAGTGAAGAATTGGGAAATATTTCTGAAAAATTCTGGAAATCTGATTTCACCACCAGATTTATAGTCACAAGATTTTGGAGTACACTATTTTCAGATAAAGCCAAATGTGGAAGCTTTTTGCATGGAGAAAAACATGAAACACTCGCGCTTGCGAAGCGCTTACACATTTCATGTGTAGAGAACTATTAGTTCCCAGGCTGCGGAGGGAACATTATGGAACATGGGCACCCAAAGATTTCCATCAAATCAACCCTCTGGTAAACTAACATAGCTATGGAAAATCACCATTTATAGTGAGTTTTCCCACAAAAAATGATGATTTTCCATAGCTATGTTAGTTTACCAGAGGGAAACATCCTGATGAGTTCCGGGGGAATTTTCGGGCTCTGTCAGTTTCAGCCAGCCCCAGTTTCAGCATTTTTTGACACATCGCCCAGGAGATGTACCGAGTCCTAAAGCCTGGTGCCAAGCTCAGCTTTTTGGACTATGTGCAGCTTCCCGCGTACAACGCGTCGGATGCCAAGCACAACGAACTTTTGTTGAAGGCCGAGATTTGGGGTTCAGGATCCCAGAAGTTGTCAGCTGGATCATGGTGTTCTGAAGCCGAAAGCTGTCCATAGTTGGAATATGAACATCGCTTTTCCTTGGGAACCTTTCATTTGAACAATGCAGCCAAGCAGTCAATTCTTTGGTTTAGTTACTTTGATTCTTTTTAATTGTCCGACCGCCCGCAAGATTGCATTCCCGCCGGAATTCCAAAATTCTGCATTCACTATCCAACAAAAACCCGAATCAACATGATATTTTCCCTGAAATCAGTGTGAGCGTGTCTAAAAGCGGGGAACCTCAAACGTGAGATTGGTATAGTTGAAATCAATGAACTCACCATGGTCCCGCATGGTCCTGTAGGTGAAACCTGTGTTGGGCGCAGTGTGGACACCCAAACCCACCGACTTTACCGAGCCTCTAGAGAAAGTCACTTGGATGGAAACTGGGAAGCTTTTTTCCCATGAAGATCATGTATCCCCTCCCCCATTCATACTAAACAGCCGCATTTTTTGATGGTCCCCAATGTGGAAAATATGCTCCAGCTTGACTGTTTATCTAGCCCGTTGGAGGAGAAAATGTCAAAACCCAAATAATGAACCATGGTTTATTAGGCAGGTACTCTGCCAATAGTGATAAGTATGTATGATATAATACATGTGATATAATACATATGATATACATATATATGAATGATATTAGTGATCATTTGATACAAAAAATGGATTCAATGGTACACCGCCAATAAAAAACAGCTCAGGCTTTATTCATTGAAGGGTTGACATTGAATTTCGTGAAAAAAACGTGTTTCAGGGTTTTTCATTTTTTTTCCGGAGATGGTACATTGTTTATATTGTTTTGCAGTCCCATGTGATTTTGATGTCAGCTATGTGGCATTAGCCATGTGATTTTGGTCAGCCATGGGTGGAAGAGCTGGAGCAGCTGCTGTCCGCCTGTCCTGGGCCATGATATTTGCATCTCCATGTTATGACGACTTGTCTGGTCATACATATCATACCATACCTTACATCACACACACACATATACTGTATATACTGTATATATATATATATATGTGTGTGTGTGGCTCATAGTATGCCAATTTCTGGCATATGGTCATTTGAAATCATTTTAGGTGAACTGTGATTTGCCATAATGTGACAAAAAAAAACCAATGGCATAAAACTATATAAAGATTATAAAGCTGAGAATCTTTACCACTAGTTGTTGTAATATTGGGGATGGTTCATTATTGAGTTTATCACATTGGATATCCCTAAGTCCACTTCACCATTGAGATTTCTCGGCATATCCCGGCATGTCTCGGCATTTTTCATAGGCACGGCTGCGAGTGGGTTCGGTTCAACTCAACGCGGAACAGAAGCGGAACTGAGGCCGGATTCAAGATCTTGCTGAGTGCAGATGCCTCTGTGGGTGGACACCAGTATCTGGGTGATATCGTGGGTGAATGTGGGAGGATTTTTTTTTAGCATCTGATGATTTGATGATGAAAAAACCCAGGGATGAAACATGATGAAACTCTGTCAGAAAAAAAATGGATTGAAGCGGAAACAAAGGGTGATAATCTACAAGCCAGAAAAAAAATCCAGCAATTTTAGTTGGGACCATGATATTTACTAGCCAACTTAAAATTGATTGCAGTTTTAATGGGAGCGACTCCAAACATCTCCAAACAATCCATCATAATCCATCCACAAAGTGGCTTGGAAAATTGGTTTAGATAAAAACTTTGGCAACCTAAAAGCCATTGATAGTTCTTACTGCGATTTCTCGCAGAACCAGGTTTTTTAAACGTCAATTTGCAGGAGAGAGATTTGATTGAACATTGATTTGTCTGGGAATGGTCTGCCCCATTCCATCGTTGCTTCATACTATGAAGCACAGCAGTTTTAAGACACACCGAAAAATATCCCCAACATCATATCAAGTGGCTTCAATGTCCCATAAAAGAAATATCCCAAACTTATTAAGTGGCCTTTTTTTATCCCATAAAACATCCAAAAAAACCACATCGCAGAACACATCCATTTTCAAACATCGGACCTGCGATCCCGGTTCCCTTCTTTTCACCAGCAACGGTATCTCCAGCTGCAGCCAAGGTATCCTCTGATTGAAAAGGCGGACTTCTTCTTCACCCGCATTCGATGGGTCTTATCCATCCTCACCAAGTCATCTGGGACAAAACATCTCTGGGTTTCAGGGGCTGGATCTCTCATTTATCCTCTGGTGGAAACTCATCTTCCAACCCCGATGACTGGCAGGGTCAATGTTAATTTGCTGGAGAGTACTTCTCATGAAATCTGCAGATTCGATCTAGCTGAGTCTGGAGGTTTTGCATACCCCAGCTATGTATGAAATGTGGGTCCAACAATGTCATAAACCATCCCCCAGTCATGGGTGGTTTATGACATTGTTTGACCCACATTACCCTCTGGTAAACGTTTACATAGCTATTGAAAATGGCCATTGAAATAGTGGATTTACCCATTAATAGCATGGTGATTTTCCATAGTTTTTTGTATGTTTACCAGATGATTCAGATGGTATACCAAACCGGCCCCTCTATTTCTACCAAAAGAACAACCAATTGGACCCACATTACATAAATCGGCTCATACATCTGGGTCAATTTTTCGCACTGAGTTCACTGCGATCGAACCTTGGACGGATGGGGTTTTCATTTTCGGGAAATCATGCCCATTGTGGGCCAAAAGATTCCAAGGTAGTGACATATGAACTATATCATTTACCATAATTATACAGATTTTAAGTGTATATATATATATAAATGCATATTGTATAATTATGAACATATATATATATAGATATAGATTTAGATATAGATTTAGATATAGATATAGATGTGTATAGATATTTGCTCCCACATCTACATCTGTTATGATTTCGCAGCCAGATGCCCAAGGCTGCGCTTGATCCCACAGCATTTCATGACCCTCTTCGAGCGTTTGACAAAGGATGGTGAGGCCTTCGTTGAAGCAGACAAGATGCCTGGCTCTGGCTGTAAACTAACAGGTTGCTATTGAACATGGCCCATCTAAAAAGTTGATTTTACCTTTGAAAAGTGGTGATTTTCCGTAGTCATCTTAGTTTGCCAGAGGGTATCTGGCAAGTTGGAGTGGATTGATTGATTGATTTCAGGGAAAAAATCACCAGAAACATCGAGAAACATGCAGAAACACTGGCATTTCGACCTAAATTCATCGTTGTGTGTTCTTAGTAAATTGGTGTCTTTCGGTGACTCCCTCGTGATTTTCCCATGGGTGAACCGGAACCGACGAATCTCAGGATGGGTTTGTTCACTACTAGTTGGCAGATCATCGCGCAGAAGCCGTGAAGCAGACAATTTACACTTTTGGTTTGTGAATGATTAAAAGTCTAAAAAGCTGGTGGAGCGAAGCTTCTTCGCCAAGGCTTTGGCAATTAGGCATTGCGGCATGGCTGTTTTCTGTGGGTAAAACATGGTAAAACAATGTCATCAACCACCACATGTTTGATGGTTTATAGCACCCATAAAAATGGTGATGTTGGGGATGGTTTATGATTGTTTTAACCACATTATTTCATATGTAAATTTTGCCCTGAAGATGCACAACCCGTGGGGTGTCATCTGTATACATAATGCCCTGGAGATGCACAACCCGTGGGGTGTCATCTGTATACATAGCAGCATAGCAGGGTTTTTCGAAATGGAACCCAGGCCCAGTTCGCCCCTAGGCAGGCGGTCCAAGGTTGGCCACTGCTGCTTTTTTTCCTTGGTCCAATGGGGGACTGGCCAAAGAATGCGAAGAATCTGCCCATGCCAAAACTCAGCTTGGTACAAAAAAGCAGCGCTGGAGGCTGAGAGCTTGTTTTGCAGATCCAGCATCTTTTTCAAAATGCCAACGGCATCTAGCGGCCGAACACGAAAAACCGTTAGGGGGCACTTGGATTGTCGGAAAACTGCCCAAAGCTTCAAAATGGGAAGTAACCGGAATATCATGGAATGTCCATCGTGTTTCGGCCATTTGCATATGACGTTTGGCAGTTTTGCGTAGCCGGCCTGGTGTTTTTTGGCCCAGTAGTACTTTGTTCAGTGTTGTGGCCTACACTGCAAGAGACATCCTGTTCCCAGAAAGACACCAAGAATCAGAGCTTGCTGCGAAGTGGGGCCATATGAAGTGGGGGATGGCTGTATGGAAAGTTCGGCATCCAGAAATTTCGGGCCCCGAAACTGCGCCATGCCCGCGCCCGTAGCTGGAGTGGATGGATGTTGGGCATGCAGCTCGTGAGGGTCCTGGGGGACCTGGGACCACAAAATCGAAAAGTGGTGATGCTTTGATGGGAAAAACCCGTGGTGAAAACCGAGTACCCCAATTTTTTGGAAACCCGTAGATACTATGCAGGAAACTCCGCCAGGACGCCAGGACGCTAAGTAAAATTTACAGCCTAGTGAGCCTGGTTCGATCAATTGTCAATCATGGATACCAAGGCCATTTAGGGAAACAGGACAATCATTTGCCGATTTTCACTTCCTATAGGTTGTTCCAGGGGGGCATGTCTTTGTAGGGTCTTGTTTTTGCGGTGTCAGCCAAATCCCAAAAAAACAGATCAGGATCAAATTTTCTGGAAGGTAGGGAGGCAATACTGTACTGCGGGTTTATTTGTTTGATTGATTTGAATAGGCTAAATAGGTATCCAGTTGGCAGGTTGTTCTCTATATATTGAGTGAAAATACGTGGCTGAATAAGTGACTCAAGTGCCTGAGTGCCAATAAGTGCATCATCCCAAGCTGGGAAAGCTTCAGCCATGGTTGCAGCCATGAAAATATCACCACTGGAAATCCACCCAAGCGCGGTTTCAGCAGCATCACCACTGGAAGAAATTTCCATTACCCTCTGGTTATTTAACATGGCCATGGAAAATGGCCCATTTATAGATGATTTTCCCATTAATACCATCATTTACAAGGGATTTTCCATGGCTATGTTAAATAACCAGAGGGTAGATCTTAGTTGCTCAGGTGCAACAACGTCAACTTTGCCAGCCGCGATGCCTGCAATCGCGTCTTGGCCGTTTAGAGGTTTCTCTTTGAGATGTGGAGCCGAGTAGGAGGTGTTTACCTACTGGGGTCGACCACTCACCGGAAATCCTGGCCATGTGATCTGGGCTCCCAGGTTGTGCAATGCCCAAGCCGATGTATGACAAGACTTGGCCTGCGATGAGCAAAAACGGACAGGGTCACGGTGGGCCGAAACGCGGCCCTCCTGTTGCGGGTGTCGACGGCAACTGGGAGTGCACAGCCTGCGGCAACGTCAACTTTGCCACTAGGGATGCTTGCAATTTATGCCAATCGCCAAAGCCGCAGTACCCCGCGACAGTTTCCGGGCAGCCAACATGGGAGCAGCCAACGCAGAAGCGTGGCCGTCCGGTTGCCGGTGTAGATGGGAATTGGGCATGTGGAAGCTGTGGCAATGTGAATTTTGCGCACAGGGACATGTGCAATCGTTGCAACAACCCTAAGGAGCTGGCAACCTGGGAGCAGCCACCCGGGGGTCAGCAAACATGGGAGCAGCCAACGCAGAAGCGTGGCCGTCCGGTTGCCGGTGTAGATGGGAATTGGGCATGTGGAAGCTGTGGCAATGTGAATTTTGCGCACAGGGACATGTGCAATCGTTGCAACAACCCTAAGGAGCTGGCAACCTGGGAGCAGCCACCCGGTGGTCAGCAAACATGGGAGCAGCCAATGCAGAAGCGTGGCCCTCCTGTTGCCGGTGTAGATGGGAATTGGGCATGTGGAAGCTGTGGCAATGTGAATTTTGCGCACAGAACCTCCTGCAACCGTTGTGGCATGTTCAAGCCGGAAGAGAGAAGAGGTGGACGTCCAGTGGCTGGTGTGAACGGCAACTGGGGATGTGCGGGTCTCAGCTTCCAAGTCTCACGCTTTTCTGGGTGCCACAGACTCTGCTTGGCAGAAGCATTGTATCATCCCACTTCCAATTTCTGCCTCTTGCTCCCTACTAGTTCCAAGCTTCGCAACAGTCTTTGAAGATCATCTTGAACTGGATCATACTGGATCCATTTTTTGAAAACGAATTGGTGTATATCCTGAATTTGGATCCATTTATTGCACATACTTTTAGTATAGCAGCTTTTAGCAATCCTTATCAATGGGAATTCCAGGATCCTAAAATGGAGGTACTGTACCATATAAGGCCATATTTTTGGGGGATATCCCCTTACATAGCCCTTATATAGGCCTTATATATGGTAGGTACCTCCATTTTAGGATATTTTAGGATCCTGAAATTTCCCATTGACCTTAGCAGTTTCATGGGCGTGGAAGCTGGTGCCGCACCAGGTGTCAACTGTGGGAACGTGAACTTTCCAGCACGCAACCAGTGCAACCTATGCAGCGCTCCTAAGCCCCAGGAATGGGCACCGGGAGCAGCTTGAACGCAGGAACATCCTGTTGAGGGATTGAATGATTGGCCCACACGCTTGGCCAAAGATGATCATAGATTATGAATGATTATCATATGTTATTAATGTTTATGAATGTTTATTATAGACTTATAGATAGTTACAGATGGTTCTTGCACGGTATTTTGCACTCAATTTTCCAGCATTTTTAGGGACAGCTCTCAAATCCAGACTGGTCGAACTCCAGACTTCCTATGGATCCCGATGATCATTGTCACGGTAGACCCGGGATGACCCGGGTGTGTCTGAGAGTTGGGTTTTTGCTATGGGTAATTTCGTATCATTTACAGCACCAATTTATGGCAATGATATGCAATGATGAAACCATATGAAAAGCCTCTGGATTTGGGAGTGCCTTATTTTCAAGCAAACTGAGCTGTCGAATTTACTTCTTTGCCGAGGGCAAGGGAATGGGCCACGGTCGACCAATGCTTGGAGTAGATGGCAACTGGTTGTGCCCAGCGTGTCATAACGTCTGAACCTCAGGGAAGGAGAAAGACCGAGCTGGACTTTGTCCAATGCGTCTCCCGTTTTGCTGCTCTTCTCTAAAATCAAGGATAAATCAAGGTGCTCAAATTGTTTACTCATCTTCCCTGGCCCTAGTAAATTGGCATACATGGGCAATTTTAGGAGATTTCTGGGAGGTATACCCCATGTACCCCCATTTTCAGGTACGGCACCCAAATTGACCTTCCGATGGAGCTGTGCTCATGGTCCTTCAATGTGCTGAATTGCATATGATGCGACATCCAAGCATGTCCGGGCTGCAGGTGAACTATGGCAAGCGCATGTCCTGCAACCGCTGTGGACTCGCCAAACAAAGCACCTTGGATTCGAAGTTTGATGTTGGCTCCAATCAAAGTGTTTGAATGTTTTTGACATGTATCAGTTCATGTCATAAAGCCAATGGTCATTTCAAGTCAACCTGAAATGGCTGTGTATATGCTGTTATAACCTTCGAACTGGGAGGTATTTACATGTATTGACCACATAAACGCACTTTCCCGGGATGGTATAGTCACTACCTCTCAAAAGGGCCCACAAAAAACATCAAAAAACTATGGCTTTGGGATTGTTGAAACATTTCAATAAAATTTGATCAGTTTCGACCTCACGTCGACCTCAGCTTGGTTCCGAATGCCCGGAATGGGAATTTCCGGAATGGGCTATGCCGACACCGCCTTTCACTTGCTGGTTGCTGGTGACTGGAACATTTAGTATGGGGTAATGATGGTTAATGATGGTTAATAATGGTTAATAATGGTTAATAATGGTTAATAATGGTTAATAATGGTTAATAATGGTTAATAATGGTTAATAATGGTTAATAATGGTTAATAATGGTTAATAATGGTTAATAATGGTTAATAATGGTTAATAATCACTGGTTGGTGGTTTGGAACCATGGAATTTTTATGACTTTCCAGAAACAGTTGGGAATGGAATCATCATCCCAACTGTTACTCACTCATATGTTTCAGAGGGGTGGCTTAACCAGTTAAACCATCATAAATCATATACATATTTATAGATGATTTCCGCCAACCAGTTCAGCTTTGTGAATTCCAATTGAACCAGAAACCTTCGCTGAAGCCATCTGACGTCGCCCAGGCGACAAAAGGAAGGCTCCTGTAGCAGGCGGGAATTTCCATCTGAGGGAATCATCATGGAAGGAAATCATTTTTTTTTTTTGGGGGGGGGTTGGATCTTCAAAAATGATTGGATTGATGATCTATGATGATCTGTTGGCAATTTCTGATTTTTCTATTGGATTATCCATGATTATCCCGCGATCCTTGACCTGTTAGTCCTTCTTTACGTCCAGCCAACATCCGAGGATGGATCGTATGGGATATCGTGTTTGATCGCTAGGTGAGAATGGAAACTGGCTATGTCCAGCCTGCGGCAACGTGAACTTCCCTCATCGAAGTGACTGCAACCGCTGTGCTGCACAGAAGCCGCCCTTGGACGTCCGACGCCCCGGAACAGTGTGCGGAAAGTCGGGGAAGAAACCAGCTACCCTTTGGTAAACATACAAAAAGCACCAAAAAGCTATAGAAAATCATTTTTTTTGTGTGTTTTGACGGGTATATCAACTATCAATGGTAATTTTCAATAGCAAAGTGTTAAAATTCCGGAGGGCATGGCCATTTTCCACAGGAAAAATAGGGAAAATACGGATCAACCAGTGGATGCTTTCCATGATGGTTGCACATGATTTTTTCAGCAGATTGCACAGGTGTTGCCAAAGAATTGGACCTTTGTACCACGCTGTAGTTCGACATGGCATACATGGCCATAACAGTAAGAATGCTGGCTGGTGTTTTTTTAATATGAGGGGATGGGATGAATCGGTTATTGTTAAGCCATAGGTTAGCTACAGTTTTTCACCACAGCTTCTGCCATACCATAGATTTTCCATAGGAGAATCCACAGGAGCAAAGTAACGTGATGTAACATGGCTTTTCCCTATGAAAGCTGGTTCTAATCATCCAAAAAATGCTGGGAAAGAAAACTCCACAGATGCTCCCCAAGTAACCGATCCTCCGATCCAGGCCGGTGAGGACAACGAGGGCAACATGGGAAAGATGGGAAAGATGGAGAACTCCGGCACCGTGGCAGATCAACAAATGGGTTTCCCATTTCACTGAAGCAATAGCTGGGTAGCTGGGCGGGTTATCAACCCGCCATTCTTGGCGGGAAAAGATGGTTGACTTGACATGGTGGGCTGGGTGAAGCGAAAAACCCTGAAGACAAACAGGCTCGTTTCAACACAGGCGGCGTCCCTTGGTGAATTCGATGGATTTGAGTAGGGAAGAGATGGAAGAGTCTGGTAAATGTCACTTAAACAAGTCCTCCTATTTGGACAAAGATTCGTTTTTTTTTTTTTGGGGGGGGGTCAAAGATCAACAAATTGGAACACTGACCTTCATCAGTTCCGATCCTAAGGCATTGAGGAGGGTGCCCCAGCCAAAAAGATCAGAACAAGTTGAGATAGGTTGAGTGTGACTGGGCTGCAGGTGGTTTTTTATTGAACAAATGTGGCAAGATGTGGCAGAATTTGCAGGAAAGCTCTTTGCCGCCAGTTTGGCAAACTTCCACAAGAAAAGTGTGAGAATTGTTTTATACTATCGTAGGATATAATATATAGTAAGATATAGTAAGTGGGACCACTGTGAACTGCTGTTTTTTGTTCTCGTGGTCCCAGTTGAATGCCGATTTTTACGAGGTGTCTGTTGAGATTTGGGCCACACATGGCCACGCCCAGGCCGGTGTGACGATTATGACCCGTGGACACCGCGGCGGAACACCGGCGTGTTCCGCGGCTGGTGAGTTCTCAAAGGATCCTGAGGCAAACACATTTCCCCTCCCAAATCCTCCCAACTTTATCAGGTACCCTCTGGTAAACTAACATAACTATAGAAAATCACCATTTTCAATGGGAAAATCCACTATAAATGGTGATTTTCAATAGCTATGTTAAATTACCAGAGGGTAATTGCTTCAGATGAAAAATGATGGAAGATATAGAAGCCACCAGCATGGTAGTTGCAGTTTTGCAGGGTAGGAACGGCCGGAGGGGCAGGCGCTCAAAATAAAAGTTGAACTTTTGCTGATGATTTCGGTGCTTTTGCTGAAGATGAGCCGAGTCATTCAGAGATGTCTGATGCAGCCTGCAGTGTATTGTGTAGCTCTGTCCTCTATTGGATCAAGGTGTTCTCAAGCTGGAAAATGTGAACATCGAAGAAACTGTAGATACCCTCTGGCAATCAAACGTGGCAATGGACAATCCCCTATAAATGGAGATTTCAATGGGAAAATCATCTATAATGGTGGAATATCCATTGCCACCTTTGATTGCCAGAGGCTAAGTGAAAGCGGAAGGATTTTTACTGAAGATTGGGAGCCTTCGAACACATTTGGAGGTTTCCTAGAATGGGGGTACCCCCAGTTCTCATCCATTTTAGTAGGGTTTTCCATTATAAATTATAAACCAACCGTTTATGGGATCCCCCATTAATGGAACCTTCCATTTGACCAAAGCTGTGTAGCCAAGGCAGGTTGGCCTGTGTGACCCCGTGACCATGAAAACTGGGGCCCAGTAGCAGCGATGGTGAGACAATTACCAAACATGGACAGCCATAAATCCCCTACACGCATCATATATCATAAAGTAATATTATCAAATTGAAAAAACAACTAGAGAAGACCCATAACATCATATCATTAAAAAAATGTTTGAGATCCACTCAGATAGATATATCATGTTATCTGAGCCGCTCAGATATATTATATTGTCATTATAGATGAACAAATAATATATATATATAGATATTGGCATAACATGATATAATTATTGGATAATTAATATTGGCATAATTGTCATTATTGGATAATTATTGGATAATTATTGGCATATTATATATATTGGATAATTATTGGATATATGATATATTTGTTTCCTGGAAAAAAACACAACGTTGGCATCGCCATGGCGATGATGGTGACCCGCTCCTTGTCCTGGGGATCTCAAGAGGACACGAGCTATGGAGGCGGGTCCCTATGATGTTTTCTATGTTTTGTTGAGGCATTTTGTAATTCGATCTTCAAAGATATTTTGTCATTTTGATGTTGTTTTTTTATTGATATTCCATAGTTATAACATGTTATACCCATTACAAATTAGATTTAAGGTTAAGTAATCTACAGTTTGATCTGTTTTTTTTCGTTTCAATGTAGAACCATCTCGCATCCATGTTTTGAAAACGGGTCGACCCATCCAGATGATTTCAGTACGGCCTGAGATTTGCTACTTGCTACTTGGTGGTTTATCCCAGGAATCGTAAGTGGGTTATAACCCCACTGATTGAAGTGGATGAACCCTACTTATCCCATTTGAAACCAGGGTTATAACATGTTATAACTATAACTCACTTACGATTCGTGGGATGAAGCACCAAGTAGGAAAAGACAACCCCCCAACCTGCCACAAGCCTTGTACGGAGCCCAGCGCGGCGCCCAGCGCGGTGCGCGGCGCGCAGGCTTCTTCCTGCGTGGAGTGAAGTGGTGTGGACCCTCAAGATCCTATAAATTTTCGCTGAGAATCATCGACAATGTGCTGCCCCCCCGGCCCCCCCCGGTTATAAGTTGGTTTATGACCCCCTTAAGGATAGATATTAGTGACGATATATCTACCATAAACCCAAGTCATGGGGAGTTATAAACCATTATAACCAACTTGGTTAGCTATGGGGCACCACCTGGTACAAACTTGAAATATGTGTCATGTTTATGTTTTTGTTGGTGAACTCATTCATGATCTCAACCATATTGAAAGTAATAGAACGACTTGATGTTTGAATGTGTTACCTAAATCTGGAAACCAAACCAATTACCTTGAGAAACCATGGTTGTTTTCGACATGTTTTCGTTGCTTCACTAGGCTTATTCATATTATTGGTTATCTAGTTTTCCCCCAAAAAGATGCAAAAAGGCACAACTTTATCACCACTTTAGGATTGGATTTTGATGGTTTTACCACCATTTCTGCATCTTTTTGGCTTTGTTCTAGTTCCCCAAAAATAGATGCACACACACACACGCAAAAACCATCAAACACCTATTACTCTGTTGGAGTGAACCCAATGTAAATCCGAGAAATATTCATGATGATAAGGAGATCTTCTCATATTTTCTCCCCTTATCTCAATGGATTGGTTTTGTTGGGAACATCTTAACCAGAAACCATCGATTTTCCCATGAAAGCCATGGAGCTTTCCGGTTTCAATTTTCCCAACAAAACCAATCCATTGATTGTCCCCTTTTTAAAATCAAATCCGAAACATATTCATGATATAAGGAGATTTTCTGGTTGGTGGTTTGGAACATTTGGACTATTTTTCCAGATGTTGGGAATGTCATAATCCCAACTGTTACTCACTCATATTTTTCAGAGGGGTGGCGAAAAACCACCAACCAGATTTTCTATGATTTTCTCCCCTTATCCCCTTATCAACCCCAATCGTGGAACGGAAGGCCGACGAATTTTCTGAGGCTCTGGAATCGTTGGATCGTGGTCACTGTGGCCTGGTACCTCTGCGCCACCTTTACGGTGCCAGTGGGGATAGGTGGGGATAGGTGGGGAATGGGATGACTAGTTACAGGATGGGGCCAAGATAGCTACCCTCTGGTAAACATACAAAAAGCTATGGAAAGATCCACCGTTTTCAATGGGTAAATCCACTATAAATGGGCTATTTTCAATAGCTATGTTAAATTACCAGAGGGTAAGTTGAGATATGTTGAGATATTGGCTGAATTCTATGTTGAGATATTGGCTGAATTCTATGGTTTACCCCAGGTGAATGTATGGTTTACCCGTGATGAACCTGGGTAAGTTTGATCACGACCTCACATCACACGTCGCGACCTCACCGATGATGGTTAGGATTTGGGCAATTATCCATAATTATCCCTTAAAATGATGCCGAACTATTCAGGTTTGTGAAATATTGTAATTTACCCAGATGAATACTGATTGGTGGTGACTGGAACCATGGAATTTTATGACTTTCCATATGTTGGGAATTTCATAATCCCAACTGACTTCATATTTTTCAGAGGGGTGGCTCAACCACCAACCAGAATAGTTCTGGATGGTTATGGCTAGTTGTGGGTAGTAATGGACATGGATTGGATCATGAAACCCCTCACTGGTCTAGCACCAGATTGGGGAGCCTCGGCTTTGTAGATTGGGTGAAAATCCATATATGTTCCCATCTGGTTATTTAACATAGCCATGGAAAATCACCATTTTTTATAGGTAAACCATCTATTTCTATGGGCCATCTATCCCATGGCTATGTTAGTCATAACCAGATGGTAATATGGATGTGATGAGGTGATATCTGATGGGCTTTGATGGGCCTCATGGGATTTTGACGGACGATTTTTCCATGGGATTTTTTGTTGAAAATCCACTTGTTATTAGTATGAAAAAAGGGGTTCGTTTTTTTTGTTTGAATAAATGGCTTTGTAGATTGTTCGTAGGTTGGACTGAATTGTAATGGGATTGAACTGTACCCCCAAACATTGTTTGAGGTTGTAAGTGTCAAATATATGAGGAGGAGATCCTATCTGGTGAACGGAGGGAGCGGTGAAGGGAGCTATGGGTATTCATATTCCCAACCAAAAAGCAGGGAGCCGGTTGGAGCTACCAATTGAGTTTCCCAACAGGATAGAAATGACAGATTTTAAGTATATTAGAATCATCCAAAACGTGTATTGGATACACACACACACATATATATATATAGACATTGCACATGAAATACATAAATATTTTGAAGTTCATTAATAACATCTAAATATGTATAAATATAATTACATGTGTGTTGCAGATATGTTGTTATAACATACTAGAACATCTTGTCACCCGTATTGGGCATAGCGGTTACACATCTTCACAGCAGCAGGCTGCAGCCATCAAGCGGTCGCAGAACCGAGCGATGTTGCGACCTGGCTTTTGACATTTTCCCATGGAAAGTCACCAAAAAAAGGATGAAAGACAGGATTTCTGGTGGATTTTCCCATGGATTTTCCAGGACGATCCCCCCAAAAAAGGATGTTTTCCCATGGAAAATCATGGAAGTTTTCCCCCCAAAATATGGATGATTTGGATGGGTCACCTGCTGGGAGAAATTTCATGATTTCTGGATTTTTCATGGTGATACTGTGGATGGGCCAGCGAAATCCTGCACCACCAATTTGGGATGGTTGAATACATCAAAAATCATGGGATCAACCACTGTTTTCAACATCTATCAACTGGTGATTCGGATTTCGCTGGCCCATCCACAGTATGTTGGTGGTAATTTGATCTACCCTCTGGTAAACTAACATAGCTATGGAAAATCACCATTTTTCATGGGAAAATCCACTATAAATGGTCATGTTCAATAGCTATGTTAGTCATTACCAGAGGGTACATTTGATCATGACCTCACGTCGTTTTACGTCACTGGAACGATGCTTCGGTGCTTCGGATTCCGGAATCATCCCCAAAATCATGCCCGATGTTGGCCGAATTTTTAAACAGCCATTTTAAAGGGTCAGAGAATTATTTTCTGATTCAGAGAATTGATTTGCCCCCTGGTAAACGTTTACATAACTATGGAAAAATTGGAAAATCACCCATTTTCAATGGGTAAATATTCGTACGAACTAAATGGCAATTTTCAATAGCAAACTGTAACAAATTACCAGAGGGTAAAAGAAACCAGTCTACTAATAGGGGTAGCAATTCTGATGATCATTCTTCATCATCTATCACTCTTTTTTGGAATATCCCTTTGATTCTGAATCGAGTTCATTCAGGGAGGATTCCCTGCGGACAACACCTTTCCCTTGGAAACTGTGTGAAACTAGTGTAACCAGTGCAAAAGGCGCGTAAAAGTGAGACATTTCCAAAGAAATTCAGTCCACAAGAAGTCCGGGGAGGAGCCATTGCTGTAACAAAACCAGCCTCCTGAGACATCTCAAGAAGATATTCAGAATTATTCAGATATTCCGCTCCAGATCACTCATGATCATTCTACCTGCTGGTACCCGCTCCAGGTCCGTCTTTGCAAACCTGGTGATGGGTTGGCCGTTGGTGCTCCCCTTCGCGCTGATGGAGGGTGTTCCGGGCTGCGCGGGCTCTCGGTTTTTGTCGCTTTGGGCAGAAATCAATGGGAGATCTTCAGGATCCAATACATGGAGTAAACGTACCATAAATGGCCATTGAAATAGTGGATTTAGCCATCAAAAATGGTGATTGTCCATAGTTAGTTTAGGAATTTCAGGATCCTAAAATGGAGCTACGTTAGTAAAGGTACCATATGTTAGGCCATATGAATTGCTGGGATATTACTATATTCCCCGAAATTTAGGCCTAATATACATAGGACATAGGCCTAAAATATATGGTACGTTTATGTAGCTCCATTTTAGGATCCTGAAGATCTCCCATTGAATCCATGTTTTATGGGCAGATTTGGGAATCTAGTGGGATCTAGGTGGGAGATCATCGGGTAGAATGGGAATAGAACGGAAACACCCTGGGAATGTAACCAGCAATGCCCACAAAACGCATGCCATTTTGGGGTTGGTCATAATTTCTTCGCTTAAAATTCCTTGTCCCGAAAAGAATCTGCTGTTTGTTTCTCCGCCTTTTTGCTTGATGTTCGCCTAAGTTACCGTTTGGTAAACATACAAAAAACATCAAAAACCTATGGAAAATCACAATGTCTCATGGAAAAAAACACTATAAATATGTTTGTTTACCCTCTGGTAATTTAACATAGCTTTTGAAAATGGTGATTAATAGTGGATTTTCCCATTGAAAATGGTGATTTTCCATAGCTACGTTAGTTTACCAGAGGGTAAATATGTTTGTTTACCAGAGGGTAGTCTTGGTGAAACGGACCTAGGGCTTTTCCATAAAATCATCCGATGTTTTCCAAAACCAGACGCAAAAACGCACCCCACGGTTTGGAGTGAAAAAAATCCAGCGTCACTTGGCCGAGCCTCCTCGGGTTCAACTGTTTCTTTCAAGAACCAAATTCTCATCAGTGAAATCCTAAGCGTTTATTGGTCGAAGCCCAAAATTCTTCATAACTTAGTGACTTAGTTGTTAAAAATCATTTTGAGCCCCATTCTATTCCCATGAGATGTTCAACTTTGAACATTTTCCCGATCCTTTTGGGTGAATCTCCCCACAGGGAAGCGACTACGGACGCACTGGCGGAAGGTGGCGCTGATTGCCGTGCTGGCAGGGCTGGTGGGCCAAGTCACATAGGGATTTCCTGGAATGGGGGTAGCCCAAGCTCGCTGGATGGTGGATTTCCCCTTATATCTCATGGAACATCCCAAAGAAAAATGAAGAACTGGGGCCCAGGGGGTACCCCTATGACTTAGGAAACCTCCACGTGGATGCTTGAAAGAACAGGCTTCGCTTCAAAAAAAAGATAAAGATCATGTTCTGGGGTTATGGGCCGGCAAATTCTTCGAAATTGATCCAAAATTTCCTGACTTTGACTTTCAAATACTTTCAATAGCATGATCATGCTGGAACCGAATGCAACTCCAGCTGGTTGGTGGTTTGGAACATGAATTTCATTTTTCCATTCAGTTGGGAATTTCATAATCCCAACTGACTTTCACTCCATCGTTTTTCAGAGGGGTGGCGAAAAACTACCAACCAGTTATGGTGAATGTCCGAGGTTGGAAAAGAATTTGACCAACTCCTCCCTGTCGTCCATTGGCGGTGCCTTAAAGACAGTTCGGGGCCCTAGTCATTGTGGCGCAGCTTGCGATCTTCCTTTCGTGTGGGTAAAGCAATGTCATTTTTACATATTTTTACCACCCATGACTGGGAATGGTTTCTATATACCACCTATGGTGATGACTGGGGGATGGTAAACATGACATTGTTTAACCCACATGATACTTCAATGATTTTCCCAGCAAGCAAAGCCTCCGCAACGGCTGGTTCGGAGATTTCCCAGCCAGCCGTGTTTGACTATCGAAGGGTAGGAGATGGTAGGAGTGTTTTTTTTTTGGCTTTTGATGTTGTGACTATAGGCAATAGGAGGTACTGTTCTTGGCGAAGAAAACATCTATAGTTTTCAATGGGGATTTTGACAACCATTTTGCACATCTCCTTCATAGCAATGCTTGGGATTTTATCCCAACCCCGGTGACCTTCATGTCTGCCGGAGAGCCCACCAGATGGTCATGGCATGTTCCTCCTCCTCCTCGTCATCATCAACAAGAATGATAGTAAATGACAGTAATATACAATGATAATATACGTTCAGTGATAGTAATGATAGCAATATAATATAATATATCATGATAAACATGCCAAAGCTACTAGTAATCACCAACAACTACTCCATGAATCCATGTCCTGCAGGCCCTCCATGGTTTGAATGTGGTTTTCACCTTTTTTGCGCCTTGGTTGCAGCCAATTTGGGGCTGAAATGTTTTTTTGAACGTGGTGAGCTGGCCGTGTTCTGGCCGAAAAATTGTGTGTTGATTCCCCCACCAGTACTTAGTATAAGTGGTTGGAGAGACTCAAAAAGAGGAAGCCTTTGAGGCAGAGACCCACATACACATGATTACATGCGGGCAATGCTGGATGAGAGTAATGTGCTAGACCATTGGGTGAGAACTCTAACCTTCGGGTTCCCGTAATGAAACGTGGCTAGCCGGAAATCCCCAAGCTAATTGCGGGTTTAGAGCTGGGAAAATCATCGAACTATCTTTGATGACCGGCAAAATACCTGGATTTGCACCCCCAAAATCAATCGAAATCATACAACTCGTCAGAAATAGATGGTTCCAAAAGTTCCAAAGGTTATTAAAAAACATCACAAAAACAATTTGTTGACAGCCTTTTTTAACGCCCATTTTGGTCCCCTCCTTAAAAATCCCTCAAAACCGCAGGTGGCAGCCATATCGGGTGCGGACGACCGGGCTTACTATTGCATCCGTGGCTGTCGTTGCCACCCGACGGAATGTGGGCAGTTGTCAACATGGAAATGCCGTGGATGGCTGCCATAGTTTCATGACATGGCCTTGTTGATATTTGTTTCATATTTTGTAATACCCTCTGGTAATTTGTTACATAGCTATTGAAAGATCCACCATGCTATTAATGGGAAAATCCACGAACTAAATAGCCATTTTCAATAGCTATGTTAAATTACCAGAGGGTATGAATCAATGAATGATGATAAAATATGGTGAATCTCTGGTTTTCGACATGTTTTAACCATCAAAAATTCTGGGGGAATCATTCAGCATGCAATGGTTCAATGATTATGACATATATTTCAGAAGGATTTACATGGCTTTTAAACAGTTTTTGTATGGACATATAACATTATGTAACTAAACAATGGTTTGATTGGTTATAGTAAGGCAATAGTAAACTTTTAAACCATCCCCACTTCTGCCACAAATGAGTGGTATCAAGCGCATCATTTTTTGTCGGTAACTCACGAGGGATTTTTGGCATGGAAATGTCATGGGCAGTTGCTGATCTAAGTCATTGAAATCGAGGTTTAGTCCCTTGGGAAAATCATCAAAGTGGGGATCTGATGATATGATGGGATATGATGGGATATGATGGAGATTGCATATACCCTCTAGTAAACTAACAGTTTGCTATTGAAAATGGCAATTTATAGTGGATTTACCCACTAAAAATGGTGATTTTCAACAGCTATGTTAGTTTACCAGAGGGTAAGGGAGTTAGTCACTACCTCTATTTTTTAAATAGGCGGATGATGAGAATTACCAATGGTAGGAACACCTATCAAGCAACTAGCACAATGAGATGGGATAGGGACTCCTGGAGGAGGCGATTTGGCAAATGCCCTCCGGTCGCCAAACATGGTTGGCCGGAAAATCCCAAAAAGCACTGGTTCGAGGATTTTCCACAAAAAAAAACCTCAACTGTGGGATTTTCCCATCATTTCATGGATTTTCCCATCATTTCGAAAAAAACATGCAAAAAAAACATAGGAATTGGAAAATGATCGGAAAATCAATCATTTTCCAATTCCTATGGTTTTTTGCATGTTTTTTGCGTGCAGCACTGCAACTTCTATGGCTTGGGCCCTGAGGCAGTGGAAATCTTCTCTTGTCCTTAAGCCTGGTCCTGGTAGTCTCTCGGCAAGGGGAGGACGGTTGTAATTTCCGGTGATCATCAAACGTGGGAAGCTGGAAAACCTATGAAAAGTTGTGAAACTCCTGTAGAAATGGAGGATATTTTTCAGCAAAACATGTTTGATTATCAGTGGGAATATATTCCACCAGTCTTCATGAAACGATTCAACGCATTTCATGAAGGGTTTATTGCTCCTGCAATTTTTATTCAGTTGACATCTCACTGACCTGCGACTCTTTGCCGCAGCCGCTGCGACTTTGGACATCCAGCAGCGAGAAATTCCAGCGAGGCAAGTCCTTGAACCCATTGGCATGGCAGAAATCTGGCTCCCAACACGTCGGGCCTTCCATGGCAGCGACCCATTTATCAATCTTTGGTACAGAAACATGGCAGAGCGCAGTTGTTTTTTTTCATGTTTCGGAGGTCTCCAATTAGTTGAGATGGGAACAGCTTTCGGAGCATCTCGGATTTTGTCAAAGCACGTTGTGTCAAAGCGTCTGGCAGCACTTTGCCGATTTTCCCGCCATGGACGTTACACTCTGCAGCGTGAGGCTTCGAGGACTGGCCTGGAAAATTGCCAGAAATGGGGGTTTGCAAGGGAAAAATCATAGGAACATATAGGAAAGTGTGGTAATTTTCCTAGATTTCCTCCAACGAAATAGAGGTTTATCCTGTTTATAACTGAGAAAAAAACCATCAAACTGTTGCAGGGGAGTTTTGTAGCCACGTTTGATTACTGGAGGGTAGGATGTGGAACAAACCACCAAGAGTCGGTGTTTTTGAGAACAATTTTTAACATCATCGTTGATCCCGTGCTTTTCATTCTTTGTTTCTTTTTTCTTATGTCAATGATCACCAATGATCAATGATGCTGGTTGCCTCTGCCCGGACTCTTGCAACTAGTTCCTGAAACAGTAAGAACATCTCAAACCAACATCTCAAACATCTTAACTGAAAAAATCTTCAGATTAAAGAATAACTACCCTCCGGTAATTTGTTACATAGCTATTGAAAATGGCCATTGAAATAATGGATTTTCCCATGAATAGCATGGTGGATCTTTCCATAGCTATGTTAAATTACCAGAGGGCATCTTCAAATCCCCTGAGAATATCTTCAGAAAATCTTTTTAAAAATCACCTGTTAATTTTTGTGCCATGTCCAGTGTGGCTGAACATGGAGCACCTCCTAAATTCATTGAGTTGGTCATATATATGACTGTCTAGTGTTTGGCAGGCCTGGGTGGACAGTGGTCATTCCTTGGTGGTTGGTTTAATAAGGAGAAACCAATGCCAATTTTGGCTCAAGTAAATATTGATCCAAAATAGCAGCATTGTTTTCCTTGGACGGGAGGTAGCTGGTCTCGTGGTAGTGCCCACTGAATGGCCAGCGTAATCCCTGGGGTACATGTTGCTATGCACCGCGGCCTGGATGGACTTCTCCAACTACGTGCGCAGTCTTCTTCATGCGGGGCGAACTGCCGAGGCGCGCCTTCTTTGGGAGTCTGTTGTGGAAGTCATCCATAATGGCACTAACCCAAATCTGGAGGTTTTGGGAATCCCAGAGTTGCCTGGGGTGTGCAGAATCCCCTGCACGGAGTCACCATGTGTGCGATGTGATACCAGGAGAGGAGGCTTTCAGTTCCCTTTCGTTGGTATCTGGACCAGGACGGCTGTTTTGGCCTGAGCAGGTGATACGGCCCAGTCTGTATGGGAACGGTACCATGCAGGCAGGGAAACTTTTGAGCTACTGCGCTGCAGAGAGTGGCCTCGGGCGTCACCCGTGAGCAGCTCCTTCCACGCCATGTCGGCGGAGCCCTTGCGAGGTTGGCCCTGTGTCGTGACGGCATCACGATGCAGGAGCTTTTCGGTCCCAACGTTCACATCCTGCCCAACGTGTGGAGGAGCAGTCTGCAAGGTATGCAGACGAGGAGGAGACTTCTGCAGATTGTGACCTTGCCTATGCCTTCGAGAACTACCAGGACGCTATGTCAGCGGGGGGCCATGCTCTTGCGGCACAATGGGCCTCAGCCCGGTCCAGTGGCTCGGGTTCAGCAAGAGATAAGGTTCCTAAGCCGACCCTGAAGCCGATGATCCAGAGGCGGCAGGGAGTGACCCTGTCGACCAGTCGATATGGCCCTGATGCAGTGGTGCAGCGGGTCGAATCACTTGCACAGTGTTTTGAAGAAATGTCTGCGCAGCGGCCGGCCCACAAGGTGACCGAGGCTCGTCTGGCGGAGTGGCGGAAGCAGTGCAGCGACTGTCACAACAGAAGGTCGCCCAGGCCGACAGCCAGACCATCATCAATGCAATCCACACCTGGAAGGAACTGGCACACTTCCAGGAAGACAGGGGCCTGGAGGTGATCGAAGATCTGGATTTAGCTTCGTTCATTCAGGAAGTGAGGGCCCTTGCCTCTCTGAAGTGGCTCAACAAGGCTGGAACCATGGGATGGACCCTCACCAACATTCAGATCATCCCTGGTCGCCATCGTACAGGAGGCGCCTCAGCATTGATCAGGGCAGTGATGATGGGTGAAACCTTCGAGGAGGCCTCAGACTGGATAGCCCAGAGGATGTGCCGGGCTTTTGCAGGGACAGAGAAGCGGCCAAGTGGCTACAAGAAGCTGTGAAGAACACCAAGCGGAGGGACCGCTGGCCGCGCCCATCGGGCTGCCTTGCGACACCAAGGAGTGCACTCCATCTGCAGGGCTTCAAGCTGGTGCCCCTTTGCATGCATCGCGCTTGACGGACCCGATGTTCACCGAGGATGGCGACGAGGCGGTGGCTTGGGAGCAACCGTGGTGCAGAGCATGCCTTGCACGTGCCCCAGCTTCATGGATGCCATGTGACGCGGGTTATGAGTGATTTTAGCAGAGCAGGGCGAGTGGGGCCACCTGAAAGCAGGGAGGCATCACTTACAATCTTTTTCTGTAGGCTAAGAGCTTAGAGAGGTATTAATTCATTCATAGGATGTCCATTCCATATGGGTCAAGGTAACTTGGCAGGATCAGAACCTCGGATAACAGCTCACGTCGGAGGAATGCGAGGAGGATAATCCAGGGTCCTACCAGTGCAGCTGCATGGTTCCTTTGCTGAAGAGTTCAGCTAACAAGGGTTAGCTAGGGTAGCAGCCCATGTCAGTAATCATTTAGCACCTTTCTTTTCAGGCTTTTTAGGTTCTTCCCTTAGGCATATCGAACCTGATGTCAGTTCGAGAGAGCCGGGGAGGGGCGTACAACCGTCTCTAGGGTGAGTCGGGAACTATCCAAGAGGATGTTGTGTGTTTTCAACCTGTGGAAGTTAAGATGCTGGTGCATGCTGGTGCATGCTGGTGCATGCTGGTGCATGCTGGTGCATGCTGGGGCATGCTAGCTCATGCTGGCGCATGCTGGTGCATGCTGGTGCATACTGGCGCATGCTGGTGCATGCTGGTGCATGCTGGTGCATGCTGGTGCATGCTGGTGCATGCTGGTGCATGTTGGTGCATGCTGGTACATAATGGTGCATGCTGGTGCATGCTGGTGCATGCGGGTGCATGCTGGTGCATGCGGGTGCATGCGGGTGCATGCGGGTGCATGCGGGTGCATGCGGGTGCATGCGGGTGCATGCGGGTGCATGCGGGTGCATGCGGGTGCATGCGGGTGCATGCGGGTGCATGCGGGTGCATGCGGGTGCATGCGGGTGCATGCGGGTGCATGCTGCATGTGCATGCTGGTGCATGCTGGTGCATGCTGGTGCATGCTGGTGCATGCTGGTGCATGCTGGTGCATGCTGGTGCATGCCGGTGCATGCTGGGGCATGCCGTGCATGCCATGCATGCTGGTGCATGCTGGTGCATGCTGGTGCATGCTGGTGCATGCTGGTGCATGCTGGTGCATGCTGGTGCATGCTGGTGCATGCTGGTGCATGCCGGGGCATGCCGGTGCATGCCGGGGCATGCCGGTGCATGCTGGTGCATGCTGGTGCATGCTGGTGCATGCTGGTGCATGCTGGTGCATGCTGGTGCATGCTGGTGCATGCTGGTGCATGCTGGTGCATGTGCATGGTGGTGCATGCATGCTGGTGCATGCTGGTGCAGGCTGGTGCATGCTAGTGCAGGCTGTTGTATGCTGGTGCATGCTGGTGCATGCTGGCGCATGCTGGTGCATGCTGGTGCATGCTGGTGCATGCTGGTGCATGTTGGCGCATGTTGTTGCATGCTGGTGCATGTTGGTGCATGCTGGTGCATGCTGGTGCATGCCGGTGCATGCTAGTGTATGCTGGTGCATGCTGGTGCATGCTGGTGCATGCTGGTGCATGCTGGTGCATGCTGGTGCATGCTGGTGCATGCTGGTGCATGCCGGTGCATGCTGGTGCATGCCGGTGCATGCTGGTGCATGCCCGGGCATGCCGGTGCATGCTGGTGCATGCTGGTGCATGCTGGTGCATGCTGGTGCATGCTGGTGCATGCCGGTGCATGCTGGTGCATGCCCGGGCATGCTGGTGCATGCTGGTGCATGCTGGTGCATGCTGGTGCATGCTGGTGCATGCTGGTGCATGCTGGTGCATGCTGGCGCATGCTGGTGCATGTTGGCGCATGCTGGTGCATGCTGGCGCATGCATAAAGAAAAAGATCCCTAGCGGCACTAGGGGTTAACTTTAGCCTTGACGACGTTATCGTTAAGGGGCTTATCCAAGAGAAGATAGCCAATCTTGAGGAATTTCGGTTTTTCTTTCATGATGGAGCCCAAGTGGAAACTTGGGTTACCAAACTCGGAGTAACCGAGGACAAGATGGTGCAGATCGCCAGGCTGAGGAGAGCCTGGGCAGCGGTCTCACTCTTTTACCAAACAGCTGAGCAGGACCGGTCTAAGGTTCAGACCACCGACGTGGATAGCATGCTTAACGAGAGTGAGCTGCGGATTCCAAGACGGCCTGCTGGCGGAGGTACCGCTTGAAGTTCCCAACCGAGGTCCATCCAGCGGATACGACTGGCTCCAGGGTGAGTCGGGAACTA